CTGGACAATATCTGAATTAAGATAAACCTTATTGAATTAGTGTTAAGACCTTTGGAATTTATCTTATTACAAATGCAAATGTTTATGTACTACTGTGAGATTGAATAGAACTTCTCTAGCAGGCAGGATCAATGCAATCTCTGGAAAGTATGAGGAAGTTCAAAGGTTTATTTTGAATAATACCCCTGAAGTGGATTTTCTTAGGAAATATTGGGAGGGGAGGGAAATGCAAATTCTCTCCCTTTGAAACCAACCTCTGAAGGTACACCTTGGGGTGAAAGACCCTTTGTGTACTAATTACCTGCTTCTGGGATCTCCAGTTCAAAGATCTTCTGATCTGTATTAAAGGGAGGGCTAAACTTGTCATGGGTGTGCTTGTTCTGATCTGAAGCTGTGCAGGACTCCCCTCAGAGGGGTGGGGGTTGAAAGATTTATCCTGCCAGAAACCCTGTTAGAGTTGGGATAGTGTCTGGTAAGCATATTAGCATGTGTGTAGGTTCTTTTCTTGATTTTAATGTGTTTTCTCTAATGCTTTGTACCTTAAGAATAAAGTAAACTTGCTTAGGGCACGCCGTGTGGTAACTTACAGCTGTAGCAATTACTCTATTGTCTGTCTCTGAAGAGAAAGCAAGCAGGTAGGTTTTGGCAGACTGTCTTTGCCAGGAAACACAGTGAAGGCAGGGAACTGGTCAGCCTGGAGATACACCGGTTAGAAGGAACAGAGATGTGTGTCTACACGCAAGAGATGCAACAGCTAGTCAGCTGGGAGCCTGAGAGTTGGTGCCCTTACTAGACCATTGAGGGGAAATACAGGTGCAATTGCTCTGAACTGTAACAAGAAACACCAGAGATTAGGGCAGTAGGCAACCCTTCAAGCAGATTGTCCTAGATCAGGGATTGGCAACCCTCGGCACGCGGCCCATCAGGGTAATTGGCTGGCAGGCCATGAGACATTTTGTTTACGTTGACCGTCCACAGGCACAGCCCCCTGCAGCTTCCAGTGGCTGCGGTTTGCGTTCCCGGCCAATGGGATGGCTGCTGCTTTCCGCAGCTCGAGGGACGTTATCATTCCCCTCTATTCGACATTGGTGAGGCCTCATCTGGAGTACTGTGTCCAGTTTTGGGCCCCACACTACAAGAAGGATGTGGAAAAATTGGAAAGAGTTCAGCGGAGGGCAACAAAAATGATTAGAGCACATGACTTATGAGGAGAGGCTGAGTGAACTGGGATTGTTTATTCTGCAGAAGAGAGGAATGAGGGGGGATTTGATAGCTGCTTTCAACTACCTGAAAGGGGGTTCCAAAGAGGATGGATCTAGGCTGTTCTCAGTGGTAGCTGATGACAGAACCAGGAGTAATGGTCTCAAGTTGCAGTGGGGGAGGTTTAGGTTGGATGTTAGGAAAAACTTTTTCACTAGGAGCACTGGATGATGAAGCACTGGAATAGGTTAACTAGGGAGGTGGTGGAATCTCCTTCCTTTGAGGTTTTCAAGGTCAGGCTTGACAAAGCCCTGACTGGGATGATTTAATTGGGGATTGGTCCTGCTTTTGAGCAGAGGGTTAGACTAGATGACCTCCTGAGTTCCCTTCCAACCCTGATATTCTATGATTCTATGATCATGATGGTCCCTTCTGACCTTAAAGTGTGTGAGTCTAAATCAGTCACCATTTCCTGTTGGGTTAATATCTGACACATGTGCCCAGTTACCAGCTTTAGCGTTAATTAGAGTCTCAGTTTTCAAACTGTGAGTGGGTTACAAGTTTAAAAATGTTAAATAGTGTTTGTGACTTTTGAAAACATCTCTTATGTTGCAGAACGTCCAGCTTTCTTGCTGACATCATCCAGAACAGGACTGAGTTCTTCTCCCTATTGTCTGGTGCATATGCTAGTGCGTAGCCTTCTCTTTTATGAATTTGGGAGCATGCATATCCCAGGAAATCCACAATTCCATAGTGTGCCTCCCACAAGAAAGAAAACCACAGATCTCCTGAATTGTGCCGCTCACAAGCTTGGAATATTGGGTGGGATACACTTTTCCATAGCATTAGTTGGGTTTAGGCATAATTTACCTGCCATGCCTGTACTTCCTCGTGGAGACATTTGGGTATGAGAGTACTAATGCCAACACTTTCAAACCTGGATGCCTAAAGTTAGGCATTTAGGCCTAGATCCTGAAAAGTAGTTAGGTGCCTAATTCATGGGTGTTAGGTACCTAGCTCCCTTTGAGGATCTGGGCCTTATACCAGCCTGCCCCCACTGAATGTAAATGGCAAAAGTCCCAATTACACAACAGGAGGAAGATCAAGCGCTGGAAATAAAATAGTGCTTGTGACCTCACAGGTGAATACAATCATCCTCTTTTTACATATCTCTATCTCAGTTATGTATCTGGCCCTTATTACACAGTATCTGAGCTCTCCTTAATGTCTTTATCCCCACAACAGGGCATTATTTAGACTGTAAGCTCATTGAGGCAGGGATTCGCTGTACAGTGCCTAGCAGAATGGGGCCCCATTTTTGGTTGGCCCATAGGGTACCTCTACATGACAAACGAGGAGTGTGATTCTCCTGCTCACGTGCACACGTTCACGCTAGCTCTCACTGAGGTAGCACAAGTATAAATGGTAGCGTGTAGCTGCGGTAGCACGGGCAGTGGCAGCAGAGACACGGCTAAGCCTGCCTGAGGCCGATGGGTGTGTACTCAGAATGGCTAAGATGTGCTTCTGCTGCCACGACCCTGGCTACTCTATACTCGTGCTCGCTGGATGAGAGCTAGTGTGAGTGGGCGTAGCCAGGCAGGGGAATCACATCCAGCTCATAATGCAAATGTAATCTTAGCCGTTACTGTAATAAATATGATTCAAAATAATAATCCCCACTTTATATATTGGGATCTGAGGCACACATGAAGTCTGCAGGAAGGGAACCCATATCTCTCAAATCCCAGGCTTACAGGCTAACCACTGGACCAGCTTTCCTTCCAGTTGGAGAGGGAGGATAAGGAAACAGAGGTATAGAGAGGTGAAGCGGCTTGCACAAAGTTACACACCAAGCCAATGTCCAAGCTGGGACTAAGAACACAGGTTCCCCACGGGACCCAATTGCCTTCCTAAATGAGTGTGTGGTGGGTTTTTTTTGTTATGGTTTGGGAGAGTAGGGGTGTTTTAGCACACCTATCTCAGCAATTTCCAAAAGTTTATTAGCACCAGTGTACAAGTGCAACCCAAGTTAACATCCCAAGTGTCTAGATCTAGGACAGGTTTCACACTGGAGTAGGGGGAATGCAGTATTCAGTGTGTCAGTCTTGCATTGTTGTACATTTCTGGTTCGGTGGCAGGCTGTCATATACTGCGGGTGTTTCAGTAGTGTCTTTCCTTTCTTTCAGTGATACCTGTAAGTCTTCTTCGCTGCTCTTTCGTGGGACACAAAAACGCAATGTAAATACCATTACACAGATAGCACGAGTAGCAGTGTCAAACATAGGGTACAGACACATACAAAAGAGTCTTACATTGAAACACCGACTTTTATTTGATAAATACCTTTAGCAGCACCATTATAGTAGTTCAGATGATCAAGCACTAAGACACTTATATAGAGAGGGCCAGTGGTTAGGGCACTAGTCTTAGGGAGACCTGGGTTAAGCCCCTGCTCCACCACAGGCTTCCTCTGCAACCTTGGGTAAGTCACTTTGCCTATCTGTACCTCAGGTCCCCATTTGTAAAATGAGGATAATAGCAGTTCCCTACTTCCCGGAGGTGCTGTGAGGATCAGTATGTTAAAGATTGTGAGGTATTCAAATACCGTAACTATGCAGGGCATATAACTACCTATGATGGATAGAAATAAACATAACTTTAATTTATCGTCACTAAACCTGTACCAAGTAAATATAGTAGGGGTGCTTACTAACTATTCCACTAATATTTATTATGTAGTAGTGATGTATCTATATTGAGGGCTTGAAAAATCCACCTGCCCAGGATGAATAAGAAGCTCTCTCAAGTGAGTATATGAACTTAATTTTTTATTTAAAACAAAACAAAAACCAACCCGTTTCTAGCCCTTATTGATTACAAAGATGGCCTTCTGTAACCAAGTGTAACCCTGTGCTGTACGGTAGAACCTCAGAGTTACGAACACCAGAGTTATGAAAGGACCAGTCAACTACACGCCTCATTTGGAACTGGAAGTACGCAATCAGGCAGCACCAGACACCAAAAAGAAAAAAAAGCAGTACTGTGTTAAACGTAAGCTACTAAAAAAAATAAAGGGAAAGCAGCATTTTTCTTCTGCATAGTAAAGTTTCAAAGCTGTATTAAGTCAATGTTCAGTTGTAAAGTTTTGAAAGAACAACCGTAATGCTTTGTTTGGGATTTTGAACATTTCAGAGTTAGGAACAACCTTCATTCCCCAGGTGTTCGTAACTCTGAGGTTCTACTGTATTTGTCTTTCTGAGGCCTGGTGTACACTTAAAAATTCAAAATTTTTTGTGCAACTACGTTGCTCGGGGCTGTGAAATATTTCTGTGCCCTGAGCACTGTAGTTAGGTCAACCTAACCGCCCACGTGGATGCAACCAAATGGACAGAAGAATCCTGTCGATTCTCGGACAAATGGTCCATTTGCACTGCAGCTATTAAGACACTTGCAGGAACCTGGAGATGCCGGGGAAAGCCACAAGCGCCCAGGCATCGGGGAGGCAGAGCCGGAGGCTGGCACAAGACAGGACCGCAGGGGTATTTTTCAAGCTAGCTTGGACCTGGGGCAAGTCCTGCCGGGTCTGATCGTGCCAATGTGCGTGGCGCTGCCAGTGTATCCGGCACCAGACCAGCCGCCAGCAGCTCCGTCCCGGGGGAAGCCCGGGCTCCTGGGGCAAAGGACGCAGCAAGGCAGGACGCTCCTCGGGCCAATGAAGCGGCTTTGCCGGGTAGCAGCGAAGGGCTGCCGGGAACCCTACGGCCGGCCCGCCCCCAGCGCCTCCCCCGCCCAGCGCACACGCGGCTCCCGCCCCACTCCGGCAAGATGGCGGCGCCCAGCAGCTAGGGCCGCACGTGTGTCTGGGTCCCGGCGCCCCGCGGAGGAGGCCCCGGCGGCTGCGCCCGGGCTCGGAGCCCGCTCGCTCGGGGCCATGAAGCCCAAATCCGCCTCGCACAAGTCCGAGAACACGCACAGGGTGAGTAGCGGCCCCGGTGGGCGAGCGGCGCCGCCGGCCCTGCCTGAGCCCCCGGCAGAGCCGCGGGGGAGACGCCTGGTCCTCGGACGCAGCCCCGGAGAGTGGGGCCGCCGAGCGCTGGCCTGGCCTGGGGGGGCAGCACGCGGCGGTGGCGGGTTAACGAACTGTCCCCGGGCTGAGAACACACGTCTGGGGGTGGCTCCTCCTCTTCCTCAAGCAGTATCTCCCCCCTCCCCCCCCCCCATTGCTCTTTTGGGCTCCCTGTTTATTCTTTCAAGGCCCACATGCTGTGCTGGGCCCTGAAGACACAGTCGTGAAGAGGTTCTAATCTAATCGCACCGTTCAAATGATTTTTCTGTTTAGAGTCCAGATATTACCCCGATCCCTCTTTGCATTTCCTGTTAGAATGAGTTTCAGTTCATTTGGTCCTCTGCTATTCACCACAGGCCTTATCAGAATTCCTCCTCTCCTTTCCCCTCGCTGTGTGGAGTAGAGGAAACCAAAACCAAAACTCCTGCTTTGGGGTCCTCACACTGTTAGTGGACAGGAGAGCAAAAGCTGTAGTTTCCTCCCTGTCTCTGAGTTCATGGAAACTTCTTCATATGAGCACAGTTTTGCCTACACTAGGGAAAAGTGAGTACCACTTTTCCAAACATAGATGCAGCACATGTTGTTGGGAATCTGCAGATTCACCTACGCTAGGAAAATTTGTGTAAAAAAATCTTACCATTGCCAATATCAATTTGACTGGCTCCACGAGTGCTAGCAACGTTGGCTAGTGTAGATAGCTGCTGGGAGCTTTTGTGTTATAAGCAGGGTGTCTTTTGGATCAGGGTTAGATAACATGGTGCTCAAGGCAGCAGACCATCCCTATGCTTTGGACCTAATGTTATCACCACCAGTAGAGCAGAAGTGATGTGAGCAAATTTTTGTCAAACTTTCCTAGCGTAGAGAAGGCTTTTTATGAGTGTAAGTAAGAGGGGAGGTGGAGGTGTGGCTGGAGACAACATCCTTTGGCAAACCCCCAGGGAAACTTCCACAGGATTTACTGTAGACCCTGTCACCACAACATTATAAGTGCTTGACTTTGTTCCTTTTGTGGGGGTGAGAGTAAAAGTGCAGGGGTTAGATGGGCATGGAGTCTATAGTAACGAGACTCTAGAGCAGTGGTTCTCAAACTGGGAGTCAAGACCCCTCAGAGGGTCGCGAGGTTATTACATGGGGGGTCGCGAGCTGTCAACCTCCACCCCAACTCTGCTTTGCCTCCAGCATTTATAATGGTGTTAAATATATAAAAAAGTGTTTTTAATTTATAAGGGGGGGGTCGCACTCAGAGGCTTGCTATGTGAAAGGGGTCACCAGTAAAAATGTTTGAGAACCACTGCTCTAGAGGGAATCACACTCCCTGGGTATGGCTGGAGGGATTCCCTGTCCGTCTGATCTGATGTTATGAGTCTCAATGATTTCCTGCGGGGTTTTGGGATATCTGCATGATTAGAGCATCCTGCCTAGATAACACAGAACACTCTACAAGTGCCAATAACATTTTTCCCTCCTGTATGTTTTTCTTCTACAGGGCATGATTTGGCCCTAGAAAACCTTTTAGTTACATCTTTCTGCATTGTTATAACAAACCTTGTATTTTTTTGCAGGAACATGTAATAGCCCTTATAATCTCTTTAATGTGAATATCCCAAAAATGGGTTCCTAAGTGATGCAACTGATGTTTAAAGAGACAGCATTAACTCAATTATTATATTTTTGTCTGACGGTTTTGTGCTTGCTATAGTTACAAGTAATACTCAACACTGGTATAACAGAAAGGAGATAACAACAAAAAAAGTTCTCCTAATTTTCTGGTTTGTTTACTTTGTGTATTTGACGACATTTCACATGTACAGGTGAGTCGCATCATATGCGCATTTAACTTATGTGAATTCAACTATACGCACTCGGCAAAGAAAAAGAAAAATAACAAGATACCTGTAAATAGTGCGGGTGATTCCGCCCACCATTCCACTCAATAAGCGTATGGCCCGGAGTGAGCGTGAGATGGGAGACATGAATTTGCTGTTCCCTCAGTCGGTCTCAGTTCCTGTGTGCCTCTCATAGTGTGAGCATCTTGCCACGCTGAGTGTGCTTCTAGTGTTTAAAGATACTGTACGTATCTTTCGTACAACATGGCCCCTAAACGCAAGCCAACTACTTCATCCGGTGCTCAACTGAAGAAACCGCGATCTATTCCAACGCTGGAGGAAAAACTGGCTGTGCTGGACTTATTGAGAGATTGTATGTCAGTCTCCAACGTGGCGCGTAAATATGGCTGCAACGAATCTAGCATCAATGCCATCAAGATTCGAGAGAGAGAAATTCATCAAGCCGTGGCATCAAGTGCTCCAATAACTGCTACGGTGACGAGCCAGGTGCGTGATAAGACTTTAGTGAAGACTGAAAAGGCATTAAACTTGTAGCTGGAAGACATGAACCGTAACCATGTGTCTGTCGATGGCAACACGTTGCGAGAAAAGGCTCTTAGCCTCTACACGCTGTTCAAACCTACCACCGAAGCGGGACAGCCTTCTGATGAGAAGGAATTCAAAGCCAGCCAAGGTTGGCTTAACCGTTTTAGGAACTGCTTCAACCTCAAAAACGTGCAGACTACTGGTGAAGCTGCATCTGCCAATGAAGAGGCAGCAAAAGCCTACCCCGAACAATTAAAGAAAATCATAGAAGAAAAGGGCTATCTTCCGGAACAAGTTTTTAATGCTGATGAGACTGGGCTCTTCTGGAAAAAAATGCCCAACCGCACTTACACTTCGAAATCAGAAAGACAAGCCCAATTTGCTGAAGTGTTCCAAGTAGTGAAACACTTGAATGATTTAATTTCTGACTAAGATCCCTCTGTGGAACGAAGCCTCAAAATCACACGTAGTATTACGAACGATTTGAGACCATATTAAGAAATGTTTGAGCAGCTCAAGAGACAACAGCGACAGTTGCCGATCACCATGTTTTTCAAGGAAAAACAACCAGCAGCAGATGAGCCTATGCAATCAACTTCTTGAGCTGAACCAGAGCCAACCACTTCATCTACGACTCGCTCTCCGTCACCCAAGCTCTCCGTCACTTCTATCTCCTGGCTCGACATCAAGCCCTGACACCCCCCTGTAATTAAAAATACAGTACTGTAAAATTATATTTTGCATATGTACTCTTTATTATATACTGTACATTACTGTATACATATTACTGTACAGGGCTGTGTACACAAAATTATGTACAGTATACTGAACTTTATGGGCGATTTAAGGGATTTTCAAGGGTAATTTTGACTGTACGCAATTTTAGCTTTATGTGCTGACTTTAGAACCTAACCCCCGCGTAAGATGCGACTCCACTGTAGTCATTTTCACTGTTTCCCAAGTCAGACAATGTCCCCCCCTTGCTGAAAAGAGTCTAGAAACCCATTGACAGGGTACGATGAGAAAACCCCCAATAAAATATTTCAGAAAGGCATTTACAAAAAATTAATTGAGGGCATATTATTTAAAGACTACTCAGTCGGAAATTGTATTTTAAAATAAATCCAAATAGTGTCTGTTTAAAACAATGTTTAGTTGAATGATGCAAAATATTTGCTGTAATTCTTTGTTTTGGAAAGACTCTTTATACTGAAATATAACTAGTGTTCGGTCAGTCATTATTATTTTTATAGACATCTATAGATGAGCAGTGTTCTGATAACTGAAGACATTTATAAACATGAAGATAATATATCTTTTTAAAAAGTTCTTGTGTTACTTATAAAACTTTAGACAGTGTTAATAATCAATCTTCCATTGTGGTCATGCAAGCTAACTGGCACTTGAATGCACACCCCCTTTCTTCCCCCTCCTATCCCTTACCTACCCTATCTCTACTCATCCATTGAAGACAATGGGGCACTGCATGGGCCTTACTTAAGGCCAGGATCAAGCTCTGTGACAGGGGTGGCCAAACGTACCGACCCTTTGAGCCGCCTACAATAATCTTCAGAAGTTCTAGAGCTGTGTGCACCTGTCAGGATGGTGGGGCTAGAGGCTTTAGCCCCCCAGGAGGTGCCTTCCGGGGTTTGGGGCTTCAACCAGAGCAGGGCTGAAGCCCCAAGCCCCTGCAGGTGCCTCTTGTGGGGCTGACACCCCTAGCACCACCCCACCATAGGGGAGAAGGCCCAAGCTTTCCCCCCACCCCCTTTTGGAAGGTGGAGAATGGGCAGGGGCATAGGGGTTTTGTGAACCACACTTTAACTGTAAAAGAGCCTCATGTGGTTCGTGAGCCATGGTTTGGCCACCCCGCTCTATGGTATGCGTTAGAACAGCTATGCACTGAAAACTAATCATTTTAAAAATCTAATGTTTACCTTCCTTCCCACCTTCCATTTATGCTCTTAGCTTACTTAAGTGTGCTTCACCCCCACTTAGGTTTTGTCTACGCTGGCACTTCGTTGGACGTTCGGGGTGTTAAACCCTCCCCCCCCCCATGACAAAAATGTTACTGATGAAAAGCGCTGGTGTGAACGACGCTTTGTTGGAGAACTTCTGCCGACAAAACCGCTGCCGCTCGTGGTGGGGTGGAAGTTTTCTGTCAGCAGGAGAGCTCTCTCCTGCCAACAAACAGCAGCTACACCACATGCCTTGTTGTCGCAGGGCTGTAGCGGTACAACCGTGTTGCTAAAAGCCTTAGAAATGAAACTTAAGTGACTGCTGAAGGTCTTTGTTTTTGTTCTCCTGCGTTAACAGGTACTACAGTGTTTGGCTGTAAACACCCCAGGCAGATATTTCTATCCACTCCCCCAGCTGAAAAACAAACTAACAAAAAGACTGATATCATTGACATAAAACCAGAATCTCTCTCTCTCTGTATATGTATAAACAGCTTAATTTACACAACCTGAACTATTTGACAGTGTTTCCTTTAAAAGCAGTGTCTGCAGTTATATAGTACATGTCATTGAGACTCATGTAAAAGGGATAATTCTGAAATAAACAGAAGCAAAGGCAACATTTGACTTTAATTTTTTTTTTTTTTACAGTTTCTCACCTTCTCTGAACGCTTAGGCAATGTTAATATCGATATTATTCATCGGATTGACAGGACTGGGAGCTATGCTGAGGTGAGAAGAATATAATAATTCTGCAATTCTATAACATCTTTTGACCGAGGATCTCAGAGCACTTTAGAAATGTATATTCACCAAGGTTCAGATTATCTAAAGATATTTAGGCGTTGCTCCATTTAGACAGCTAAGTCCCATTTTCAAAAGCGACTTAAGCATTTAGGAGCCTAAGTCTTATTGAAAGTCAATGTTTCAGATTTGTTTGTAAGAGAAGAAAAAACGATGGAATAAAGTGAGGTCCTAATCCCACAAAGACATACACACATGGTTAATTTTATGGACAGTGGATAGCTCCATTTATTTTAATGGGACTAACTCCTAGTGTTTACATGTAAGCACTTACGTAAGTCTGTGCGGGATCATGGATTTAATTAGTTAATACATTGTGAAATTGCAGTAAAATCTCAAAGTATGTTTTGCACACATCAATAGCGTTACTTTTTAAAGATACTCTGATAATAAAACATTCAGGAGCTTATATGGCTTTGCACTTTGCATTATCAGGCCATATATTTTAAGCATTAAATGTTTTTCAGTAACTGATGCTGTTTTAAAGTGAAGTCATCAGCATTTCTTTAAATATCTCTCAAATGAATACTTGAGGCATTTCATTGTGCTTTATCTATTGAGCCTTCTATCTAATCTTTACATTGAAAGAATAGTTTTTATTTAGGGCTGTTTGGCTAATGCATGATCTTGATTTCTGACAGGAGGTTGAAACCTACTTTTATGAAGGACTGCAGAAATGGAGAGAACTGAACCTCACACAGCACTTTGGTATCTCTTTATAGTAAATAGTTTATAATTAATTTGCACTCTTCGCTTGCGTAATGAGGTCATTCTTTACAAGGTGGAATTTGTTTACCTAGAATACCATCCTAATGCACGGGGATTAGGTTCCTGGTTCAGAGCTCATTGAAATCACTGCGAGTCTTTCCATCAGTTTCAGTGGGTTTTGGATCGGGCTCTAGAGGAGGTGTTATTCTCTTTAAAGTCCTTTATGTTTACCAGTAACTGGGACACAGTTCTTAAGTGTTCCTTTGTTTTTTGCACAGTGAAATTCTACAAAGAAGTGGCCGGCAAATGCCAGTCATTCAACCAGCTGGTGTATTATCAGGATGCCATAGTGCAGAGCTTGAAGACTCATCTGCAAGTCAAAAACAGTCTTGCATATCAGCCCCTTTTGGAGTAAGTACACACTGTAAAATAAACTCAGTGCCTTTGTGTCGATGTAGAGTGAAAAGTGTAAATCATGTCAAAAACATTGTGTATGTGTCCTTGTTGTCACTGAAGAAAGAATTGCATTGCACGCATGTTACTGAGAGAGAGCCATACCGGTGATATTTTCTGTGTCTTTTATAATAGCATTCCAATTCTATGGTTTACTTTCAAAAATACTCCTAGAATATAACCAAACAAATCTCCTCAACAACCCAAGAAGCATGTTGGTGTGAGCTCATATCTTGTCACATCTTGTCACTGACGTGTTCATGGCTGCTCTTGGTTGTGAGTCTCACTCTTAATGTCACCTAAACATGAAATTATTTGAGGTGGTTTGGTTGGTTTGTTTTCAGTTCAAAAACCCCTTTCGTTCAAGCTAACATCATGTGTGGAGGTCAGATAAGAGACAGTGACAGCTTTACTTCCAATGAATCTGCATACTGTACACGCACTAGAGCCATTTTAATCTGCAGTGTAGTTGCACAATCAGGCAGTGACTATTTAGGTGTTTGGCATTTTAAACATACAAACATTGATATTTGTTATTTGAACTCTAGCCTTGTGGTACAGCTGGCTCGAGATCTCCAGACAGACTTCTACCCTCACTTTCAAGACTTTTTTCTGACCATCACCATGTTATTGGATACCCAAGACACAGAGCTGCTAGAATGGGCTTTTACCACTCTTTCCTACCTTTACAAATATCTGTGGAGACTGATGGTGAAGGATATGGCCAATATATATAGGTAAGTTTTATTGGTCTGTGTTCACTAGATTATATTTTAATGTAAATGCCTCTTACTCTTCAGAATTAATTGTCTTTTTAACAAAGTCATTATTGATGAGTTCTTTCTGGCTGAGTGTGAGTTGGATGATTTTAATTGCCTGTTGTATTTGTAGTTTATACAGTACCTTGTTGGCACACAACAAACAACACATCAGAAACTTTGCTGCAGAAAGCTTCACCTTTCTAATGAGGAAGGTAGGTGACGTGTTATTAACATGACTTTAACAGCTTTCCACGGGGGCCCTTGACTTCAAGCTAACCAGTACTGAACAAAGCTGTAATGTGTCATGACAATGGGTGCCCTCTAGAGAATAAAGGGGCTAACAAAACACAAACTAGCATTCTATCCATTCTGAGGGGTTTGGTTTGGTTTATGTAGTGACAAAGGTTTTATAGGAGACTTTATATGTAGCACAGCCGGAACAGAATGTGTTCATCACCTCACAGGATCAGGCCCTGACTAGATATGTAATATGGATGATTTTTTTTTTTAAGAGCAGTGAAACTGAAGAGCTCATGGTCACCTTTCCAACATTTCTATAGAATCCCCGATAAGGAGAAAGGAACTCCACTGGACCTGGCTGGACTGGGCCCTTAGTTTTTATACTTCACGTTTGGTCAATGCATTTTTTAAATAATGATTTGAGACTTTTTGCTGCATTGTTTACAATTTCTGTGCCTCTTCATTTGAGCACAGAAAATCTGAGTACATAATTTTTCTAGCCAAATTAATCAACCCTAAACTGCCATCATTTTGGTGAAGTAGGGAATAGAATATATAGCCATTTGGTGTTGATTAAGCCAATATGTGCAGAAGCCAAGGTTCTCTAAAGTGACTGGTGAATTTGGCTGCCTTGAATTTTGGACATCCAACCTGAGACACCTTAATGGAGCCTGATTTTCAGAAAGTGCTGATCCCTAATCCCTACAATTGAGGCCCCTTTAAGGAGCTACAGGTTGGGCACCCAGAAACTGAGGATTTTGAAAATTTTTGGTAGAAATTCAAGCAGTGTTCTTCCATCTGTTTGCAGCATCAGAGTTCTTAATTACTGAATTATGATTTAAAACGGTCCAGTCCTTTTCTTAGACCCTAATAGAATCCTTAGCGTTCTAGTGACTAGTTTACTACCCCTTATTCAGTGTGACATCTCATTAAAGCACTTAACATTAAGCATGTGAGTAATCCCATCCTTGTTCGTCAAAGCTCTTCAGCATGTGCTTTAGTCCCATTGATTTGAATGGGCATTGTTAGTGGAACTACCCTGAGCGACACCAGCTGAGGATCTGATACTTCCTCTCCATTCTGTTGATACACGTTATTGTAGCGAGAGCACGTTTGAATTGTTGGAGGGTGGAGTAGAGGAGTAAAATGGCACTGTCAAGAGTCATTTATGATTTCTTTCCATTTGATAGGTTTGAACCGAAGATAACTTTTTCTCTCTGGATTTTGTTTTGTAGGTTTCTGATAAAAATGCGCTTTTCAATGTAATGTTTCTTGACCTGGGAGAGCACCCAGAAAAAGTAGAAGGCGTGGGACAGTTACTCTTTGAGATGTGCAAGGGGGTTAGGAACATGTTTCACTCCTGTGCAGAGAAGGTAAATAGCCTGAGCATATAAACCAAGTGGAAAATGACAAAGTTTTAAAGTACCTAATACGGGACATCACTATATTAGAGCCTGATATCGCACTCCTTGAAGGCAATAGGTGTCTTTCTGTTTGCTTCAGTGGATTTGGGATGTAAATTATGCTGTTTATTGTAAGGTAATACATGTAATGATATCTCTTTAAAGGTGGCTTTTCAAGTTTTTGCTTTTAGTAAGTCCTGGGCAATATTTGTGTTTTGAAATGATTGCGTTGGGTGATAATGTGCATTTCTGTGGATTTATTTAGAGTCTATGAAACAATTTTGGATTTAAATATTAACTTTGGTACTGGGCAAAAAAAGACAGTTTTATAGGGGATCCAAATCCCCGTAATATTTTTAAAAAGTATCACATTGTCATTTAAAAAAAAAAATTCTGAAGCTAAAGGGTTTTAGATATTTTTGGTCTCTTTTCTAAGCGTGAAGACATAACTGGCCTTTTCCTTCCACAGGCTATAAAGTTCATTCTGCTAAAGCTTGGGCCCATTACCGAGATTGAAGCTAAACTCCCATGGATTATTGTTGGAGAAGCTTTCAAACATATGGTAAAATCGGCTGCAGTGCATATCTACAAGGAGCATTTTGAGGTTCTTTTCAAATGTTTGGAAGTAAGTTTTAATTGCTGAGAAGCTGAAAAAAAAGATGATCTCCCTCCCCAAGAATAACATTTTGTGTGTGTTAAAGGAAAGGTGTGTGGTGTGTGATTTTTTCTGCAGTAGGAACATTAAAATAAATGTTGCACTAAGGAGGAAAGCCTGGCCTTTTATCTGCGGGGACAGAGGGCCTGATGGTTGTTGAACTGGTGCAGTTATGCTGTGCAGTTTGGGGTGGGATTTGGGGTAGGTAACCACTGCTTTCCTGCCACAGTTTTAGCTGCCAGTGAAGATCCTTCTCATCCTCTCTTCCCACCCCAACCAGTATAATAACAATTCTTTGCCTTCCGCTATTAGGAGTTGTTTTATGTGATTAGTATTTTTGCATTCCCTGGACTAGATTCTGATCTCACACTAGTATACAACAAGGGTGAAGTATTAGTCCCATTGAAATCAATTGCAAAACTCCCACTGACTTCAATAGGACCATGATTTCACCACAGGAGTCAGTGGAGGTACTGAGATCAGTTGTGGTCAGAATCTGGCTCCAAGCGTTCACGTGTAGCTAAGCACAAGGTATTTGTTTCTTCTCCTGTTTCTTTCCTATGCAATCTGTAAGCCTTCTGTGAAAGAGCACTTCACCTTGCAAGACGTTTGTTTTTCCATCCAAGGGATGTGAGGTGTTCATTATTGGATTATTGGAACCATTTCGCTATATTTTTCCTTTCCTGTAAAGGTTCATTTGTTGGATCAGAATAAGAAAGCTAGCAATAATTTATCAGGCCAGTGGAACATGCAGTTACCAGAATCACTTCAGCGTTATCCGTGACAGGATCTGATCATTCATGTGAAACTATCTCTTGCAGGAATCAGTGTTAGAATTGCAGGAGAGAATAACAAAGGCCAACTGCTGCGAAATCTCAGAACAGATTGAAAGGATATTGCAAGTGTATTTGATCCTAGCAGAACATGCAAATGGGTCCAAAATCTCTCAACCTGAAGCAGTTTGTAAGGTGGGTCAGACCATCCTTTAGGCTACTGTGCACACAGATGGAGGGTGGGAAACCAGAGCATCTTCAGTATGCTCACCTGTTTTCTCTGGTTGTGTGGGTGTGCTGAGGTTTAGAAGTTGGGTTGGGGTAAAGTCAGTTTGGCAACCTTTGGGAGCCACCCCAGCAAATTTATGGGAATTCCCCTGTGTAATATAATGCTGACTCTGTCATCGTGATCTTATGGGTGTCCTTCTCTAAATGAATCCTCCACTGAGAGCAGGGCAGGAGGAGAAGTGGTCATGGACAATAGCTGCTGAGGACCATGTGAGGTCATGGTTCTTGAAGGAACTGTGCTGCTGTGGAGAAGGCAGCAGCCTGAGCAGCTGTGAAAGAGCATTTCCACAGGGGTCCTCATCCCCTCTGGCATGGCTGGGGAGAAGTCATTGTCCTGCGGTGCATGTGACATTGCCTTTCTCTCTCTCATATTCCTCAGACGTTAGCAAAAATGTTACAAACATCTGATCTCTCGGTGCCTTGCTGTAAGACTCTGCTTAAAACGCTTTCTGTTTTGCTGCTTGCTGAGAATGTTTTCCTGCCAGATGCTGTGACCAAGGAAACCATTGAGAAGGTAAGAACCACAGATCAGTCTCTCTTGAATGAGTTGATTGCCACACACAGCACTTATGTTCTAGAAAATGTGTTACTCAGGGCTACTCTCCTTTTTGTGCAGGCGAGGTACAAGCCACTCCCTGGCTCAGCATATGGGGAATTTAGGGGCTGATCCAAAGCCCAAGTCTGTTGTTTATTTGTATGACAGTAGTGCCTAGAGGTGCTAACTGAGACTGAAGTCCCATTATGCCAGGCCCTGTACACACTGTAAGCAACAGTCCCTGTCTAAGCAGACAAGGAAACAAAGAAGTGAAGTGATTTGCCCAAGGTTGTACAGCAGGTCAGTGGTAGAACTGGGATTAGAACCCAGGTCCCCTGACTCCTAGTCTGGTGACCTGTCCACTAGACTGTGCTGCCTCTTGATCTCAGGGACCTTTCTATCAGGCCCTTTGGCAAGCCTGGCAGTATTTTCTAAAGCAGGTTACAGGTATATATTAGCACCATTGCTGCTGCTGCCACTGGACCCAAACACAATGCTGCTTTGATAGTGTTTGCTTATTTTTAATCTGTTTTGTTGATTGAGGTGTGTGTGAGATGGCAGTATTTATTTTGGACATTTCAGTTTTCATATGTTACTGTACATATTTATAATATTATTAATATGGGCAACTAGTTGTGCTGTAGGAAAAATAGATTTGCAGAGCAAAACGAAGCAATGGAGGTACATCTCTTGTATTTCTTGCAAAGGATGAAACCAAAAAATGTTTTCACAATAATGAAATAAGGCTGGAGGAATTATTAAGTCTGTCCAGTCTTTGGTGTTGATCTCTGGCTTAGTAGTATTAATTTTCTCCCTATCAACCCTGACAAATCTCTCAAGTTCTTCCCATAAGACCTGCACCCCGTCTATGTGAGTAATCCCATTAAACTCGACGGGGCTACTCACGTACATTGGAGTTATCCATGTGTGTAAGTGTTTGCAGGGTCAAGAGGGGGGTAGGTATTTATATATAACTCCTTTCTGCACTAAGAAACACTGTGTGCACTGGAGGAATATAGCTCATATGTCTTGATTCCCTTCATGAATAAATAAAGTGCTTGTTGCTTATATGCCCCCTCTAACCCTTCATTTGCATTTGACAGGTATTTGGAAGTGGGTTTGAAAGGCGCCTCCTTTTGGATTTCTCCAAAACAGTGTTTTCAATGAATGAGTTTGAGCAGGTAGGTGAAGTTTTCATTCATGTATTTATTTTGTAGTCAGATGAGCAATGGAGGAGTTGTGTTTCTGGGTGGGAAAAATGAGCCTGATGGAGAGTTATTTTGACTGCTGACCGTAGGAATGCCATTACACTTGGCAAATTCATAATATATCTAGTTCCTATGATGTATCATTGTTATTTGACATATATTTGAACTATCCATCTTCTGTGTCTTGGATGTGACCTGATGGGAGTGAAAGGAGCTGTTAGTCACTATCAGAAGAATGAAAATGGCAATGCAAAAAATGTCTTTTCTTTACAATTTCATAGATTTTTAAGAGCCAGAAGGGACCACTGTAATTATCTAATTTGAACTCCCACGTAACACAGATCAGGGGATTCCCGCTGGGTTACTGAAGGGGCAGACATGGTCCAGGAGTCAAGGAGATGTCAGTGGTCTCTAGTTAGTGTTATGTTGCAGCTTGGCATCTGACAGGAGCTTGAACACCCATTGTGGCTGCACACCTCAATATGTACCCCCCACACATGCTTGCCAGTGTCTTGTCTCTGGTATTGGTGACTTTTTCATGGTAGATTTGTTAACGGGGGATGTGTCTCAATGGAGGTATCAGTAGTCTGGGGATTTCAGGGTGTCTCTCTCACCTCTTTCCAGATCTTTTTGACGCACATAGGACAGCCCAGAGAGATGGGGAAATTGCAAGGAGCGTACAGAGAGGCTCTCGGTTTTAGCCAGTCCCCGTTTTGAATGTAAAAGAGACAGTAAATGGGGAGGATAAAAGAGGGTTCCTACCATAACGAGTTGTAGCTTCCTCAGCTGAGGTCTGGTCTCTGACACCATGATTCAGAAGCAGAAGCAGTGAATGGGGCTGCAGATATCTGGGTTGATGGAAGGAAAGTGGGGAGAGGAAACAAGTGTGAAGACGTGGGGTTGGGATTTGTGTGGAATTTCTGTGTGGGGGTGGCGAAGGCTGAAATGGAGAACCAGAGATGTCTGGTGGGTGGGGCCTGAGCATGGTGGCCCAGGGCTCTGAGGAGAGGCGTGGAGTTGAGGGGAGCAGGTTCTCTGCGTGCTGTGAGGGATCCTGAGCTCTGTCGGGAGCCTGGAGTTGGGACAGGCCAGGGTCTTTATGTCAAATCACTGGCTTCTCAAGGGCTCCCTGGTACTGATGCCTCGGTATCTTGGTGATCAGATGCACCAGGACTGGAGGAAACCTTTGTACTGCCACAGCTCATCCCAAAGAACTTGGCTTCCCTGGCCCTAGTGTCTCGGATCCCTGATTTGCTTGGTCTGAATTGGAGAGGCATGTTAAATCTCAATTTCTTTTTCTTTTCAGCATTTTCTTCCATGCTTTCTAGAGTACATCGAGGACTGCTTCTCTGGAGAGGATGTGCTAGCTAGGGATGAGGCCATGGCAATTTTGGCTAAACTCATTCTGGAGAAAGCAGAACCTCCCACTGTTGGCTCAATGGCTTTTGAAAAATATCCCCTTGTTTTTACAGAACCACCGATAGGGTAAGTCTCCTCACGCTCCACAGACACTCTTTACCTTGGAGCTCTTTCAAAAGGTTTGGAACGTAGTGTTGCTAAGCCGACTGATAATGGCATCAGAACTGCCACTTCACCTAGTGTTCATTCTTTCTTTGAGGACTTGGAATAATTTCTGCAGAGCTGGGCATTTAAATACTTGCTGCATTTCTGTCACAGAGAGGGGTGAATATTTGTCCCTTGTATAGGATTTTGTCTCATCTCAAAACAATGTAGAAATACTTTTTCTTCCTCGTATTCTTTGCTCCTGAGAATACCGACATCAGGGGCAAGATAACAGGAAGAAGCAAATCAAATTGTATCTCTCTCTCCTCAGCTTGTCTTTCATATGTCACATAGTCTTTTAGTCTTTTAAGCTTTTTGGGCGTAGGGACCATGTCTTCCTAAACATTTTGTTCAGCCCAGGCAGGCCCCAATCCCAATTTGGATGTCTGGGTGGCACTGCAATATAAATACCCAAAAATGATTATGAAGGAACAGCAGCAGCAGTCACAATAAATATTCTGCTGGGATGAATTCCACATGGTCCTACAGTCTGTTTTTGTTTTAATCACGTTTCCATTTAGGTGGTATCCAAGTGTAAGCAGGATTTTCCCATTTGGGGGCTATTTTTGTACAGTTCAGCATTTCTCATAATAAATCTGCAGGGGAGTGCTGATTTTTACCTGTGGGGAGAGGAGGGAATTATTCCCCTTCTACACCCCCAAGCTTCATTTCTCTGCAATTTCATAAACATTTATTCTTCTCTACAGTAATAGTGAACTCTTTCTCCATTGGCCTTTGTGATTATTAAGGATTTAGTTATGAGTACGCTCCCCTGCATGGGCTACCCACATCACGGATGACCAAAGAGGGGGCAAGAGGAGAGCACCACCCACTGGGTCACAACACTACTTCCTCGTCTGGTGCAGATTGGTGGGGAGTGGGAGGACCCAAGTGTCCCCGGCCTCCCCATCCCAATGCACTTACCAGTACAGCTGAGCCAGCAACATGGGGGAAGTAATTTGCACCAGAAAACAGGTTGCTGCAGTCACTTACCCCCCATGGAGCAAGGAGGAGGTAGTCAGTTTAGTCCTAGCTCTGCATCTGGGATAATACAGCTACAAACTGCTCTCCAGTTGGGGCAAATGGCAGGGCCTTTAGGTATCAAAAGGAAAACTTTCCTTATGACTAACTTCATCTTGGGAGTGAGATCGATTTGTAGCCTGTTGCAAATTCAGATGTATATGAAGTTGTTTTGGAGGAAAGTTGGTTTATTTTCCAGGAGCTGGATCAGTTTGCTTGAGAACCACTTGCTGTAGAGCAGATCTTACAGCTGTGTTGGAAATGTGGCGGAATCCCTTTAATGAATACAGAGCAGCATCAAAAAAGACACCATTCTTTTATACTTGAAAATCAATGGAATAACAATGTTTACAGTCCAGGAGCAATCCCCAGATTCTGCTGGACCTCTGAATGCTGAGATGTAACCTTTTATGGAGCATTTCCTGCCTTGCACATTAGAAATGACTGTATGGTCCTTTGTGCCATGGAGATAGTGAAGATCCCATCAAAAAGCGTACTGTCCAAGTCAATGTGAAGCTTAGCCTTTTCTTCAAAGGAGACAACTTACTTTTAAATGTCAGAGGAAGAAAGGTTCAACTGCTGTTGTTGAACTAAGTTACTGATTAAGCTTGGTTTTGTTTTTAGATCCAATACAAGACTCAAGATGAGTAGGAGAAATGGAGAAAGGAAACAAATGCCAGTGTTGGATCATATTCTGTCTCTAATCCACTTACCAGAAAATGAAGACATTATTGATCTTTCACATCCTTGGGCTGCCCTTGTTGTACTTCCGCATGTTAGGTGAGGATGCTAACCATTCTGTTACTGTTGTCTTGTATCTGAATCATAATACTACTTAGCTCATGTCTGATGTTTTTCACATATCGCTCTTCATTCAAAGCTTTTGCAAAGGAAAGGGAAAGTATTGTTACCCCCATTGTACAAATGGGGAAACTGAGGCACGGAGCCGTGATGTGACGTGCCCATGGTTGCCCAGCAGGTCTGTGGCAGAGCTGGTAACAGAATGCAGGTTTCCTGCTTTCCTGTTCAGAAGGTCACATTTGCTGGCATGAAACGGAGCCCTTAGAATTTTGTTGATTCAGTCCCTAGGAAGAGAGCATGCTCAGTCAGTGCAATTACATTTTGTGGAAGAAAGACTTAGAAAGCAATCATTGATGAAATGATTTAGGTTGTGAAATTGACTTAACAAAATAGTTGACTAATAATCAATTTGTTTGAAATCTATATTTAACATAAGAGAAATGTGAGAGAGAATCCAATGTTATCAAGTGTCTGACTTTAACAAAAAAATAAGCGTTTGTACCTTTATTTTTGGCAGACCAATAGACAAGGAAAAAATCCTGCTACCAGTTACAAGTTTTATAGAATCTCTCTTCCTGGCTATTGACAGAGGAAGGCTCCGCAAAGGTCAGTTACAGTCATCTCTTGTTCATTAAGTTTTTACTGGCATATAAAAGACACAACTCTGCAATTATACTAGAGACCCAAGACATAACAATGAATAATAACTGCATTGTATCCTGATTTAATAAGCAGCATAATGAAACATGAAAGGCAAGATGGAAAAAATAACATACAGGAAATAATATACCAAATGCCATCTATAGTAATAATAGGTTGGTGAAATAAATGTCATGCCAGGGACATGTAATTGGACAAGGAGCTCACAAAAGTATAGATTCAAAATCTGAGTGACCAAGATGTTTAGAAAGATAGAATTTGAGAGACAGATTGTCAAGAAAAGGAAGAGGGAGTAAAAGAAATGGAAACTAAACCAAGCTGGGTTATCAAAGTCAAACTTATAGCAAAAAGATAGTGATACACTTTTACATGTGTTCTTTGACTACATTGTTCACAATCTTTGGCTTTAGATCTGGAATTTTTCTTTCAACATTCTGGGTCTTGACAGTAATTCTAAAACTAAATACCTTGCCTACATATACGGCTTCACATATTAACAAATTGGTAGTCCTCTCTATAACCATTGCCCAGAGAAATCTTCTGATTTAATTGGAAATATGCATCAAAATTATAACAGAGTGGTTTAAAAAAATTCAGCTTCTTAGAGAAGTATGAAAAAGTATCCAAACTTCCCTTAGTAAAGGGCTTTGAGGTCTCTGGATGAAAAGGACTATATAAGAGGTAGGTATTCTTATTGGCTATTAAATCCATTATAATTACTATCAATCTGCATAGAAATATCCAAAGTAGTATACTACATTCTGCTTTTCTTCTCTAATATTGCTTAGTCTGCGTCAGGAACATCCCCTATACTTCCTAACCTCTTTTTTCTATGTGGTATCCAGGTGTTTTAATCTATTGTAATTACTTTAAGAGGGGGAAAGAACAACCAACTTTCTAAATCGGGGTGGGCAAACTTTTTTGGCCCGAGGGCCACATCAGGGTTGAGAAATTGTATGGAGGGCCGGGTAGGGAAGGCTGTGCCTCCCCAAACAGCCTGGCTTCCGCCCCCTTCCACTTCCTGCCCGCTGACTGCCCCTCTCAGAATCGCCAACCCATCCAACCCCCTGCCGCTCCTTGTCCCCTGACTATCCCGCCCCCTATCCACACCCCCGCCCCCTGACAGGCCCCCTGGGACTCCCACGCCTATCCAAACCCCCCCCTCCCCCCGTTCCCTGTCCCCTGACAACCCCCCACCAGAACCTCAACCCCATCCAACCACCCCCTGCTCCCTTTCCCCTGACCACCCCCTGGACCTCCTGCCCCTTATCCAACCCCCTACTCCCCGCCCCCTTACCATGCTGCTCAGAGTAGCAGGAGCTCGCATCCCTGCCGCCTGGCTGGAGCCAGCCATGCCGCCGCTCTGTCCAGTAGGAGCAGCGGGCCAGAGCGTTGGCGGCACAGTGAGCTGAGGCTGCCCGGGTCTAGTCTCCCTGGCCAGGAGCTCAAGGGCCAGGCAGGACTGTCCTGCGGGCTGTAGTTTGCCCACCTCTGTTCTAAATGGATATATAAAGCCTGATTCTGCCATCAGTTTCTGTTTTTAAATGGACAGCTTCCCATTTATTTCAGTAGGGAATTCCCTGCACAGACTAATGGTAAGAAAGAATCCCCAGGTAGCTGGGGAATTAAAGCAAATCAAAATTGGGGAGATTTTCTGAGACACAAGGAGGATTTAGATTCCCCAACGCCCGTTCATTTTCTGTGAGAGTTGATTGCTTGACTGTCCTTTGTGCCATTGTAAGTCTCCCTTGATGTCCTTTGCATAGGGACAGTGACTCTTCTGTAAGGAAAGAATGAAGGGAGTGAACCCTCTGGCCAATTTAGGAGTGGCATTGACGGGAACTGTGCTTCCCCATTCCTGGCTGAGAGGATTTTGGCTGCAGTTTGGTGTTGATTATGATGGGAGTGGACCTGTCAGCAGTAGAGAAACTCTCTAACCCTAAAGAAAGGGAGCAGAAAGGAAACTACTTTCAGAGTTATCTTGGGTAAATGAAAGCCTAGTCCCATTAATTTTAGTGGGAATTGAGCCTCTGAATCATGTAGATGGGTTTGCAGATCCCACCCTGCATTTCCAAGGTGCAAGAACATACAGATGCTTGTGCAATTATCGTGTTCCCCCCTTTGCCCCCCTTTCCTTTCAGTAATGCATTTGACAGCTCTTTCTGGTTTCCCAAGCACCATTTGTTGAGCAAAATTCTCTGAGACCCACACAGCAGAGCTTAATTTCAGTACTGCTCTCCTCATATGCCCAGATTTCACATAGACTGATACAAACTGGGTATTCTGCATGTTCAGGGATGGCAGGGTTTCAAGATGGAGATCTGCCGTGATGATCAGAGGAGAATTCTACTCTAAACTTCGATCGTGGGTGGTGATGAATGTTGAATTGTTGCAGTTAGAAATAAAAATGTCATTTGTGGTCTATAGCATATGAAATTACATTATAATCCTGTACACTTCTGTGGCACCTCTCATTTGAGGATCCCAAAGCACTTTACAAACAGAAATTCAATGTGAAGAATAACTACACAGTTTGTTCCCATTCCCTCTGCCCTTAGGAGGCTTGTATGTGGCCTGCCAAGCTGTGAGCACGCTACTTAGTTTAGCAGAATCTTCTGAAATTCTCCGTTTGTTACCTGTGGAACGTGTGAAGAACTTGGTGAGGTAAGGGAACTTTTGACTTTCTGGTGTTCCACTTAATGTAGTGAAGAGATAACTTTGCCTTTATTTAAAGGCTATTAAGCAAAACAAACACGCTTGCTTTGTTTGTTTGTTTGTTGTCTTACACCAGCATGTTTCTGCAGGTTTTTAGCCATCCGGGGTAGGGATGTTGTCAGGCACTGCCAGCTTACTGTACTGTATGGTGTACACTTTATAGCGCTATCTCCTTAATAACAATCTGCTCCTTTGAATTGTTTGAAAGCTGCAGATTAACTTTTTTGTTGCTGTTGAACCTGTGAATGCAACAATGCTGGTTTTGTCTTGCGGGATTGCAGCCAGGAATCTTGTGTTTTGTTTTACTTACAAAAAAAAAGTAAAGTGAAAATAGTCTTGGCTAAACATAAATATCACATTTTAATTCTTGTTGGGGTCTAGAGGATTCTCCTACAGTATTAGGATGATTCCATTCCCTCCCTTAAATATTGATTTTAGACATTATTTTGTACTCTCCCTCAGTAAGAGGGAGCACCTCACTTTTGACCTCCACATTTTAATGAACACTTATGAAAACTGACTACTCCATTAACCCTCTTCAACTAATAATTAACATATATAATAACTAGGGCCCTACCAAATTCATGGTCCATTTTGGTCAATTTCATGGTCGTAGGACTTTAAAAATAATATGTTTCATGATTTCAGCTATTTAAATTTGAAATTTCACAGTATTGTAATTGTAGGGGTCCTGACCCAAAAAGGAGTGGGTGGGGGAGGGATGTTCTAAAGTTTTTGTGGGGGGCGGGGGTTGCAGTACTGCTGCCTTCAGAGCTGGGCAGCTGCAATGGCGGCTGCTGGCCGGGAGCCCAGTTCTGAAGGCAGAGCTGCTGCCAGCAGCAGTGCAGAAGTAAGGATGGCCTGGTACAGTATCGCCACCTTTGCTCCTGTGCTGCTGCTGGCGGGGTGCTGCATGCAGAGCTGGGCACCTGGCCAACAGCCGCCGCTCTCTGGCCGCCCAGCTCTGGGAGGCAGTGCAGAAGTAAGGATGACAATACTGTGATCCCTCTAAAATAACCTTTTGACTCCTCTGCAACTCCCTTTTGGGTCAGGACCCCCAATTTGAGAAATGCTGGTCTCCCCCATGAAATCTGTATAGTATACACACAAAAGACCAGATTTCACGGTCCATGACATGTTTTTCATGGCCATGAATTTGGTAGGGCTCAGTTAATAATAACTGAGCAGCTACAGAAAGTGTTTAAGATCTGTATGATCTCCCAACATAGTTCTCCCAGTCCAGCCAGAGAAAACAGATTGGGACAGATTTTTTTCATGGTTCACCTTGTAAAATAATAAACAAATATTTTGTTTCAGCACCTTTCCTTCAGACCTATCAGCCTTGCTACTGGCTGATCTCTATTATACGCGGTTGGCTTTGTGTGGTTGCCAGGATCCTCTTTCCCATGAGAACTTAATGGATTTGTTTGATAAACTGAAAACAAATATTTCCTCCAGCATCTCCAAGGTAATCTTCTTTTCTAACGGTTTCCAATATGTGCAAACTGATTTGTGTTTTAATGGAAAAAATGAATTCTTAACTAGCAGCAAGTTGTCCTTGCAGCTTTTGAAATAAGCTGAATAAGGAAAGCCTAAAGGTGAAATGTGCAAGAACGAATGCTGTTCGTCTCTTTAAAATTGTGCCCATTTTCAATGGCCTTTCACCATTTGCAGTACGCCTCTAAAACATGCTTTCACTTTTAATAGGTCCGACTCTTGACAATAAGGATTTTAAATCATTTTGAGGCTCAGCTTCCTACATCAACCAAGGTAGTAATTGCTGCTTTAACATTTCAAAACCATGGTGTGTGTAGGGGTTAATATAAGCGGTTTTCTTGACACTGACTTTATTTGCCAGTTACACATGCTAGGCTCTATTCTTTAGCTAAAGTGGGCTCCCTTTATACTTGGTTTGTTTTTTTCAGACTGTAACTTTATGGGCCCGATCCTCAGCCGGTGGAAATCTCTGTAGCTCCATCAAGTTCAGTGGAGCTATGTCAGTTTACAGCAGCTGAGGCTCTGCCTTTATATAGTGAATTATGACAAAACAATTGTCTCGAGGAATCCTCTAACAAAAGGCATTTCACTGGTTTGTTCAGGATGATGCAACAGGAGAGCTTCAGTCCGTGTTTGCCATATTACTTCAAGCTGAACTCGTGCCAGCCAGTGTGAATGATTATAGAGAAAAACTTCTTCATTTAAGGAAACTGAGGCATGACGTGGTGCAGTCTGCAGTACCAGATGGACCTTTACATGAGGTGAGACGTTACTGCCAGATCATACACTGGATTGTTTCCTTTTTATAAGGCAAGAAAATTTTGCATTTTACTTCAGCGTGAGTTTTTTCATTGACTTGTGAAGGCTTCAGTAAATGCAGGCCGGAAACAAACTAATCATCATGAGTGAGTTAGGAGCTCAACTCTCATTGCTAGTCACTGGGACTTTGCTCCCGACTCCCTTCGGTTTGCAGCATCAGAGCTCAAAGATGCAGGGTTTTCCCTGAAGATCAATGGTGAGCAAGGTGGAAAGATATCAACATCCCGAACAAACACCTCATCAAGCACACAACCAAAGAACCATGTGGGTTTTCACTCCCATGGAAAATATGGGTCACTTTAAACCACATCCGCACATTGCATGGTATTACGCACCTGCCTTCTGCATACATGGGGACTAAGTGCTACAAACTTCTGTTGATATAACTACGTTGCTCCGATGTGGAAAATCCACACCCCTGAGTAACATAGTTATACTGACGTGACCCCCAGGGTAGACAGGGCTGTGTTGACAGGAGGGCTTCTCCCATTGCCATAGTTACCACCTCTTGGGAGGTAGAGAAGCTCTCCTGTCGGCGTAGGTAGCATCTTCATTAAGATCTGCAGTGCTGACTCCCAAAAACAGACATCAAACTATAGAACAGAGCCCAAAACCATCGTATTCCGGTAGTATCTCTGCTATCCACTCCACATCACTGGAAGCAATCAGTTGGATTGCCAATCTAAGCTTGGACATCACAAAAGGAGACAATGACTTGAGTGCTTTTGAAAATCCCACCTGAGCAGTGGTCTCTCTAGCCCCAGTATCCTTTCTCCGCCAATGGCCAGTGCTTGAAAGTATAAGGAAAGTATAAGGTGCCATAATGCATTTAAATGTGCAGTATTGCACTAAGGTGGGAAATATCTTTGGCTCCAGTTGTGATCAGCATGTCTTGTTGTTGGGTGTTTTTATCCTGAACTGACTAAACTATATTTGCCTCAATATCTAGTTGGGGCAGAAACCGAAAGAAAGTGGCGGTGTTTCAATAAATGTTCTAAACATGCCTGCAAAGAGCAGTCAGAGGAGAAAGCAGGTGGAGGTGATGCAAAGGGCTTGGGTAAGCTGTTGGCAGTTTATCCCCTGACCTGGCAATGAACTCTGTGTCGCTGGACCTTAGGGGAGCTTTGCATGGAGCTCATTGCAGGATTGAGGCCTTATAGATCGCAGGGACATCTGTCTATGGTGGCTGAATCTGACCGTGCTGCTGTGGGCTTCACACTGTCGAGGCTGCTACGATCAGGGTTTTTCCTGTAGTAGCTAAATGTTAACTTATTACTACTGATACTTAAGTGCTTTTATAACTTTCCTTCTTGAGTTGTAAACTCCTTGGGGCAGGGATTGTGTGTGTGTCTGTATGTCACTTAGCTCAATGATGAGCCCAATCCAGATGGGGCCATGGGTCTAATGCAGTGTAAGCTCTTCAGGCAGGGAATACTCTCCTTGTTTATATGTTTGTGTAGTGCCTGGCACAATGTGGCCTTGATGCTACCAAAGTACAAATAATAACCTAAATGTCTTTATTGGTGTTGATTCTGAGAGATTTTGACTTCATTGCTTTTTCTTGCAGTTCATCAATCAGTGAAGCTGTTTTTATACCTACTTTAAATATCTTTGTTAGCTTTTTAAAACAAAGTTTTCTTGTGTGTCACTGTAGGTGCCTCTTCAGTATTTACTGGGAATGCTCTACATTAACTTCAGCCCTCTCTGGGATCCTGTTGTTGAGCTCATAACGTAAGTATGTGCTAGTGGGTGGTGGGAGCCTGTTGTGTTGTGTTGTATTGCAGCTGCCCCCGGACTTTTAAAAAAAATGAAATAAAAATGTGTCGCGTCTCTAAAAATAAACGCAAATACACACAAGCATGATGCACGTTTACATGAGGTACCACAGAAATGCCTCTGATCTGTCAAGTAAATCTTGCTCTTTATAGACTGTTACTTTTTAACTTGTTTTGGGATGTACAAATATTAAAGACAACTCATAGGCAACAGTATTGTTAAATTACATCGAGGGTTGGGACACAAAGGTACCAGACTCGAATCCAAGATAGCCAACTCCTTATCTCACACTATTATGACTATCACATGATAAGTGTTATATAAATAATAAATCAGTCCGTCTCTCTCTCCTTCCTGCCCTCACTAAGGGCCTGGTGCAAAACCTACTTAAGTCAACGGAAGAGCTCCCATTGATTTGAATGGGCACTGGATTGAGCCCTGAGTTTGCAATGTCAGCTTTCAGGGTGAATTGCCGGGATTTTGACCACTTAGCTTTTTCTCTGTACATTCTGTGATATTATGTGTCATTTTCTCCATTAGAGAAGTGAAATCATGAAAACGATAACCTGCATCATCAGTGGGACGCTGACTCTTCGTGTTGGTTTTAAGTGCTATGTTATTGTATAGGCAGCATTGAAAGACTTGAAAACATCTATACCAAAGGGTTCCTTTGTATTCACAGGCTATAACTAGGCTATTCTGATAACAATGAACCTTTGGGATCTTCAGATGAAGGCAAAGAAATGTTATAGTCGCACACAGCAAAAGTCTTGCCTTCCTACATGTTGACTAGAGCTGGACACCAAGCCTTTGAACATACTAGCAGTATAACTGGCTAATATCACATGGAATTTTTTACTTAATTACTGTCTTGTTTATTGTTAGATCTCATGCAAACGAAATGGAGAATAAACAGTTCTGGAAAGTCTATTATGAGCACTTGGAGAAAGCGGCTGTCTATGCTGGTAATTCATGTCTTGTAGATGTTTAGACACTAACTTAACTATGGTCCAGGTGGTTCATGAACAGGGCTGGCTTTATGCTCTGCTGTGCTCCAAACTGGCAAAAAAAGGAAAAATCAGGACGTAAGTTTCCCCTCTACCTTTCTAGCCTCATTTCCTGAGTGGAGATCTGTCAGAATTGTTGCCTCCCCCTTGTCCTACTTGCCATGAGGTAAATAGGGACAGTCCATGAGTTGCAGAGTCCTCCTAGCATATGGAGCACCAGGCAGTGCTTGTTTTGTGCCTAGACTGGCTCTGCTCATGATGATGAGGGACAGTAGGAGTCTCTGAGGATTTTCAGTAATGTCTAGTCTCTAGAAAATCTTCCTCCTACCCTGTTCAACATGGAATCAGTAGAATTTCTGCCAAATGTATCTGTTTTCCTTGACCCTGCTCTTGAATGTGAATACTGGATTTCACTGTATGGCACAAGGACAGCCATTTATTGGGGCTACGTGTGCTTAAAGTTAGGCCCCTTGCTGAAGTTCTGACATCCTAGGGTACCTTCTAACCTGTGTTGCAGTTTCAGATCAATATTAAGCAGAATTTGCTAGGTAGATGGCCAACATTAATATAAACGGTTGCTGTTATTTACCCCAGGGCACTACCCTACCACCAGCAATTACTGAATAAACTCTTTGAAGATTTCTTGAAGTAATGAGGATGGTGGTTTGTTTCCAATATAGAGAGGGAGCTGCAAGATAAGCTGAGTGAAGAGCAGGCAGGCACTGCAGATGCAGAAAGTGAGAAGATCCGAGAAGGAAATGTGGGAAGCCTGTATCTCGAGCAGTTGAGGTTTAGAACGGATTGCAGTGAGCGGATAGATTACGCAAACTTCCGGTTTCTGCTTTGGAAGGCATTGGCCAAGGTTCCAGACAGAGTGGAGCCCAGGTCAAGGGAGCTTTCCCCGCTTCTCTTGAGATTCATTAGGTAAGTGACCATGTTCAGCAATGAGACATGTTGCTTGGAAATGTCATAAATGAAGGCAGAGTTACTAGGGTCCCTATAAGACAACTGATGGGTGGGTTTTGTTTTGTTTTTAATGGATTTTATTTTCTGAGACCTCTGAATCCATAGAGTGGTATGATTTTATATTGAAGTTGGTCCTTCCTTTTGGTTAAACATGGCTCATGCCAGAGAGAGAGAGAGTGGAAAAAATAAAAGCAACCTGAAATGTAAGCTGTCAATTGGCTGCTGCGTTGAGCCCCAGTTTACTAATGAGTTCTGGTGACACAGCCTCGCTACTGCTATGGAGGGTGTAGTTTCAATGGAAGTAAAGTGTCTTGGAAATAGACATGAAGATGAGGCTCTTCCTTGTCTCCCCTGTTTGTAAAATGAAAGGAGGTATTTTTATTCCGGCAGAGATAGGAAAATACCTTTTAGTGTATCTAGGGCCTGGTTCGGTGCCCACTGAAATCAGTGGGAGTCTTTCTCTTCACTCCAGCAGGCTTTGAATTAGGCCCTCACTTTATTCCCCCTGCCAGCCTGTGACTCTTCTTTACAGTGTATTTCCTACAGTGCTTTGTCTAGACTGCTTTTACCTGTTTTCAGGTGAGAGGGCTTCCACTATATAATACATCATCGATTCCTACACTTCCTAACATACATTTTCACACATCCCTGCCAACTTTTTAACAAAATTCTCCCATTCTACATAGATTCACTTTCTCTTCTTTTTCCTGACCACATTTTTCTGATCTTAGCCGTTCAATTTTTTTTTCCTTTTGTTGTCTTTTTTTCTTTACATTTGCTCTCTTCCTTTAATATCTCCGTCATTCACAGTAAAAGAAATGTCCATCTGCCTGCTGAAATGAACCCCTTTTGGGGATCTTGAACTGTACAGTGTCACCAGACACAGCTCTGTGGATAATTGGAAGTTCCAATTGTGAACAGCTTCAAATAAACCTCCCGCCAGCAGATACTGTTCTATTGATCGATTTTATTTTTAATATAGCAATGAGTATTACCCAGCAGATTCTCTAGTGGCTCCAACCCAGGATCTTAGAAAGAAAAACAGTGGTGTAGCAGAAGAGGAAGAAAAACCCACTGAAGAGATACACCAAGCTACCAAGGAGGAGGAGAAAGAGGAGGTGGAGGGAATGGACGAACCGGTGGTTGAAGGGTTGCAAAAAAAGAAAACAAGAAGAGCTGCAGCAAAGTGAGTTTTGCTTTGTTTGATTGGGCAGGGAGCAAGTGAAATGCAAACGTTAACCATTTGGTGTTTTAAAAGGTTTCATAACCTTGGGGTGACTCGCTTTGTTATGTTTCAGAGTAGCAGCCATGTCAGTCTGTATATACAAAAAGAACAGGAGGACTTGTGGCACCTTAGAGACTAACAAATTTATTAGAGAAGTGGGCTGTAGCCCACGAAAGCTTATCTCTAATAAATTTGTAAGTCCTTAAGGTGCCACAAGTCCTCCTGTTCTTTTTGCTTTGTTATGATCACTGGGCTTATGTGCATCCCTTTCCTTTGTCTGTTCCAGTCTTTCGTGAGATTGTGAGCTCTTTTGTGAGCAGGGATCCTGTCCCCATGCAACACCTAGCACTAGTTTGGGGGCCCTGACTGGAGGCTCTGGGCACTACCGTAAGATGAGTAATAGGCCATCCCTTGCATAATTTGAAGCAAAGATGGTGCGAGGTCTACAATTCCCAATTTTGGTTGGACGTATTCCTGGAAGTTTCATCACTAATCTTTAATTCCTGGAGACTCCAGGACAATCCTGGGGGGTTGGCAACCCTAGCGGGATCCCAAAGTTAGTGTTTGGGGGGGGGGAATAATTGTTTCCTCTGTGTGTGTGTCTGCTTTTCTTTTAAAGTCAGTGGGAGCTGATGGGTGTGCAGCCCATTTTGAAAATCATTGTAGGTACCCAATTATGGATTTCAGAGTCTAGCTTTAGACACTCATTTTTGAAAATCTTGGCCCTGATGTCCTTGTTCTGGACAGGTTTTTTGGTATTTCTTACTATAAATATCTGCTATTGTGACTTCATTACTCCACAGTATCAAATTATTTTGTGAGTAAATAGTTTATGGCTTGTGTCTTAAAACACAGTTTTGAAACTTCTTGATTATAGCCTTTTTTACCCGGTTGACATCTGTGAAATACGCATTTTAGGTGATTCACATGAACTATTTTTGCCTGTTTGTGAATGACATTTGTAGCAACAAAGAACTTTACAAATGTCATCTTGCACATTAAGATGCAATGAATTCTAGCCTATATTCTGGCTAAGTTGTAGGTGTTTTATCAGTTCTGTTATTTTGTTCTGTTCCCTAATTTGAGTGGTTCATATCTGTGAATTAGTAATAATTACAAAAATCAGATTGTCACCAGATTTTAACTTTTGCTTCAAAATGTTCTTGTTCCTAAATGGAAACTTTTAAAATGCTGGTAGCAATAACTAAGGTGTAAAAGATTTACTGGCTAGTTGTTAATGAATTCTTTAGTGAACGCTTTTCCTCTAGACCCTGGGCTCCTCATTATACTTTCAGATTTGCACCATTGTAGTTTAGGCTCTCACAAAATGTATGTTACAAACTCCTCCTTGAAAATGATGGAAAAATAAGAGCTAGGTGTGATGTGAGAGACTAGAGTGTGCCTGGTAACATGCAGAGCGCACAACTTCATCATTCAGCGGAGACCATAGTACTGGCTTTGGAGGGCGGGTAATGGTGAAAGCACCTCCCTTTGCTGGGGTTAGACAGGGTGGAGGAAATTCAAATCATGAAGCAGATTCAGTAGAATTTTTTGGTGTGAAGCTCTGCAGGGAACTGCTGAGTCAGCATAGACTCTTGCTGTTCTGCACGTGTACCTTTTTGACCAGTCCTGACTGTTTTTGGCACGGTTGATTTCCCCCTCCCTCCACTTCTCTCTTTCCTCAGCAAGTGGAGATGTGGCTGTTCTTGGGTGGGGCAGTCTTGTCCCCAGGTCCAGTTTACCCCTACTGCTCTTTTGCACTGGTATAAATCAAATTCTTCCACTGCCATTAGAGCCTGTTGGTAAAAGTAGTCCTACATACTGATATTCAGAAACTCCGAATCTTGGTACCATTCTCCTGCCATTGGTAGTAACACAGAGTGTGTATCTGTTTTATTGTTAAAAGCGTGTTTTGTTTTTGTCTCAGGCAGCTAATAGCCCATTTGCAAGTTTTCTCCAAGTTTTCGAATCCACGTGCGCTGTATCTGGAACCAAAGTTAAATGAGTTGTACAATCAGGTGATAATACTTAACATTTTTGTATTGCTTATTAAACAAATATATTCTTGTCTTATCTGAACACCAAGCCAAAGGGTCCTTCTTTGTAAAGAGAATGACTGGTGCAGTGCAGTGTACAGCAGTTGTGTCTTAAAGGGACACTGTCAACTTGAATATCACCATCTGAACATTTTGTACCGTGTTAAAAGTGACTCCTAACGTTACCATAGCTTGGCAGTTCTTGACCTTTTCTATATTGTAGCCCCAGGGTACAAAGGAAAGTTTCAGGATCCCCTTTCCATCTAGCCATGGAGAAAGAAAGCTTGATCATGACCATCAGTCTAAGCCCTGGTCTACACTTAAAATTCAGATTGACCTAACTATGTCGCTCAGGGGTGTGAGAAATTCACACCCTTTGAGAACTGTAGTTAAGCCAGCCTCACTGCCTTTCGGGGGGGTGGGTTACCTGCACTGACGGGAAAATCTCTTCCATCGGTGTAGAAAAGCGTCAGTGGGCATAGCTGTGCTGCTGTAGCCCCTGTAGTGTACACATACCCTGAGAAACCATGCCAGATAGCTGGAAGAAATTGGAGAGAAAAATGCCTTTCTCTTTATTTTTCCGTTTCTTCACTTTTATTGTTTGATGGTGTCCATCCCTCCCCAGGCTCTGCAAAGGGGTTTTACCCGTAATAGCAGGCCACAAAGCTGAAACTGAATGTAAACAGGCAGCAAGCGGTAGCCAGAGGTGTGAAGAGAGAGAAAAAAGAGGGGGAGCATGTGTGGCTTGTCTTGCCTAAAAGTCCCTTTCTGAACATAAATGGGGAGATGGGGAAAAGTAATTTTCAAGGGAAATTATAAAACTGTAAATCCAGGATATGCTATTTAAAGGGTGCTCCCTCAGGAAACCAGGCTGAGTTTATCAACTTGAATTTTGTGGAAATAAGTCTTTGTAAAAGTGTTCTGCAAAAGGAATTGCCAAAATCTTGTCTCCTGTAACAACACGTGTTGAATGATCATCCATGAGACATGAACTTAACTTGGATGTGTGAATGTATGTCTTGAATGATCATTCGGCACATACCAGCTAACCATTCGTTCTGCGTTACAGCTTTAGTTCCCCAGTGTCCAGCCTGTCTCAGATCACCAGCTTCTGCTCTAGTGGAATGCTTCAGCATTCATTGTGCTCCTGTAAACCTCTGAACTTGGCTTAGGAAAGAGCTGCTCTCTGTGGGTTCGATTGCTTGTCTGTGATTTTTAGGAAAATATTGACTAGATTTGTACATTTTAAAAACATTTTATTTAACCAACATTTTTAAAGAGTGCAGAACAACCAAACAAGGCAAAACAGGCATTTACCTGGTCTGCTATTCGTTAGCTCCGTGCTCAGGCACAACTGCTGGATTGATACCATGCCTTTAGAATGCTGGGGTGTTAGAACAGATCACATCAAAAATGGGGATTCTGATATGTGCTGTTTATCATGAAACTGAAGAACTAGGTGGGAGAAAGGGGAGGTTTTTAGTAATGTTCTGTATTCCCCTTAGCCTGGCTACTGGGGGCATTCACCCTTTAATGCTATTGATGGGTTTTTGATTATTCCTCTTGTATTTCTCTTTTTAACAAGTCTAATATTCTGTGTGCATTTTCGTAACTTGAATGTATGTGATGCAAACATTTTGGAATGGTTTGGCTGATCCATTATTTTACCTAGTGTGACACAAAGCCTGAACCAAAGCTGGTCCGAAAGTGATCTTGCAAAAGACACTCTATAAAAATAACTTGTTAAAACACAAGTTTATGATTGCTTTGTTTAATTGCTGTACCCATCAAACAGGGGTGCTGGAACAATTTTTACAGTTGGGGTTCTGAGAGCCATTGAACCAAACTGACCCCCGTATATGATGGAAACCACTTCAAGCCAGGGGGCGCTGCTGCATCCCCAGCACCTCTAGTTCCAGCACCTATGCCATCAAATACCAGCAGTGATATCCTGTTTTTTTTGTTTTTGTTTTGTTTTTGTTTTTTAGAAACAAGTAACTTTTGTGTTCTGTAATTATCTCTCTTGGATGTATAGTGGTAGGAAATATTTGCTGCTTGGTGTCTTTTAAATGACTGTTCTAAAATGAAATTCCCTTTATTGTGGATCCCTTTAGGTTAGATGATTACTTCCTCCCCCTTCCCCTCCCCCAAATTTAAGGGATGAATTCTGTCTTGAATAAATCATCTTGATATAGTGGTAGAAGGAGAGGTATGTATTATTTGGGCTTTCTCCTAATTTTCTTTTCTTGTAAAATGTTACCTTCAGCTGTTGTCCCATCAAGACCAGAATGTACAAAAAGTAGCCCTTGACTGCATCATGACCTACAAGCATCCACATCTACTGCCATACAAGTAAGAGCTTTAAAATTCTTCCAACATAGATAAATCACTAAGTATCACATCAAACATATATTTATGATATTTGGCATCATCCGCTTCTAAGAGAAATATCCACAACTTTCTGAACCCAAGAAAAAATAATATTCCTATTCCGAATCTGAGTTTGGAAATGGACAGAATTAAAAAAAGCTTCTCCTATTTATATTTAAAATAAAATGGAAAAAGCTTTGGTAGACTATAAAGAAGAAAAGAGGTTGTCTCCTCCATGCCATTGTTCCTGAGATCTAGATATAGTCACAGAAAGTAACCTGGACTAGTCTTGAAAAGCAGATATCTGAGAAGTGGAATTGCTGTTTTGTTTTAAAGAAGGAGGAGGAGTGCAGCAGGGCCATGTTCATTCAGAAATGGAAAAACTGAAATATTTTGTCTATCAGATTTGAACTCTTTCTCAAAACAAAACAAATCTTTTCCCTCATCCAGACCCACCATGGCATGTAGTGGCCAATTGTGTTCTTTTCAGTAAAGGATTTTTGTAGTTCTTTATAATCATTAGGTAAAACTGTCAGCACAATACTATTGCACCCACTTGAATAGCCTTTACAGAACCTTGTATGAAAAATAGTGGTCTGTGCAGTGATGTTGAGCTAATTGATTTACTTACCCTTTTAATAAAAGGGTAAGGATGTGATCTTTGAATAAATTGCACAGAGATCTGTTTTTTAAAAAAAAATAACTGTGTTTAATACTTACAGGGAGAACTTGCAAAGATTACTGGAAGATAAGAGCTTTAAAGAAGAAATAGTCCATTTCAGCATATCCGAGGAGAACACTATAGTTAAAATGCAACACCGACCAGATCTTGTTCTTGTTCTTATGAGGTGCGTGGGTGAAACACTGCATAAACTTTGCATATTAAAATAAAACAATGGCTATAGAAGAAGCATAATGCAGCCGCTGGTTGATATTTTAGAGACAATACAAACTTATGGCTCTCACAGCAGCTAAGGTTTCCTCGTTCATTACTGTACGTGATATTCTCTTTAATACATTTGTGCGTGTGTAGTATTGTTGAATGCATTAGTTAAGCTCATATTTTCCAAAAAAGTTCATCTTAAATGCCTAAGAAAAAATCTGAGAGATTTTCACCCTCAGGGTATTAGTTATTTGATAAATACATGGAAATAGCGATTTACAGTGAAAGTGCTTCCTCAGCTATAACGTTGTCTTCATACTAGCAGAGAGGTGGGCAAACTACGGCCCGCGGGCCACATCCAGCCAGTGGGACCGTTCTGCCTGGCTCTTGAGCTCCCAGCCGGGGAGGCTAGCCCCCGGCCCCTCCCCCGCTGTACCCCTCCTCTGCAGCTACGCTGCCATGCGGGCAGCGCGACTTGCGCCCCCGCCCACGTCCCAGGCTTTCCAAAAAGCCTGTCCTGCCGCTCTGAGTGGCATGGTAAAGGGGCGGGGGGAGGGGAGGGTTGGATAAGGGGCAGGAGGTCCCGGGGGGCAGTCGGGACAGAGGGCGGTTGGATGGGGCAGAGGTTCGGGAGGGGGCGGTGAGGAGACAGGGAGCAGGTGGGGGGTTGGATAGGTGGTGGGGTCCTGGGGGGGCAGTTAGGGATGGGGGTCCTGGGAGGGGGCGATCAGGGGATAAGGAACAGGGGGGTTGGATGGGTCGGGGGTTCTGAGGGGGGGCGGAATAGGGGGCAGGGGCCAGGCTGTTTGCAGAGGCACAGCCTTCCCTTCCGAGCCCTCCATACCTTTTCGCAACCCCGATTTGGCCCTCGGGCCAAAAAGTTTGCCCACCTCTGTACTAGCACGATGCTTTGCTAATTCATACTTAAGCCATGCTCCCATTCAGATCACTAGCAGAATTTCCAATGACCTTGTTGGGAGCAAGAGCACGCCCTTTCTGTTAGTGCTACTGGGTGCCAAACAGCAATAGAGGTAATAGTGGGGAGCATTAGTTAAGCCATGTAGTTCAGGTTATACTTTCTAAACAAAGATTGTGAACCAGCCAGACTGCTCCTGCAATGCTTCAGAAACAGGCAGCTAGTGGAGAACTCACTAATACAATTTCCTTTTGGCTTTTGAAGAATTCTGTATGGGCGGATGAGAAACAAAACTGGAAGCAGAACTCAGGGCAAATCTGCTGCAGGCACCCGTATGTCAATTGTTCTGAGGTTCCTTGCTGGCTCGCTGCCTGAAGAGATCAGAATGTTCCTGGACCTGCTCTTTGAACCTGTGAAGCACTTCAGTGCTGGTATGCTTCTGCCATTAGAAGTTGGGGATAATAGTTCTTCCCTACCTCACGGGTGTGGGGAGGATAAATACTTTGAGGACTGTGAGGGACTTAGATGTTATGGAAATGGGCGCCATATAAGTACCCTGGATAAATTAAAGCACCCATGACACTGGTTATTTTTTTAAAATAAGAGTCAAGGTTTCCCCTGAGCCCTTGGCCACAGTTTCCCTTCCCTGCTGTATAATGTACTATTATTCCTGTACCGTTATTACAGAAGTGAGGCACCAAGAGACTGAGTGACTTACCCATGGTCACCCAGGAGGTCTGTGGCAGAGCAGGGAATCGAACCCAGAATGCCAGAGTCCCAGGCTGGCATCCTAACTATTGTGTTGTCCTTCCTCTCTGAAGGGCTGGTGAGCCCAATGCCACAGAGGTATTATGAGGATAAGTGCATACATTGATTGTGAGGCACTCCGACACTACAGCAATGAGGGCCATATAAGAGCCATGATAGACAGCTGGGACTGTCTGTTAATTTTACATAAGAAGCTGGATTAGGAGCATTTAAAGATCTTGTAATTTAGGGCCAGATTTTGCCACCCTTTCTCACATTGAGACGAACCTCAGACATTGACATTTGGCCCATTGAAATCGGGTCCTTACTTACCAAGGTAAAGATGAACTGATATATTTTCACTGTCCTCCTTCCTTCTGTAGGACCGTGCCAGGTTGCAGTACTCCAAACAATATCAGAACTGGATTTATCTAAAGTCCTGCCTCTAGGCCGCCAGCACAGTCTGTTCAACAGCTTTGAGGTTGTACTGAAAAATATGGGCCATCTGATCACCCGGTACTTACCTGAGATTTTACAGATTTTACTTTGTATGACAGCAACAGTATCCCACATCCTTCAACAAAGAGAGAAGGTAAGGAACATGATACTGTGTGTATATATATATATTTTTTCTCAACTCTATTGGTTCAAATTACGCTTGGTGCCAATAAGGAGTAAAGCTTTAGAAACCAGTGAATAATAGAAAGATGGATAAAAATATAGGCCAGCAACATTGGTCTTAAAATGCCGCAGTGTTTATATAGAAAGAGTATATTGCTGTTAAACAGTTGTTTAAAATGCTGTTAAATTGTTGGCATTTCAGTCAGTCACAGTGTTGAATATATTTAATAAAATAGACACTTTAAAACATTGCATGTAACAATTCATACAAACAAGAATTTGAATGTCAAATGCATTTTTTTAAAAAAACAACTACATTTCATTAAACCAAAGTGCACACACTAACTAGGAGTTTGTTTGGGGCAACTAGAGCCCTTTCTGGACTTGAATTCAAACAGGTAAAGAAAACTTCTGTTCCCCCCCCTTTTTTTTTTTGGTCTTAATATCATGGTTCACCTCATGCTTCTCTAAGTGCTGTAGCAGTAACTAGCAACAAGGGAGCGGTAATTTTAGGACAGTTACAGTCCATAATCCAATTTACAGTAGTACACAAGTAATTTTATATATCTCTAGAGTAATCATTTTTGTACTGTAAAGTTATTCAAGTAATGCTATCTCTCACCTTCAGATGTGACTGAGTAACTCTTGGAGAGGTATTTGTGGTGCCATGCTGTCATTTGTTAAACTTAATTTAACACTTCATTAGCTAGTGAGGTGTTAAGAGTTCAGAGAAGGATGCTAGAAATCTGTTTATCTTGGATAATTATTACAAGAAATTCCTGTGGGTTTGAGAGTCATTTATTGCAGGATGGTATTGCCCAAAGAGTTAAATATCTACTTTTGTGGTTCTGAGCTCAGTTACGGGTTTAATGTTTCCTACTGTTCACTTTCAATATGGAATCTGTCCTTGTCCTTACACAGGCCTCTTCTCAAGGAGCATGCTCTATCTCCTTCCTCTCGTTTGAGTAGATGGGGAATCTGATTCAGTTTATTTGGTGTAAAAATTATCGTCTATCATTCTAATTTTTAGTAGCAAAAATCATGTCTCTTGTGATAAAGATTGCGGTTGAGCATTAGACAAGGTGGAAACTAAGCTCAAAAGAAACGAGATTAAAGCACGGGACCTTAAGGGGAAGGACAGCAGAGAAGTTTGTACAAGCAGTAAGATAAGTGCCTGGAAACAGATTTGGTATTGGCTGAGGAGGAGTGGAACCACATCAAAAGAGAGAGGATTGCAGCAGCAGAAGAGGTGTGTGGACAATACAGTTGGGGAAAATCAAGGGACAGAGAGGAGTTGTGTTGGACCGACGAAATGCAGGTAGCGATCTGAAATAAGAAAATGGTGCATAAAGAAAAAGACATAAGCACATCAAGTGTGAATGAAAGCAAATACAAAGAAGCAAAGTGAGCTGCTAAGCAGGCAGTGATGGAGGTCAAAGAAAGTGCCATAGATGACCTGCATGCAGAGCTTGTAAACCACCCACATCTGGCTGGCCAAAAGATCTATAACATTGCAAAAATCAGATGCAAAGGGAAGGAGTATGGTATTGCAGCACCATTTGTAAATGATGACCAGGAGAGACTGCTAGTAACACCTGAAAAAATGAAGGTGAGATGGAAGCAATACTTTGAGAGTCTCTTAAATAAAGCAAACCCCTTTTTGGAAGAGTTGCCAATATCCTAATGTGGTGCCTGAGTCTGACACAATGGAGGTGAGAAATGCAGTCTAGATAATGAAGAACAGTAAGGTGGTGGGACCGAGGAAGTGACAACGGACCTGGGGAAAGTCCTGTGCGAGAGAGGCATAAAATGGATGAGCAGAGCGGTTAAAGCAGGGGTCGGCAAACTTCGGCTCGTGGCCCATCACGGTAATCCGCTGACAGGCCGCAAGACATTTTGTTTACGTTGACCATCTGCAGGCACGGCCCCCCGCAGCTCCCAGTGGTTGCGGTTTGCCATTCCTGGCCAACAGGAGCTGCGGGAAGTGGCACGGGCCACAGGGATGTGCTGGCTGCTGCTTCCCGCAGCTCCCATTGGCTGGGAACGGTGAACTGTGGCCACTGGGAGCTGCGGGTGGGCCATGCCTGCGGACAGTCAACGTAAACAAAATGTCTTGCGGCCTGCCAGTGGATTACCCTGATGAGCTGCGTGCCGAAGGTTGCCGACCCTGGGTTAAAGCCATATGGCAAGATACGTGAATATCCCAAGATTGGTGCAGGTCTATCTTGGTCCCAGTACGTAAGCAGGGGAGCATCCACAAATGTGGAAACTGTTGAAGGATAAAGTTCCTGTTGTGTAGAATGAAGGTACTGGAACACATCTTGGATGCTACGGTTAGGAGAATGGCGGAACCCCTCCTCAGACAAGAACAGTTCAGCTTCAGGAAAGGATGAGGAACCACAGATGCCATGTTTGTAATTCGGCAAGTGATCAAGAAGTTGTTAGAGCACCAACAGGATCTCTTCTGGGCTTTAATAGACCTAGAAAAGGCATAGTATAAGGATGCATAGGACAAAGGATGCTCGCTCTAGTGCTGAGGAGATATGTCATGTCTGAGGATTTAATATCACCGAAAACAGCGATCTGAGCATGTTTTGGAATGACAGGCCCCTTTGATGTGAAAGTCCAACTGCATCTGGGGCCTTTAGTCTGCTGCTGTTTATCATGTTGATGGAAGATCTCAATGGGAAAGGTGAGAAGCTGCTATATGCAGATGACATAGCTATAAGAGTGTTCTCAGAAGATGAGCTAGAGTAAAGAGTAAATCAATGGTCGGGCCAGGTAAGCTGACATGGGAAGAAAAAGGATATGACTAAGACCGAGGTAATATGGGTCAGTAGAGGTGTCTTAGGGAGACTGAATATAAAGATGAATGGAATCTGACTAAACCAGACTGAGCAGTTCAGGTATCTGGGTTGTGGATGACAGTGAGCATGAATGCGAGATACAGTCCTGACTGGGGAGTTCTGGAAGACAGTGGAATAACATCTCACTGACGCTGAAAGCCCAACTGTATGTAGCAATGGTGTGCCCTGCAATGCTGTATCGTGCAGAAGCACGGGCAGAAAAGAGACGGGAAGTTCAGTGCCTAACGATGTTCAAGATGAGATGTCTTTGTGCAGTATAGTCCCACAAAGGGATGGATTGCGATTTGAAAGCTTTAGGATAGAAGTCTCAGCCCATGATGTGGCTGACAAAATCCGGGAAGTGCAACTTTGCTGGTTCAGACAGAGAGAGAGTGAAAGAAGAGGACCTGGGGAAGATGGCATGGCAGAAGAGGGTGGAGAGGAAAGAGACCCCGAGGTAGTGATGGTGGATTGCATCAAAAAAGATGGTAAGCTGATGCACCTTAGTGCTGTCTCGGACTGACGAAGATGGCAGATGTTTGCATGGTGACCCAACCCTAGATGATGGGATAAGAGGAAGAAGTAGTAGTTTCTAAGTCACTTAGGAGCTTTTGAAAGTGTTACCTAGAGGCCGTGTCTACACTTTGGGGAGTGTAGGGTACATGTAGCTACACACTGCAGCAAAAGGCAGGCTGCAACCACAGTCACTGCCATGTGTAGCTGCATGTGACAGTGAAAGGCTCTGGCAGGGGGAAGCAGTGGGATGCTACACTGGTAAAAATAGCACAGAGGCACTGCATGGTTGTGCAGAGAGCCGTGTAGGGTATGTACCCACAGGGTTCTGGTGTGTCTATATTCCATTCACCTAAGCAGGGCCTCACCATCTACCCTGCTCTTTATACCCATGCTGGGGAGGCATGCGGTGTCTGTACTCTACATGTCGCCATAAGTGTAGCCCTTCCCAGAGGAGACCAGCAGAAAAGGCTGTAATATTATAAACAGATGGCTGATTAGCATGCTTTATCTCAGTGTTGAATATCTTCCCCAAGGAAAGCTATAGAATGTAACTTCGTTACTGTTAAATGCATGGGTAGCGTAACTTTTTTTACTACATTTTAGCCCGCTCCTCCTCACTCTGTCTTTGCTGGATTCCTCTCTCTCCTCTAAGCTTGTTTTCATGTGGTAAGAGGAAACTGACCTTTGGTCACTGGTTTTGGTTGTGCTCTTTTTGGGGGGGTAATTTATTTAATATATTTTCATACAGAAACAGACAAAGAAAAGTACAAAAAAAAATGTATATGAGCTCCAATAGAATTATGCAATTGCAAGATTTTACAGTTTGACAAAGCTGCAAGACCAGGCAATGTACATAGACATAACATGTTAGGGTGGGGTAACAGTAGTAAAATAGGAGGGAAGGAGGGGACCACGGTGGGAGGGATGGAGATTTGGCATTCCTTGAACCATCTCAGTATTTTTTTATTCAAATGTATCGAGAAATGGGGTTCACATTTCTCTGAATTCATATAATTGCTCTCTATAGCAATAAGTTATTCTGTATTTGGCTGCTAATTCAGATAGGCCCAAATACCACAGCTCTATTCTGGTGGTACTTTTGAAGATGTGTAAAGTAGTACTGTTTGAATATTGGGAGTGGGGTATGTAGATCTCTTAAGGGCAGTGCTAAAAACTGTAGTATTCGCTTACAGTGGTTTTGGCCCCAGTCCTTCAGCGAGCTGTGTGCGAGTTGGCTCTCGTTCCCAGGCAGAGTCCCAGTTAAGCCTTGTGACTTGGTGCAGGATGGGGACCTTAGTCAGAAAGTTAAAATCATCTTTACAGGATAAAGGTAACTTGTTCACGATAGCAAACAGGAGGAAACAGTGTAATAGTCCAAGCAACAGTCACTCATATCCATGATTGATTAAATACAGTATTTCATGCAGGGTAACTAGCTTTGTTCTATATAGCAGGTGTATTGCAGCAAGAATAGGTATTTTTGTCTTTATTTTTTCCAGATCCAACTAAGGTTTATTAACCCACTGAAAAATTTGAGGCGTCTTGGGATCAAACTTGTGGCAGAGTTTTTTTCTGATTTTGAGACCTACAGCTTTACAGTGGATGAGATTGATGCCATTTTTGAGGCAGTGATATGGCCCCAGGTAATGTTGACAGAGTAATACATTTTATTCTGAGTTATCTAGTATGTAAAGATAAGCAAAGTCTGGAAAGACATTGAAATACTTCTCTGATGGATTGTATTTACGTGGGACAACCTATCCTAAATTCTCAATTATTGAGGGACAATCTACACTCATCGCTATACTTGCTTTCCACAAGCTATTCTTAGTATAACTTTTTATGAGTGAAAAGAACGAGGAGTACTTGTGGCACTTTAGAGACTAACAAATTTATTTGAGCATAAGCTTTCGTGGGCTAAAACCCACTTCATCGGATGCGTGCAGTGGAAAATATAGTAGGAAGATATATATATATATATACACACACACACACACACAGAGAACATGAAAAAATGGGGGTTGCCATACCAACTCTTAATGAGACCAACTGATTAAGGTGGGCTATTATCAGCAGGAGAAAAAAAACTTTTTTCTAGTGATAATCAGGATGGCCCATTTCCAACAGTTGACAAGAAGGTGAGAGTAACAGTAAGGGGGGAAAATAAGCATGGGGAAATAGTTTTACCTTGTGTAATGACCCATCCACTCCCAGTCTTTATTCAAGCCTAATTTAATGGTGAATAATGAATAAAGACTGGGAGTGGATGGGTCCCAGTGAATGAGAGAGACTGGGAGCTGACTGGCTTTTATACAGTCAGGCCCACTCAAGGCTCACCTGGAACAAAGCACTCCCAATTCACACTTTTCAAACCACCAATCAAGCACACGGTCAAACTGTCCCCACAACAGACACTCAGATACTCACCAACACGGCCTTCCTAATGCAGCCCTTAGCGTACCTCCTCTCAGGCAGATCCCAGGTAAACTCCCTCTGTTAGTCGCTCTGCTGTTCGCTGCTCAGCTGTTTCGCAGCCGACTGGCTGACTCCTCGTTCTTTTTGCTGATACAGACTAACACGGCTACTGCTCTGAAACCTGTTTTTATGAGTGAAGTATCCGAATATTTGGATGCTGGTATTTAAGGTGGTATTTAAAATTTAATGTATTGTTAAATTTATTAACCTTAATTTGGGATACTGCAGATTATGTACTATATTCATTGTATGCCTTTTTAAACAAAACATTGTTCTTTTGGATAATTTAAGCATTATAGCCAGATATATAAAAACTCTTTTTAACCTGTATACTAGATAATTTTAACATTTGCTGCCTAGAAATCTCTAATTTCATTTGCTTGTATTACATGTGTGAAGGGCCGATCTTGGGTCTTAATAAGAAGGCCAAGCATCTGATTAATTCTGGAACTGCTTCTATATTCAAGCCAAAATCAAAAATACTTACAGATTAATCTGAATAAAGTAAAAACTGTATCTCTCTTCTTTAACAATTGAAGCAGACTACTTGCTCTGACATTTCCTGGGGAACAAAGTTGTACTGTTGGTATATGTTAGATGCCTAATCTGTCCAATTTAAAATGCCTGAGTATTTACCCTTGAAAAAAATCTGAATAGTATCAGACAGTACCTTCGTGGGCTAGGTGTTCCTGTTCTGCGGTCAGTCTTAACCTATAATATGCCCCCTTCATCCATTTTTGTTCATTTTGCTTATTTATTGCATCTACCAGTATGGCACCTTACATATGGCCAAATGACAGATGAATTAGCTGTATGCAAAGCACATAACCTTGTACCTCAGTTGATTAGGTAGAAGAGAATGTTGTTTTCCTGTCCCTCTTAGACTTTCAGCTATCTCTTTCTATGCCCCCAGCTACTCCAGGATTGGGAAACTAAGACTCCGATTCAGCAAAGTCCCATAGAAGTCAAAGCAGGATGTGGTTAAGTGCTTTGCTGAATCATTGTCTCAGAGCTTTGTGTTTGGAAAGCACTGTGTACATAAGAACGGCCATAACTGAGTCAGACCAAAGATCCATCTAGCCCAGTATCCCGTCTTCCGACAGTGGCCAGTGCCAGGTGCCCTAGAGGGAATGAACAGAACATTCCCAGCCTCTGGCAAACAGAGGCTAGGGACACCATCCCTGCTCATCCTGGCTAATAGCCGTCAGTGGACCTATCCTCCGTGAATTTATCTAGTTCTTTTTTGAACCCTGTTACAGTCTTGGCTTTCACAACATCCCCTGGCAAAGAGTTCCACAGGTTGTCTGTGCCTTGTGTTGCCATTGTCTGAACATTTTCCAATTCCAATATATCATTTTTGAGATGGGGTGACATCATCTGCACGCAGTATTCAAGATGTGGGCGTACCATGGATTTATATAGAGGCAATATAATATTTTCAGTCTTATTATCTATCCCTTTCCTAATGATTTCCAACATTCTCTTAGCTTTTTTGAGTGCCGCTGCACATTGAGTGGATGTTTCCAGTGAACTATCCACAATGATTCCAAGAGCTCTTTCTTGAGCGGTAACAGCAAATTTAGATCCCATCATTTTATATATATAGTTGGGATTACCAAGATCCTTTGGTAGCTCTTCACAGTCTGCTTTGGACTTTACTATCTTGAGTAGTTTTGTATCATCTGCAAATTTTGCCACTTCACTGTTTACCCCTTTTCTCCAGATCATTTATGAATTTGTTGAATAGGACTGGTCCCATTTGATAATGCTCTATAATTTCTGTAAATAGAAATGATAACTGGTTTAAAGAAATAATGCTCATTTCCTGCATGACCTAGTGTATCCCAGGGGGTGTCTACACTGTAATTAAAAACCCACAGCTGGCCTGTGCTAGCTGACTCAGCCTGAGCCCTATGAGCCTAAGAGGCTGTTTAACTGCAGTGTAGACATTCAGGCTCAGGCTGGAGCCTGAGATCTGGGACCCTGCGAGGTGGGAGGGACGCAGTGTTTGGGCCGAGCCTGAACACCTGCACCGCAATTAGCCCCTTAGCCTGAATCCTGTGAGCCTGAGTCAGCTGGCACAGGTCCCTGTCAGTATCTAACTGCAGTGTAGGCATATCTCCAGAGACCAGCACTATATGATAGGATCCAAAAATAATCCAGTAGCTCCCTCTAGCGGAATTTCAGCCATTGATTCTTTCTCAGAGATATTTTTTGCAGAAGACTCATTTGATTTTGTGCATCATTTTAAAGGCTATGAAACCATGAGGCTTGTGAGATGATGCGGGAGGAGGGAGAATTCTAATCCTTGTGCTTGGAATTGGAGTTTCCTGATGTTAACTGCACAAAAATCTACTACTGGGACTCGGGATTAGTAGTCCACATAGCAGACTTCCTTCCCATAGGATTGCATTAAAGATTCCTTTGTTCAGAAAGATATGTTCAGAAAAGTGCTGCTTTATACAGAGCAGTGGGGCACGCAATCATTTTGGGCAACTGGACAAGCTTTCTAAGACTTAGATCTGTTCCCCACCATTGCCTCCATTTCAGTTTTACACTGCAGTGCAGACTGAGCCTAAACCCCGCTCTCACCATCCTGGTGCATTAAACCAAAAGAACATGGACAACCTCCTGGCTGCTCAGTAGCAGCCAACACGTAGCAGAGGCGTTCTCAGTCATATTGATGCCGCTGATGCTGCTGCAGACAGGAATATAAGTGTGAGACAGTCCCTTTGGCTGCATCTGTGTGCAAAGCACAAGGAGAGGGAAAATAACTCCCAAGGGGAGGACAAAAACAGTGGGTGGGATAATTTTGTTTTCAAGCTTTTAAGGTGAAACAAAAGATGCTCCATTAGTAGCTATCAGCAGTATTGAAGGGATTAGAAAGTGAGCAATGATTTTTTTTTAAGGTAAATTTATCATTCACAGAGAATTATTTAAACTCGTTTTCTGTCAAATTTGATGTTTTAAATAGTGATGCGTGGTCACACTGTTTTGTTTTATGATTTATCCTCTCTTTGTCTTCTAGATCAGCAGGCTCGCTTCTGAGAGCCAGTATTCTCCTACTCTGTTACTCAAACTCATTCACATCTGGAGCAAGAATTCCAGGTAAACTTTTCCTTTTGTGGAGAAGCAAGGTGAATGCATAGTGTCTGCTGTGAATAACACACAACATGGAAAGAAAGATAGTCACACATTATTCCTCCTTGCAACCTCAAAGAAGTTATTGGGTACAAAATGGCTGCAAAGAGCAGTATTTTGATCAACATGTAAATTTCATAGATTCCAAGGCCAGAAAGGATCATTGTGATCACTTAGTCTGACCTCCTGTGTAACCAAGGCCAGAGAACTTCCCCCAAATAATTCCTAGATCAGATCTTTTAGAAAAACATCCAGTCTTGATTTTGAAATGGTCAGTGATGGAGAATCCACCACAACCCTGGGTAAATTGTTCCATTGGTTAATTACCCTCACCATTAAAGAGGGTGATTTTACACTTCATTTAATGTTGTTTAGCTCTTTTTCATCATAGTTCACAAAGCCATGACAAAGGACGGTATCGTTATTCCTCTGTTACATATGGGGAAACTGAGGCTCAGAGTGGGGAACTGATTTGTGTAAGGTCTCTCAACAGTTCAGTGAGAGCACCTGTACTAGAATCCAGGTCTCCAGGCTCCCCAGTCTAGGGCTGTATCCACTGGACCAAGCAGCTGTGCTTGCTTTTCTTTTCCTCTTTTCTCTTTTCCTTTAATACTGTACTTTCTTGTTACTGCTTAACAGTATTTTACATAGGGTATTGAGCCTGAGGGAAAAGTGTAGAATAGGGAATATACCAAATACCTGAGTTCCAGCAACTCTATTTTAAGTGGTGGACTTCGATTTTCAGTTACATTTTTCTGAAAATGTAGGTAGAAACCTGGGCCTCAACCCTGCAGACATATATAGATGTGCTTAACTTAAAATGCATGAATAGTCCCATTACCAATTGACTTGTCAATGGGATTATTTGCATGCTTAAAGTTAAACATTTACCTAAGTGTTTGCAGGACTGGGGTCTTAATTCTGATTTATTTCCCCACGGAATAAACAGGGTATGAAATAACTATAGCTATGTTGTGTCAAGACCCCGGTGTATCTAGTCTATGAATCTAATGCTCCCTAATAAATGCAACTCCCGATCTTTCCAGTTTCTGGAGATTATTCTCTGTAATATCAGGCCATTTTCCCCACATATGAACAGCCAGGCAGGTTTGTAGCCAATATCTAGCTCAGATTTTGAGGGGAGAGGGATGAGTTAGTGGAAAGTGGTAGCCAATCCAGTTTTGAATAAAAACCTTGTGTCCTTCCCCTTTGAACTGTATTGGTTTGTTAATGTTCTGTAGTGTCCGCTAGATCCCTGTTTACTAGTCATTTACAGAATAACATGTGAGTATTGTATACCGCTCAGATATAGAACTAAAACAAGTCAGAAGGAGTTGGCCTTTAGATATTTGGGGTGAAATCCTGGCTCTACTGAAGTCAATAGTGCCCGGATTTCACCCCTGACTTTTAACTCCCTTTCGCACTCTCATTTGGTCCCATCACCATGGTATTTCAGTGCTTACCTCCAGATTTACCATTGTCAGAAATGAAGAATGTATTTTCTGTTTATGTACCAAACTGGTCTTAGGTCGTAAGAATTTTTCCTTTTTAATGGTCTTCCCCAGAAGGTAGAAGAACATTTCTTTACCTTCAGTCTTTTTGTATGTAACTTTATGGAGGAAATGTTTGTAAAACTTTTATTTATTTTTTTAAAAAGTGAACTGTGAATTTTTCTTGTTCTGTGTCTGTTACTCAGATATTTCCCTTTGCTGGCCAAGCAGAGACCAGGGCACCCAGAATACGATACGCTGTTGAATGTCTTTGCTCTGCTGTCCACCAAGAATCTCTGTGAGGCGACAGCTGGTGTTGTGATGGATGTGGCTGACAACCTCCTCAATAGTCCAGATTTTGAACCCACAGACCTGGTTTCCAGCTTGACAGTGACTGACTGCGTTTGTTTAGAGTCTGACACCGATGGAATGACAGAAGGTATGAATGAATAGTAATCAGAATGATGAGGAACTCAACTGTAAGCATGAGTGTATGTTTTGGATCCCGTTGGGATATTCTGCGCCTTTGGCAAGAATGCCTTTTTAGAAGGAAAATTCCCTGCTAAGGCTTGTCTTCCCTTAGTACGTTCATTCATCCCTGTGCAAACAAGTTCCATATTTGTGTGCTAGTCGCCAGGACCCAGAAAGGTTTATTCTCTGTTAAAGGGAAGGGGGAGAATGTTCATAGTAACGGGCGAACTCCGTTGGTTAAGTTATAACCCGGAGGGCAGCCTTGGCAATTAGGACAAGTGGCTTGCACAAACGTCAACTTAATTTTTTTCTTTAAAAATAAATTCACCCAGCCATATACTCACTGCAATTCATTTTAATTTGCACTCCCTTGCAATAAAGACTTGTAGTTCATCATCTTTACCCTTCGCCTGCACTTCCTTTAACATTGGTTAGCTCTTTTTCAGCGGTTGCTCTCAAAGCCATGACAAAGGAAGGCAGGGATTGTTATCCCCGTGGTACAGATGAGGAAACTGAGGCTCAGAGTGCGGAATTGATTTGCACAAGGTCACACAACAGCTCACTGACAGAATCGGGATTAGAACCCAGTCTGGGGCTCTGTCCACTGGACTGGCTAAGCCCTTGTGTCACAGACTTGTTAGTGAACTGATGAGGAGGGGAGCTCTTGAGGTTTTTGTGTGTGTGTTGTAATAGCCTTCAGTCCCGTAGAATTTTAAACTCCTGCAGGGCTGATTTTCAGAGGCATTGAGCACTCGCAGCTCCCGCTGACTTCCTTTGGAGTGGAGGATGCTCAGCACTTCTGAATATCGTCTCCTAGTTCACCATTGTCCCCATGTTTGTGTAGGATTGGGTCTCTTCTTTTTGTTCTAAAACGCATTGGTAACCAGCTTGTATCCATTACAGAGTCCCCCAGCTTGGGTGCACGGTTAATTCTGCCTCACGTTCCTGCAGTACTTCAGTATCTCAGCAAAACCATGTTAAATGTGGAAAAGGTGAAAAAGAAAAAGTTCAGAGCTCAAGTCAGCAAAGAGCTCAACATTCTTTCCAGGTAAGTGATTCCTCACGGTTCAAAAGAGAGAAGCTTTGAAACAATGATCCCTCAGGATGGACTGCAAATATAGAATCAGTTACTTGGTCACAACGAATTTAAATTCAGAGCCATTTAAAACGTGTGAACTTATGTGTCACTCAACTTCCAGGTCACTGGTGGTCAGTTCCCATCACTGCTGACTGAACTTTAAAAGCGTCCGTAAGTGAAACTGGCACTGTGACAGAGTGTGTGTAGCCTAAGGCTGGCTCACCAATCTGTGCATTGACAAGTGTCCCCACAAGGAGATAATTGGTTAAGGACTGGATGATTAACCAGTTAACAAAGTGAATCAGCTCCTCAGTCCAGGAGACAAAGAGGGGCATGGGGAAGTCAGGAAGGAAGAGCCGGTGAAGCCCAGGAGCTCAGAGGATATGTCTACGCTGCAGTTAAAAAACACGATTGGGCCATGCTAGATGATTCAGGCTCATGGGACTGTTTAATTGCTGTGTAGACATTCGGGCTTGGGCTGGAGCCCAGGCTGTAGGATCCTGTGAAGTGGGAGGGTCCCAGAGCCCAGGCTGCAGCCCGAACCCAAATGTCTACACATAAACAGTCCCTTAGCTCGAGCTCAATTCAGCTGGCACGGGCCAGCCGCGAGTGTCTCACTGCAGTGTAGACATACCCTGAGCGATGAGATCTCTCCCTTCTCTTGCTATGTGCCTTGGGAGAAGATAAAAGCCTTTTGTTGTGGAGAAACAAGTACTTGAATAGCACACCAAGTAAAGCAGTTGGCATTGAACTTGCTGCTGGTTTGGATGAGGACTGTTTGCGGTGAGAATCCAGGGTGAGGGAGCCCCGTCCTGTGACAGGCACTCTAGATATTAATACTATGAGCAATCTGAGACTGCTCCCCTTGCGGCTATAAAAATATTAAAGTGGTCAAAAGTGGCTGCAGCAGTCTGGTTTGCATGGATACAGCAAACTTGTATGTCGGGTTCTTTGTAACTCTCTTCCCAAAGTAGGAAACAAATCATGAATTTGCAGGGCAAACAGTTATACTGTGTTTCCAGAAAAGGAGAAATACAGATGTACATATCCACACAGGCACAGAGTGGATCCAGTTACTGAATCAAGACCTTTGTTCCCAGACGTAGAAAATTCAAAATCGTAGTCTGAGTTCAGATGTCAGCCTTGACTTTGAATTTCTTGCCTTTCGCCAATTTGTGTCTCAAACTTTATGTTTAAGTGTACTTTTAAATGACGAAGAACAATCAGTGAGGGCTGTAAAACAAGGGAGTCATTGGACTTTTTAATCCAGGCAGATAAGTTACCCAGGACTGATTGATTGTCTGTTGCACAACTTTGTGTTGAGGGCACTATTTAAATGTATTAAAATGATCAGAAAAAACCTTTATGGAAAATAGTTTAACATATCCACATTGTTTAGTTTTTTGTTCCTTTTAAAATTCAAAATACTAATGACTATTTAACAGGAGACATATTTTGTCCTCGTATGGCAACACCTACCTGAGTGAAGGCAGAATTTGGCCCTCAGTGACATGCTAGGCATTAGTTTTAAAATTGACCCTTGTGCAATTTAAAATGGGCTGATCTGATTTTATTTGAATACTCTCTTTAAAAAATCTTCAGCTGATTCCTCGTGCTAAATTGCATCCTACTGTTAATGTAAATGTTTGAGGCCCTGATCCTGCCTCTGAGTGTATGGGTCTTAGGTCCACAGAGTCCTTTTGAAGTCAATGGCTCTATGTGAGTTCAAGGGTCCATTCACATGGATTCAAAGGCAGCATCAGGGCCTGAGCTTGTAACCCCTAAAAATACAGGTTCAGAACAGATGTGCTGACATAATTTTCTATTCTAGCACCAAAGCTTCACAGCTTTTATTGCAGCTCATGAAATCCCTGTTCACTTTGTATGGGTGAGTATGTGGATGCAAGATTAACCAATTAACCTTTTTTTAAAATAATGTAGGATCAGCAAGTTTATACAGGACAAGGGTCAGAGTTCTGTGCTCATCAGCCTCCTCCTCCCTTTCCTTCACCAGAGTAGCATTATGCAGGTAGGTGTTACTTCTTTCAGTGAAACACGTTTATTTTCTTTTGTAAATGGGATTATTTTTATGATGCATTTAAAAAATCTAGTAATTGCGTGCGAGTTATTGCAGTCATTCTTAACCATTTGAACTGGTGTAATAATAAAATCTATAGGGTATTTCTAGAATGCAACTCTTGGTGCCAGGTGCAAGACTACGATAACATCGTTTTTGGCCAGGAAAGGCCTTCTGTTGTATCCCCCTTCTATTCCCCACACAGGCTATTCCGTCATATTAAGCTGCCTTCCCCAGTAAAATCAGTTGTAGTGGTTGTCTTGCAAGAGAAAACATAGCTGGGGTGTTTGTGCCCCCTCTTTTGCCAAGGGAAGATTTGCCGAAGTACCTCTGTGAATTCTAATGCTTTGACCAGTCTCACCACTGCGATGTAGTTTATTTCCCAAGTAGCAGGAGCCCATGAAACCCTCACACGTATTATTGCGACAGTTTTTGAGCTGCTGTGATCCATCAGTTGCAGCCACTGAAGAGCAATCTAAACACACACTGGAGTAGGTCTGACATTCCTTCAGGTATCCACCAATGGTGCATACATACGTTGTGAGAGGAGAGATAAAAGTAACATAGTGTTATACACAGGGTCCCGCTTGTTTGTCAAGCCTCATTTTTCAAAGTAAAACTCCATCCCCAGTGATTGAAGTGCACAGGCCATCCAGCTGCAGGCCCAAGTCGTTAAATCAAGATGTGGATGCCTTTCTAAAGGGTGTGCCGGAGTTCAGTGAGAAATTATGGGCTTGATGTAGGAATTACTCGGTGAAATTCTGTGGTCTTTGTTATACAGGAGGTCAGACTAGATTATCATAATAGTCTCTCTGGCGTGAAAATCTACGAATCTATAAGGAAATGTATTAAGTTTTGTTAGGAAGACAGTCTAACTACATGCTGCTGTAACAAAGACTTCATTGCTCAGCTCTGCCAGTCCTATTTGCCTTTCATTTGAGAAAGGGTCCAAAAGAAATCACCATAGGCATGATTAGTCTAACCTGCTCACACTGTGTGATTAATAGCGAATTAAAACACTGAGTTATCTCTCCAGGTGCTTTTAGGAAATCTGTAATGAGGGAATTGATTTTCTGCTTCCAGTCACTAATTCTCATTTAATATTTGTAATGTGCATAATTCAAATCAAAAGCTTAAGATCACACTATGGCATTAGACACTTCTCAAGGAAACTAAATGATTTAACAATGCTCTTATGATTCTTGGACAATTGTCTCTTTCTTTCAGGATACAGAGATTGACATCTTGGTGACAGTGCAGAACTTGCTGAGGCATTGCTTAAACCCCACAAGCTTCCTTAAGCCTCTGGCAAAACTATTTTCGGTTATCCAGAACAAATTATCTCGACAGACACTCTGTGTGGTTTTTCAGGTATTACATTTTTAAGTGCCTTTCCGTAATTTTCTTATCCTTCTAGTTCTGAAAGATAAGGAACAATCATAAGTAAATTCATCTGCATTGTTCCATATAGACTTATAGATCTTTAAATCTACATCAAGTTATATAATAAAAATAATTGAGCCTGACAGCTGTTAGTGAAGTAGAAAGACAGTTGTCTACATACTGTTTTGGCCTGCTGCATTCCGATTGATGTGCGAATCTGATTAGATCTGTTGCATTTTAAACCAATCAAAGAGCACCTTATCAATAACGAATCCTCTGCATGTATGAGCAAAGCTGGATTTTGACTGCCTGAAGTAGATTCTATTTTTACTCTCCCATCCCCAGTGTGATAGGAATCACCTAAGCTGTTTTGCATGTTCCTGGAATGGCACACATTACATTTGTTTTCAGCAGGAAATCTGTGGAACATACAGCATAGATCCAGAAATTAGAAACGTGCACCTTTGAAATCCAAGGAGAGAGGCCCTGGTGTTAAAATGACAAAATGTCAGTTTCTCTCTTTCACACTCTCCTGTAATTTTTTAACCTACTTTCTAAAGGGGTCAAAATTAAGAGCCTGATTCTGCTCCAAATTGTAGTAGGAAGAGGCTCTAAGGTTCTAATATTTATTTGCTGCATATGATTTAACTAGTTTTGGTTTTAACTTTGTTTTTTCTTTTTCTTTTTTTTTTTTTAAAGACTTTATCTGATCTGGAAGGTGAATTGAAATACATTACGGAGGTAGTTAAGGTATGTACATTTTTCAATTTTTTTATTCAGTGTGTTGAATTATTTTTTAAAAAGTCTTCTAATGATTTGTTGTTCGTCTCTGTTAGTTGAATGCCTTTGATCAACGACATCTCGATGATATCAATTTTGATGTTCGCTTGTCAGCGTTCCAAGGAATCACTTCTCAGGTCAAAGAAATGCAAAGAGTGGACATCAACTTTCTTATTCCAGTTATGCATAACTGTTTCTACACCATACAGGTTAGTGGAAAGTTTCTCCTCTTGTGTTATCATAGGGTTTGTGTAATTAATGTTACTTTCCAGTTCTTTTGCTAGTTTTTGGTGCCAAGAAATAGCATCCATAAAATGGTTTCCTTTTCACAAAAGCCAAGATTTGAGACTTCCCTAGTGATGTCAATGCTGTGTTTTCTATGAATGTTCTGACATGCAAGCACAGTGCAGCAAGAGGAATACGAACTGCCTAACACTGGCCCATGGTGCCTCTTCAGCACAGAGCCAAGGACCTCTGTGATGAATCTGGGCTGCACAGCCACAGAGGCACACTGGGAATCTTGAAAATATGCTTTTCCCTCAGTGGCAACTTCAGGGGCCCCATTCTAACACTCAGTGAAGTCCAATGAGAGTCTTTCCATTGAGTTCAACAGGCCATTGGATCTGGCCCATAGCTTCTCCTGGGAAGGGGATAGAAAGTTTTGTATAACTTCTGGATCCGTGGTGGGCTTTGTTATAATATTTCAAATGGTACCACCCAGCCTAGAGTTGTGGAGAGTAGATGTTCTCTCTGTTACAGCTCTCCGAAACAGATGTGTTGGGGTGGAGGAGGGGGAGAGTAGTAATCAAGTGTTGAAGCTGTAGCTCATGGTGAAATATGGAGGTTCAGTCATTCATTGAGGTGTTGTTTCTAGACTTACGTGATATGATCTTTTTACCGTCTCAGTTAGGGGACATGTCTTTAAGTGACAGTGCCAGCCTGTGCTTGACCAGTATTATCCACCGGATAGCAGAAATCAGCCACACGGAAGATGAATACAAAGAAATAATCCAGCACACTCTCCTGCTGTCTCTGAGAAAAGGACTGAAGAGCAAGACTGAGGTAAGCACTTGAGGTCATAATGGTTATCCCCTGGTTATGCTGATGATTAGGGCCTACCAAATTTATGGTCCATTTTGATCAGTTTCACGGCCAGAGGGTTTTAAAATTGGTCAGTTTCACATTTTCAGCTGTTTTCATCTGAAATTTCAGGATGTTGTAACTCGGGGGGTCTGAACCCAAAAGGTACGTGGAGGTGGGTCTGATCTCCCTCCCCTCCCACCCCCCAGCAGCCCTGCAGGGGAAGAACAAGACCTGTCCCTCCCCAGCCCAGCAGGGACTCAGAGCTAGGAGTCCGCTGGCTGGGGCACTTCTAGCAGCAGGGGGAGATCGGACCCACCTCCATAAGCCACCTCCAGGGCTGCTGCCCAGCACTGGAGCTTCCTCAGCAGGGGGCTGCACTCGGAGGTGGGTCTGATCTCCCTCCAAGAGCGGCTGTGCAAGGAAAGGACAAGTTCTGTCCCTCTCCAACCTGGCGGGGACATGCAGCTAGGTTCCCTCTGCTGGGGCGCTCTCAGCAGCAAGTGGGAGATCAGATTTCACGAGGAAGGGCTTATTTCATGGTCCATGACACGTTTTTTGCGGCTGTGAAATTGATAGGGCTGTGCTGATGATATTAGAATCCATGAGTCATTTGATCATCTTTACCATTGTAAGGGCAAACAGGAGTGGTTTAATGCACAGAAAATTTATTCTTGGATTTAAATCTTTAAAAAACAACAATAAAAAACCAGCCCACCCTCTTTTCTGTATTTCCCTGCATAGCTTAGCTTTCCTCTAGGTAGCCCTCTGGGGCAGGAATTTTCTTAATTTTTGTGTACATTGCATAAAACTAAACAATCTGTACTAAACAAATAATAAAAGGCATGACTGTGTCAAACATGTTTGTAAGTAGCACTGACATTACTAGCTGTTCTACACCAGGGATTGCTGCATTTCCTATCAGCACTAATCTTTGGTCACTTGCTGTTTGTAGAACATTCAACAAGACTATACTTCGTTACTTTCCTGCTTGATTCGAACTTTTCCAAAGCACCCAGAGTTTCAAGACTTGGTCCAGCTAACTGACTGTCATGATCCTGAGGTGGATTTCTTTGAGAACATGAAACATATTCAGGTAAAGCACAGCGTGCTCCTTTTCCATTGTAAAAAATTAGCATTTGTTCAGGAGTAAAATTTGCAAAAGTGACTTAGGCTTATAAAGGCGCTGGGCGCTTAACCCAGAATTCCAGTGGGCGGCGGGAACGGTGGGATAGCTATGCACAGTGCACTGCTATGGCATTCAATGCTAGCCTTGTGGGCACACTCCGCCGAACTCACGTGCTTTAGTGGGGACACAGGAGACCGAATGTATAAAATAGCTTCTGAAAATTCGGACAGAATAATTTTGAAATAATTTTGTACTGTAGAAGTACCCTTAGGTTCACAACTACTTCTGAAAATGGGACTGGGTGCCTTAGTTACTTCAGTGATTAATTGTTTTATCTCAACTCTCTTTTATAAATCTCAGTAAAGTTTGTATTTACATACAATTGTTCATACGTTAGTTACAGTATCTTGTATTGTCTGTATATGTACTCTCCATCATTTGGCTAAAAGGAGTGATCTCTTCAGTATTCATTAGTAAAATGTCATAGATTCTAATGTTCTTATTTCTTAGCAGCCCCATGTTCCTGACTGTAACTCAATCTTGCTTTGTCCCTTCTTAACAGTATGAATAAAACCAGTGAGGGTTTGTTGTACAAACACTGTCCATGTATGATTGTATTGAATACATTGATTAATAGTCTTTGAAAATATTTTAGCATGCATGTAGGGCCTGACTTGAATGGGCATTGGATCAGGTCTTGAATTTCCTAATCTCTGCTGCATCTCTTCATTCCTTTTTAAATATACCCATCTGGAAGCTTCGATTTCCCCTTTTTGCTTAGAATAAATATGTGACATACAGTATTCCTTTTCAGAGAGAGCTTTTCGTACATCCCTAGCTACATGCTGCCTATGTTGTCTAAATTTCCCTTCTCACATAATTTCTCATCCATTTTTCCCCTATTATAATCAATTACCTTCTCTTGTCTGATGCTTTGAGGATGCCATAAGCCACTGTTTGTGATTTATTTACTGAATTGTGACATTCATAAAGGAGCAAAACTAGAGAAGGTTCAGAGATGGAGGGGGGAAAATGTAACCCTTCGATAGAAATGATGACACACATTTATTTAATTGTGTTTAAGCTTTTGGCACTCTTACAATTGCTACATCAAAAATTATTAAACCCAAATGTTCTGTTGTTAAATGTTCATGAATTTGCCAATCTCTCCCAGATCCACAGAAGAGCTCGAGCCTTAAAGAAATTGGCGAAGCAGCTAACTGAAGACAAAATCGTACTGTCCTCCAAATCTCTGCAGAACTACATCATGCCTTATGCAACTACGACACTTTTTGATGAGAAAATGCTTAAGGTAGGTTTTTAACATGAAGCTAATTTAATACCAATGTATCCATCTTTGTCACATTGTTCTGCCTACAGTACTTGTCACCTTAAAAGGGTGACAGATATGGAGTATTTTGCTTTTTAGATGACAGCACTTTGCCTCTTTCCATTGGTGAAGGAGGATTAAGAAGGCACAGATGCAGCTAGGATCCAGACCTGTCAGATGCGAAGCACTTCCTGCATCTTAGAGAATTTGGTCCCTTTATTACTTTCCTTGCTTTCTATGTTGCTAATTTCCTGTCATACAGATGATTAATTTAGGAAGTGGTGTGAGTGGAAATGTTTCCCTCTGTCTCCAAAATTCCCAGAAGCTCCATTGCAGAGAGCTTGTCATATTAGTTTCTCAAGGAGACGGTATGCACCTGGTATGGAGTGTGTACAGAGAGAGAGATAGGTATGACATCAATAAAAAACTCAGATCATCCAAAGTCAGCAGCAATTTTGTAATTGAAATAGACAACTTGAAGCATGATGACATCTAGTCTGTCATTCTTGTTTAAAAGATTATTTCTTGTACAAAATATATGAAACAAAACTACTTTTAGGGCCAGGGTTACATAGACTCACAACACTATGTCGGGTTGATATTTAGAAAGCCAGAGGTGGGTTTTTTTTGTTTGTTTGTTTGTTTTTAAAGAGTTGTTCTGTATTGCCTGAGAGATTTCAGTGTTCTAGAGATAAACAGCAAAGGATCCAGCAGGGAATCACAACAAGCAAATAGGATTTGTTCAATTTTTGTAATGTGAGAAATCCTCTTTGGCCCGGACACTGAAAATGCTTTCATGTGTTTATCTTTACACAAGTGGTCCTGTTGTCTTTGATAGGATTACTCATGTGATCAAAGTTTAATACGTGGATAAGCATTTGCAGGATTGGCACCTTAGAAATCAATTTCTTAGTCTGTTCTGTGACTATCTGATTCATTTTCAGGGACCTGGGAAAATCTGAAAGAGTTAAAAAGAAATCCCCCGTATATTGACTTTGTTTATTTTAGTCCCGTGTTTCATTGATTTAAATACATTTTATATCTTGTTTAAAATACATTAATCGTGATGATTTTTTTGTTTGTGTTTCGGCAGCATGAAAATATGATAACAGCTTCAGTTGAAGTTGTAGGCGCTGTTTGTAGGCGTCTCTCTTGGTCAGCATATATGTACCATTTAAAACATTTCATACACGTTTTGCAAACTGGACAGATGAATCAAAAACTGGCTGTCAGGTACAGTAATGCTTGATTTCAGTGCTCACTGTCATGCTACAAATAAAGATTCAGCATGTTAATGGATGGTTTTAGGATTTTAGTGTTGTCGCTGTTTTGGGACAACTGCACTCTCAGTTGGAGTCCTGTAACTGAAAATCAGTTGGAAAAAAAAAATCCCTAAAAAAGTGGCTTCAAGGTTTTTTGACCCATGATCAGTCTAAACATCCTTTTCCTTATATGAAAAGAACTGACCTTTTATTCAATCTGTTGTCTGACAGCTTGTTAGTGACTGTGCTAGAAGCTTTTCATTTTGACCATGAAACCCTTGAAAAGCAACTTGAGACTCTTCAGAATGAAGGTGAGTTTTCAGATTCCTAGTGATGGAACCTCACATGCTAGTTGCTCATAGTCTAGATACTTAAAGTTTTCGGAGTAGCAGCCGTGTTAGTCTGTATCCGCAAAAAGAAAAGGAGGACTTGTGGCACCTTAGAGACTAAGAAATTTATTTGAGCATAAGCTTTCGTGAGCATCCGATGAAGTGAGCTGTAGCTCACGAAAGCTTATGCTCAAATAAATTTGTTAGTCTCTAAGGTGCCACAAGTCCTCCTTTTTAAAGTTTTTCTATCGCTTTATACCTCAGGTTTATACCTCAGGTTAGCTCCTTCAGGCTTTTAAGATATACTAATTGGAAGGCCTGTTTTGACTAATCTAGTCTCTTTGTCTGTCTTCATAATTAGCACTGGACTTGGGGCTTCCACAGGCCAAAATAGCCTTGGCATAACTTAGACTGGGCTAAGGGATGCTCTGACTTACACTGACTGGAGCAGCTGTCTTGCAGGGATTGCTTTGCTGGCCAAAGATTGGGTAGAGTGCTGTGTGCTCCACCCTGCTCCTACTGAAGCTACAATGAAGGAACTTGTGTTTGTAGCATATTCACATTTGTGGTTATCTATTTAGTGACTTTGGGGCTTTTCTGGAAGTGGTGTGGGGACATCTCACATGCTGCCTCCACGTGGTCTGTGATTTGATTTTGCCTGACAGATGCAGAGGCCATGGATGCTGAGGAAGCAGCAGAGAATGAAGCCATGGAATTGGAGCAGAGTGAGGGGGAGGAGGAGGCTGAGGGAGACAAGAGCAAGAACCTGCCTGAGGACAGTGAGAAGCAGGGGGATCCTGCACTGATTCAGCATGAACAGGCAGGCACCGGAGAATCTGAGGAGACCCAGAAAGCCACAAAATCCATTTCTTCCCTTCCCAGAAATAAGGAGGAGCTGGAGTGTCTGATTGAACACATTCAAGGAACAGTAACTGGCAGCATCTTGCCCAAATTACACAGGTGTCTTGCCGCAAAGGTGCGTGTTCAGCATTGAAAAGGTGGTCTGTAAATATACGTGGCTGTAAGTGACTCTTGTGCTGGTGCCAAGAGCCAGGCTGAAGTGTACTATCCAGAGAACAGGTACAGCATGTGCAGGATGGCAAATTGCCTAGACTCATTACTTCAACCCTTGACCTGGAAAGAGGCCATATCGAAGCATGAGAGAGTGTTCGCTCTCCTTTGCACGTCATTGGGATTGCTGACAAGCCCTTATAGAATCATAGAATATCAGGATTGGAAGGGACCTCAGGACGGGGAGGGATAGCTCAGTGGTTTGAGCATTGGCCTGCTAAACCCAGGGTTGTGAGTTCTGTCCTTGAGGGGGGCCATTTAGGGGTCTGGGGCAGAAATTGGGGACTGGTCCTGCTTTGAGCAGGGGGTTGGACTAGATGACCTCCTGAGGTCCCTTCCAAGCCTGATATTCTATGATCTAGCCCAACCCCCTGCTCAAAGCAGGACCAATCCCCAGCTTTTGCCCCAGATCCCTAAATGGCCCCCTCAAGGATTGAACTCACAACTCTGGGTTTAGCAGGCCAATGCTCAAACCACTGAGCTATCCCTCCCCCTTCAATTCACCTCGGTTGTGACACATTCACCTGCCTGCTATGGATGGGTTTGGAACCACTTATTTCATGCAGGCCTCTCAACGGCCCTCGACTGATTGTCAACACCCAGTTTAGTTTCAGTGTTATAGATGCAGAAAAAAGATGGTCCAGTGTTTAGGGTGCTTGCCAGAGACCTGGGTTCAGTTCCCTGTCCGCGAGACTTCTAGTATGGGCTTGGGAAAGTCACTTAGTTTCTCCGTGCCTCCGTTCTGTAAAATGGGGATTCTCTGCCTCATGGGGGTGTTCGGAAGATCAGTATATTGCATACTGTGAGGTGCCTGGTAAAGGGCCCCATATAGGAACCTAAGACAGATGGGTTTAGCTCAGCGGTTCTCAACGCGCTGCCTGCGGGCTACAAGCGACACAGTTAGCACACAGCTGTGGCCCTGCTGTGTGCTAAAGGCTGCAGGGCCCACAAGGCAGGGTCTGGAGTCGCCGGGGCTGCCCTGCCCTTCTCTGTCCCATGTGGCGGGATCCAGGGCTGCTGGGCGTGATGGTGACCAGGGCTGCCCTGCCCTTCCCTGCCCGTTGCACCTGGGTCCGGGGCTGCCCTGCCTTGCTGCATGGTGGGGTCCGGGGCTGCCCTGCCTCCCAGCCCTGCAGTGGGGTCTACTCCTGGCCCCACTCTGTGGAAGGGCCTCTTCTGGGCAGGGACAGGCGCTGGGCATAGGGGTGGGGTGGGGGGCCCACAGTGGTTCTCAACCTGCAGCCCAGGTAACATATATGTGGCCCACAATGATAATTAGGTTGAGAACCTCTGGTTTAGCTAAGCACTGTGTTCTTTTCATTCTAACAGTTGTAATGTTGAACACTGAAGTATGCAGTTGAAGTTCTCTAGTGTGTACTTGTACAGCACTGGCTCTCCATGTGCATATTCTCCCTGTTTCCCTTTTGTCCCACTCTGCTGCATTTGGGAACATGGGGAGAGCCCAGGAGCTAGGGATTCTTCCCAGCGGGAACACGGAAAAAAGCACAAGTTCATTCAAATGCACTGAATCAGTTTGTGAGGGAAACTCCACTCTAAACAGTGTGTCACTGTAACAGAGTCCCCTGATAAACAATTTCCAAAGGACATAGTCTATGAAGTGCTCTGGGGTCCTTCAGGATGGATACGGTGTTAGGCACATATACAATAACATTTGTTAAAAGGTAATTACTGGACTGTCCAGCTTACTTAAGACTTTAAAATGCAGTCAGCCTGCTCTTCATGGGATTAAGAACTGGGTACTTGAAAAAGTTGTTCATTTGCATCACCAGTGTAGTGTTAAAAGGGATCTGCCCCATGTTCCAGGTGAAAAGAGATGAGGAACACAAGCTTGTGAAATCCAAGGCTGTGAACGATGAAGAGGTGGTTCGGGTGCCATTAGCATTTGCCATGGTCAAGGTGATGCAGTCTCTCCCACAAGAGGTCATGGAAGCTAATCTGCCAAGGTATGGGGGCAGAGTCGCTCCTCAAATGTCCGTTATTGCGCTAAAAGATTAAGGGCCAGATTTTTAAAAGCCTGCATTTTTGCATCTGGCTAAAGCCAGGCTCGAGAGAAAAGGTCCTTAAAACACCTTGCAATTTTTTTTACAAACATATTTTCACAATGTCTTTGGGTTTAATGTTGATGCCCTTTGGCCTTTGACTTTTTCCTTATATAGGGTCCAGCTACATGTGAAAAGTGCTTGATAAATCCTTAAGTAGTAATTAGAACTGTGGGGTGAAGCATTAAGAGGTGACAGAGCTGGGGGTTAGAAACTGGACTCTCAGTCCTGTAATTTAGCCACCTTTCCTCTCGTACAATAGCACCATTTGAGGATGATACATTTGTGTGTGATACACACATGGTCTTAAGGCCATATGTGAAAACAAGAGAGCCTCAGTGCCTGGTTTTGATGATAGCTCAACTATTCCCTATGTAAAACTGTCAGAGAAAATCAATGAAATTGGCCTGGAAAGCAGCCAGGACAATTAGTGTAGTGTTTGGTTCTGTGCTGGTTTGTGACTGTGCTGAGCTGTTGATCTCTGGTTCCAGCATTCTTCTGAAAGTCTGCTCGCTTCTGAGGAACCGGGCGCAGGAAATCCGGGACATCGCACGCAACACCCTCACCAAAATCATGGAGGCTTTAGGAGCACGGTACCTGCAGTATGTCTTAAGAGAGATGCAGTCGATTCTCATCCATGGCTACCAGGTAATCCCATGGTTCTTCCTCTTGTTCTCTGTAGCTTTTTTATAATTAAGAACATAAGAATGGTCATACTGGGTCAGACCAAAGGTCCATCTAGCCCAGTATCCTGTCGTCCCACAGTGGCCAGTGCCAGGTGCTTTAGAGGGAATGAACAGAACAGATAATCATCAACGATCCATCCCCTGTCGCCCATTCCCAGCTTCTGGCAGACAGACGCTAGGGACACTGCAGAGCATGGTTTTGCTGGGAGTAGACTTCAATGGAAAATTAGAACCAGGATTTTTACTTTGCTTTGTGCTGTGGAAAAATAACGTAGTATTAATTTGTAGTACAGTAGTGGTTGCAGGCCCCAACTGAGAATCAGTCCTCATTGTGCTAGGCACTGTACAGACATAAAGGCAGTCCTGGAAGATAGACAAGATGGGGAAAGGCAGTGATATTGTCCCCAATTTACAGAAGGGTTAAGGGTGAAATCCTGACCCAACTGAAGTTTTCCCCCTGACTTCAGTAGGGCCAGGATTTCACCCTCAATTCCTTGCCCAAGGTCACACAGTGAGTGTGTGACAGAGCTGGGAATCGAAACCCAATCTCCTGAGTCCCAGTCCAGTGCCTTAACCACATGGTCATTGTTCCTCTCACTGTAACCTATGATAAGAATGGCTTGTCAGATGAGCTGTTCCAGTGGGGAGATGCTCGCTTTCTGCTGCTGGACTCTGGAGATGAAAAGTGCTGGTCTTAGCTGTGGGAAGAGAACAATCTCTAAGAGCTCTATCTGTCTGTATCACCGTCTGCCCAGAACAGTGCTGGTATGGCTCTGGACATGCGTGTGTATCATTCTAGCTGTCTGAAATGAGCTGCTGGCCAAGCAGGCATCTTGGGATATGCTGAAATGGTAAAAAACACAAATTTTGAAAAAAGTGACTCATTTTGAATTGAGTTTTGGGAGAGCGGGTAAATCCTTTCCAGGTGTGGGTTTTTGGACAGTTCTCAGTAGTTTTCCTGTCGAGAGTATTTGAGTATATTGTTTGAGAAATGTGAGAGCTCTGCTGTGGGAATCCTCAAGTCTGATTATTTCCAAAACAACCCCAGCACCAAAAAAATCCCAGCTTGGGAATGGTAAATGTAATGCTGATTGTTTGTCTCTAGGTCCATGTGCTGACTTTCACTGTGCACCTGTTACTGAAAGGCCTGACCAGCAGGATTAGCACTGGCGATTTGGACACCTGCTTAGACATTATGATTGAGGTAGGAGTTAATTGAAATGGAAGTCATGACACTTGTCAAATGCGAAGGGAACATGCTTGGATAAAGAGACCTGTTGCGAGAGATGACGCTGGCAACCTCAGCCTTCTGAAAGAGGGGATCTTTTGACTTCAATATACGTTGATTGTGTACTACAAAAATCCTATTCTTAGCACAAGTAACTGGCTGTGCGTGTGGTGGCGGGAGAGGGGAGAACTCTCCACGCATAGCTTGTGCTCTTCTACTGCAGTCTCACGGCTACAGGTGCCATTGTGATCCTACACCACCCCCTTATGGGGGAAGAACTGGCCTGCCATTCCAGGGCACATCCACAGGTTCCTTCCCTCCTTCCCCTTGTCTCCAGGAACTCTCTCCGTAGAGGATTCAGAGAACACCCATGGAGCTGTGTTCCACAGGGAATTGGTGTACGGACCACCTGCATGTGTTCCCAGTGTCCCCTTCCCCTCTGCTGCGCCTGATGCAGTACCGAGTCCTTTGTGCCTGCAAGACGGGGGAGGGCAGAATCTGCTTTGAGCTTCCAGGACTTTTTTTTTTATTGTGGTTGCAAAGAAAATGCCGTTTTCTGCTGTTGTTGCAATAATCAAGTCCCTAGTGATTCTGCTGTTCTCATTAGTTTCTCTCCACTATATTTCAAAAGATTTTCAATCAGGAGCTGTTTGGGGATGTTGCTGAGGAAAAGGAAGTGAAGGGGATAGTCTCCAAGGTCATGGAGGCTCGCAGAAGCAAGAGTTACGATTCTTACGAAATCCTTGCCAAGTACGTAGGGAAGGACCAAGTCACGAAGCTCATTCTTCCTTTGAAAGAGGTAAGCATATCCAGTCAGCACTTTTGGTAGGAGCCCTGCCTTTAACACTGAACGCGATCAGATGGGCCGTGTGAAAGGAAGAATCGGAGAGCTCCAAGGGGATAAGGTGGCATAACCGCACAGGTGGGATCTGGCTTTCATTTTTCCCTTGCTGGAAATCAGTATTCTTTTAGAGGATAAAATAGGGATTTACTATTTATTTCTATGGCAAGAGGTAACTTACCTCCTCCTTCTCCCCACCCCGTGCAAAAGAAGTATCTACTCTGGATTTTTTCTGCTCCACCTCTCAGATGTGATTTGCCTCTGATTACATTATTTATACCAGAGCTCATAAAGGCCCCGATCCTGCAAGTTATTCTGCCTGAGTGGAAGCCTGTGTATGCGTGGAACCCTGCTGAAGTCAGGGACTCCAGACATGGGAAAATACCCACCCATGTGGCACCCTAGTGACTTGAGTGGGGCTCTCCACATGAGTGGACCTGTGCCCATGTAGAACACTGGCAGGAATGGAGTGCCATACACTCATATGCTCTGGGGCCCCACTGTACTTTTAGACTCTTCATTTGCTGATTAATCTGGAGGTGGGTGGGGAGAATGTGAAGGGATTTCTCTGTCCTGGTGAGGCGGGTGGGCAGCAGGTTTCTGCTTGTGCTGGAGGCAGTTTGGATTGGCCGGTCTTGTAACTTCCTCCTGCTGCCCACAGAGAGCTGCCCTGCTGTGTTAAAGCTTAACATGACTCCTGTGCTGTCTAGATTTTAGAGAGCACCATGAGCTTGAAAATGTCCCGCAAGGTGAACGAAACGTTACGTCGCATCATGTCAGGGTTGATCCTAAATCCGGAAATGAGTGCAGAATCCATTCTCGTGCTCAGCCACGGCCTGATCAGCGAAAATCTGCCCCTGCTAACGGAAAAAGCCAGGTAAATTACAGAGAATGACATCGTCCATCTGCTATTGATTCGTCTTTGCTGTCTGAGAGTTCTGGTTTCTTGAGATTTTGCTCTTGGAATGATTCTGTGAAATCTGGGGAAACTACAGCAGGTCATACGGAGAATCATAGAATATCAGAGTTGGAAGGGACCTCAGGAGGTCATCTAGTCCAACCCCCTGCTCAAAGCAGGACCAATCCCCAATTTTTGCCTCAGATCCCTAAATGGCCCCGCAAGGATTGAACTAACAACCCTGGGTTTAGCAGGCCAAAGATCAAACCACTGAGCTATCCCTCCCCCCCAAGTGAACTGTCAGACTGGAGGAAGGAGGTCTCCCATGTTTAAGAAAGATGAATTCAAACTGGAACAAGTGCAGAGAAGGGCTTCTAGGATGATCCAAGGAATGGAAAACCTACTGTATGAGAGGAGATTTCCCCCAAATCAGATTGGCAGAGACTCTGGGGGTTTTTCGCCTTCCTCTGCAGCATGGGGCAGGCCCACTTGCAGGTTTAAACTAGTGTAAATGTGGATCCTCTGTAACTTGAAGTCTTTAAACCATGATTTGAAGACTTCAGTAACTCAGCCAGAGGTGAGGGGTCTATTACAGGAGTGGGTGGATGAGGTTCTGTGGCCTGCAACTTGCAGGATGTCCGACTAAATGATCATGATGGTCCCTTCTGGCCTTAAAGTCTATGAGTTTCCCCAAACGCATTAAGGTTTCTCCCTCATGCTCGTCACAGCCTTAAATTTACATTTCATCCCAGGTTTGGACAGATTATACTGAGCCTCTGAAAGCAGGGCTGCCAAAGTCTGAAGATGCCTTGGTTAGGAGATGGTAGAAGCGGGACTCTCTCAGGAGTCTGTACTTGTATCCCGTGGGCTGCTCTCTTGTTGGAAAAGGGTTGAATTTCGGTGGCTTCCCTGCTTAAGTTTTTGTTCCAAGTGTTTTCGTTTTCTCATTTTATCTAGAAGTTTCTCCCGATACAGGGAAGGGCCTTTTATAGATGAGATGAAAGCTGCGGTTATTGTGGATCAGGTTTGGAAATTGAAATGCCTTTAAATTTGCATTGCGCTAGCTATTGGATTTTGCCTGTTTGGGGGGGTTTTTACCAATGATAAACTTAAACGTGAGAAAACAGTAGAAATGTTACGTGACGCAAAACATACTTCTTAGTCCTCACAGAAGTAAAAATGCTCTTCCGTTTGTTCCATTGACTCTTTCACTGCCAGGACCTGCATGTGCTCCGTGCAGTGTGTGTTGTCAGCAACAGAGGCAGTGAAATTCTCTCCACTGCCAGCAGTAAGCCTCCAGTGACATCAAAGTCTAACTGTACTTTTCACCTCGTTATAATTTTCAGAACGAAAGCCCCGGCTCCTCCAGATCCTCGTCTGCAACCAGAAAGCTGCCTGTTACTCCCACCCGTCCCAGCTCGAGGCGGGCAGAAAGCACCTGTTAGCAGCAAGACTAACATGCATATCTTGGTCGACTCAGGACTTAGGGTAAGGGTCTCCCCAGATGTGAAACAAGTGCTGTGGGGTCAATTGTTCTGCTTTCCTAAATGAAAAAATACCCTCTGTCCCTGTCTGGTATTAATGACAATCCCTGGGGGTCTGGCTGCCCATAGTAACTTCAGTGCGGGGCTTCTAGGGTGCTGCTAAGAGCACTTCATTTGTTAAAGTCCTAATGTGCTGTTGCATGGTTTCTACTGTGTCCTGAAATTGTGTTTTGGGTTTTTTAACCCCTTTTGAGTTACATGACAATGTTCTCGTCCTCTCTTTGTGACTAATGAAAAATGTGTTTTCAACACTGTAGCTACTACACATGAGCCTGAAGAGATCCAAAATAAATTCCTCAGATGAGCATGTGTTAGAAATGTTGGATCCTTTTGTTCAGCTGCTTATAAATTGCCTGCAATCCACGGATGTTAAGGTAGGGGGTCTTAGCTCAATTTACACTTGCCTCTTCTACCCAGCTCCATTTCAGAATTCAGGCTAACCACGGATTCCAAAGACTTCCCTACGTTGTCCTTGAACTATAAAGCCCAGTTTCAAACCTGATTTCTTAGCTGTTAAGGTAAATAATTAAACTTAGGGGGTACTATACCTTGGGAGTTTTGTAATCCAGGGGATACTGAATGTTTTGCCTCTGAATTGCTGGTTGAAACATGGCCAAAGTCAGCAGTGAGGGGTTCTTACTGCTAGACGTCTGCGAAATACATGGCTGCTCTTGATCTGGTTCTAGCAATTGTCACTGTCCCCATCATAACTAGCCTCCTTGTTGGGAATCTCAGCAGAGTCCAAGGATCGAACGGGCCTAGAAACAGGACCTGCCCAGTTGCTCGTGGAGGAGAGGTCCCTTGAGATCAGAGTTGAAGGGCAGTGTAGGGAGCTGACATGGTCTCTGCACACCGCGTGCTGTGGCTGTTCTGCAGCTTGGGCCGTCTGCGTCTGGTGGTATGACTGTGACACCTTTGTGACTGTAGTTCACTTACAATAATAATTAAAAGGGAAACCCTAAATTTTTCTTCCCCTGTAGAGAAAAGGTAACAAGATCCTGCTATGAAACTTTTCCTTTCGTTTCCTTCTCTTCCCCCTCCCCCTCTTTGGTCCTGTTCAGATTGTAGAAACTGGAGCAGAACCTGCTGCTGCTGCAGTGACCCTCTTCTGCCTGTGGGACAGCCACACTCAGTACTGGCTACCCTGCCTTGGGAGGGAGCTTCCCAAAGTTTCCTTGTGCTGCCTTGGGCCCGCCCTAATTGGCTAAACTTGGGGCCCCTTCTGCTTTCCCTAACTCCTTAGATTGATTTCTCCCCTCTCACTACCACCCACCCCGTTCCCTTTGCAGTGCATAGGTATAAAATCCTGGATTCCCAGTGCCAGGGGGTCAACCTGCATCCCTTTCCTTCACCCGAATGCACTGCTGACTGAGTAACGTAGTGTGACAAAAACCTTATGCAGTCCTTCATAACTGGCTTAATCTCGCTAAGTGCTGGGCATGCCTATCTCACTAAATCCATGGGATTTGAGGGCACTCAGCACCTCTCACAGGATCAGGCCCACTAGGACAGTTAAAGCTTCAGAAGCAGAATGGTCTCGTAGCAAAGTACCAACGTTTTGTGCTCGGTAGCAGGCAGGTTCTAAGTGAGGGGAGAGCCGTGAGGTTCTCGCTTGTATGCCAACTTGCGGGGCAGACATCAGGTTAACCAGTCACCAGGCAGTGCAGCGGTACTGTATCCAAGTGAGCAAAGTGGACAAATAAACCCCTCCCTCTGCAGATTTTGGGGTGTTCAGGAATGCAGAGTCTGACCTGGGCACTCTTTTTTCACCACAACAGAAGGCACCTGACACACTGGCTCTGGTGGCTCGACTAATTTGCCAACAAACACTGAGGCCAAGATTTTCATGTGACTGGTGATTTTGGGGAGACAAAAATGAGACTCCTTAACGGAGCCTGGTTTTCAGAAAATGCTGAGCACCCACCCTCTGAAAAACAGACCCTTTAGAGGTATCTCAAGCTAGGCACCAGAAATCAGTAGCCACATCTGAAAATCTTGGCCATAGATCGGCATGTGCTATGTATTACCTTTCCCGTTAGGTTGACTAGCCATTTCTATTTCACGTAAAAGGTTTGGGAGATCTTAACTTGTGTGTTAATTCCAGCTTCCATCTGTTGATAGTCACCCGAGCCTGCTAGTAATTATAGACCGGGGATGGGGGAGAATGCTCTTTAAATCCTGTTAATCTCACATGCTGTTCTTTGGCTCCTATTCCCAGGTGATCACTGGCGCCCTGCAGTCTTTGGTGTGGATTTTAAAGTTCCCTTTGCCTTCTATTGAAAAGAATACAGAGCAACTAACCAAGCAGCTTTTTCTGCTGCTGAAGGACTTTGCCAAGCCAGGAGCAGCCAGGGGCCAGAACTTCCATTTGGTGGTGAACTGTTTCAAAGTAAGCGGGGCCAAATAGAACAGTTCATAGGCGACTCGTGGAGAAGGAAGGGTCGAATGTCCCCTGCCCCCGCAACAGCTCTGAGCATGCCGGGGTGAGGAGTGGAAGGGGCGGGGCCAGAGCCAGAAGAGAGGGGGCGGGGCCAGAGCCGCTTCCCCCCAGGCTGCCCAAGACGCTGCTCGGTGCAGCCCAGTGGCGGACTGTGACTGGGAGAGCAGCAGGCTGCCCCCTGCCCAGGCTCAACTTCCGGGGACAGTGGCCAAGGGAGCTGGGACGCTCTCCCCCTCCCCAGCAAGGCTCTCGTTGCTGCGCACAGAGCATGGCGGGTGGGCTCCAGTTCCCTCAGCTGCTGTCCCAGAAGCCAAGCCCGGGCGGGAGGCAGCCTGCTGCTGCTGTAGCCAAGCGCTCTCCCAGGCAGCTGTTGCGCTGCACGAGGCAGTGTCTGAGTGTGGCTCAGTCCCGCTCCTTGCCGGCGTCTGGCTGCCGGGAAGAGCAGCCAGATGTGCCCTGAGGGGGGATGGGGAACCGGCGCGGCAGGAGGACAGAGATTCCCCCCCGCCCCCAGGTAACATTGGCTGGGGAGAGCATGGGGGGCCCGGCTGGTTGGGGAGGAGACACATAGGGAGCTCATGTGTCCTCTTTAGCTGGTGCCCCTCTGTATGGGGGCGGGGTGCGTGCACCTGTCATCTGCGGAACAGTTTCACGTTCATTTCATGGAATCAGGAAAGTCCAGCTATAGATCCCTCAACCCTGCAGTCTGTGCCTGCACGGAGCCTCTTCTGCCCCTCTGCATGAGTCAGGACGCTAGGGAGGGAAAGAAATGGTCTTGCTGTTGCTGTCTTCACTGGAAACCTCATAAAAGTCACCTGAATGAACCCAGGTCTCTGCGTCAGCAAAGTGTTTTACAGAAGTGCGTTTATTGGGCAGTTCTGTTTCACTGAAACAGTCTTTTGCTCCCATTGTCTCTCTCGATAAATGTCACTTCTGTTTGATCAGCTTGTTTGCTTTTAAATTAAATGGGTTTAAAAAAAAACAGCAGCTGAAATGAGCTTAGGAAAACTGGGCAATTAACAGCAGTAATCTTTATTGTGCATAGTGTCCTTCTGACAAATATAGCTTCAAAATGCTTTACCAAATTATGATTACCTTATCCTGGGGATAGTTGCAGGATAAATAATACTAAATAGAAGCGAGGAAGGATTTTTTCTCAATGTGGTCCCGATTCCACAAACCTTTTTGTTCCCGGGCCAATGTTTTGTTGAATGTGTTGGTGTATATTTCGTCTCCAACCTTGGTCACACTTTTTGTCTTGAATTTGCCAGCTGTAAACATGCTAACATTTGTTTCTTATGGGAAGAAGACTAGCTGAATCCTCCAGGGTTAAAGTTTGTGTATTATACCAGTGCTATCCACTAAATCAGGCTTCAGACAGATTTCAGTTTTTCAGGAAGAGTGTGTGTTGCTGAATGTCGCAGTGATTGATTTTATCGCGGTACGGAAGTGCAAATTGATCTGCTGGAACATGCCGTTCTAGTCACGTTACAATACCTGATTTTAATTTGCAGTGCGTAACTAGACTTGTGAGGAACACAAACAGTCACATAACAGAGAAACAGCTCCAAGTGTTGCTGGGATATGCTGAAGAAGATATCTATGATTCCTCGCGTCAAGCCACTGCCTTCGGCCTTTTAAAGGTATTGTTATAGAGCGTGTGTTTGGTTTACAATTTCCGGATTGTAGAAATGAAAGTGCTTATACTGTCTACCTGTTAATACAAAATAGGTGAAAGATTACAGAATGTCTGTTAAAGGTGCCCTTGCTATAAAGAAGGCCACAAAGCTTTTCTGCTTGATCTTAACATTAGACGTTCAGGTTCTGTCTAGGTTAGACCAGTTTACAACGACGAGAGTGAAATGATGAGATCACAAGAGTTCTTAGAGGAAAAGTAGAGCAATATGGAGTTTAAAACTGTTTCTGGGAGTTGTTTTGTTAACACATTTAACTTCAAAGAGTAATGAACGTTTTGGATAAATGATGCCTATGTTAAAGACTTGACAATCCCCGTCCCTTCAACTGAGCTGTGAGAGCTCACCATGAACATGCTGAAGGTCCTCCAGTAAAAGCAGACCTGACTTTGCAGGCCACCTCCTTTAAAAGGAGTTACTCTGGCAATAAAGACATTCAAAGGTGGATGTTAAAATAACACCAAAGTTTGTTTTGCCACTGGGTGGTGCTGTTGTATCTGACAATGCGCAAGCAGAATGAGAATGACGCAGGTTGTACTGTCACATGTTTTTTAAGGCTATTTTATCCAGAAAGCTGATTGTTCCTGAAATCGATGCCGTCATGCAGAAGGTTGCCAAGTTTGCCATCACAGGCCAGAGTGAGCCAGTGCGAGTCCAGTGCAGGCAGGTTAGTAGAAGGAGGTTTCTTTCCTTAAGCTCCGTGCTCTATTTTAATAAAACCCTATTAACAGAATCTCTTTTATTAATGATGATAAGCAGGTTTAACAGCCAAGCTTCTAGCACTCAACCCAAAACTGGCCTCATGTCTTAGGAGTTGCCTGACTGGATCAGACCCCAAGTCCATCTAGTCTGGTATCTTGACTCAGACAGTGGTCAGTACCAGATGCTTCAGAGGAAGATGTAAGACTCCCGCTGCAGGCAGATATGGGATAATCTGCCCCCTCCACCATTAAGTCTCCTCTTGATCTATAATAGTTCAAGATCAGCTTAAGCACTGAGCAGGAAGTTTAACATCTCTTACACCTTTTTTTGTTAGTAATATCCGTTTATAACTCTACGTAGTCTTGTTATCGCTATAACTGTTGAGTCCCCCCCTTTTTGACTCTTATTTCTCAGCCTTGATTACTTCATGTGGCAGTGAGTTCCACAGTCTCATCACACATTGTGTGAAAAGTATTTCCTTTTGAATTTCCCACATTTAATTTTGCTGCATGCCCCCTTTTTCTTGTTGTATATGATAGGGAGAGCAGAAGCTTCCAACCTACCTTCTCTAAACCATTCATTGTTTTATATACTTGTCCCCTCTTATTCGTCTCCTTTCAAAGGTAAAGAAGCCCAATTTCTTGGTTATTCTTGTTTTCCTTCTCTGAACTCCCTCTCACATTTAAGATATTTACTGTCTGATAAGGAACAGCGTTACAGCCCTGACTCAGCTAGATGCCCAAGTACGTGCTTAACCTGAAGCACAAGAACAGTCCCAGGACATTATTTCTAACATGCTTAAAGACCAGTATATCCTTCTATGCTTTGCTGAATTAGGACCTGAGTTACAGAGGGAGGAAGGGATAAATATCTTAAAGTGCAAGGTGAATCCTACCTTCTCTCAGAGAGCAAACTGGTTGGCTGTCTGCTGTATTTGGAAGGGTTCCCAGGTTGTGGTTGGAAAAGGAAGGGGTAGTATTTAAGAGGTAGAATTGGATGACAATCATTATCAGGGGAACACGGTTCCAGATTGTGGGGCTAAAAATAGAAAATAGAATTTAAAAAAAAACAAACCATCCTCTGCACATGAACCCTTTTGAAATCACTGGAGCATCAAGACACAGCAAAGAAATTTGCCACCTGGGATGATGTGGGTTCACCCTACTGTATTTGGCTCTCGAGAAATGAAAATGTTTTCTGAAGAAATAATTTGCAGCCAGGCTGACCACTTGGATATTTTTATTTATTTTCTGTATTGTGATGTGTCTGATGCCTACTGCGACCTTTACAGCACCACCCACATAAACTTAAATTCATGCTAAGGCGTCCTTTTTTAACACTAAAGGTAATTAACCTTTAGAACAATGTTCATAGTTCACTTCAAGTCTTTACATCAAGACTGGATGAGTTTCTAAAAGATCTGCTCTAGCTGATACAGGAATTACTGTGGGAAATTCTAAGGCCTGTGTTCTGGAGGCGGTGAGGCTAGATGTTCACAATGGTCCCTTAGGAGTCCGTTACTATAAATGGCAGATTTATAGTGGACACAGCTGATGATCTTAGCATTAGGGACCGTACTAAAATGAGTTTTAGTTTAATATTTAGAGAACTTATTTTGAGGTTTGTTGAGCCTGTCATTTTAAACAGAGACATCATAAACTCATAAGTGCTAGCGACAGTCACTACCAAGACTAAAGGCTTGCCCACACTGGGCACCATAGCAGTGTAGCTATGCCATTATAACCCCACAGTGTAGACACATCCTACAGCAGTGGAAGGGGTTTTTCCATCGCTCGAGGAACTCCCTCTCCCCAAGTGACAGTAGCTAGGTTGACTGAAGCATTCTTCCAGTGACTTACCGCATCTACCCTGGGCATTAGGTTGGCCTAGCGACAGCGTTCAGGGGTGTGGATTTTTCACACCCCTGAGGGCCGCAGCTATGTCGACTTAAGTTTTTAAGGGACTGATCTTGTAAGGTGCTGAGTGCCTGTAACTCCCATGCAAGTCAGTGGAAGTTGAGACGGCTTGTGCTTTGCAAGATGAGGCTTTATGTACACATGAAAGGGAGGTGTGTAACTTGTTAATAGTTTGTTGCAAAAAGCGTTGCTCTCATCATTACATTTTCACAAACTGATCCCGTTGTTTCTGGTAATTCTTTCTTCTCTCTTTTTTCAGATTTACCTGAAATACATTCTCGACTATCCCCTTGGTGACAAGCTGAAACCCAATTTGGAGTTCATATTTGCTCAGCTCAAGTGAGTTTGCAACCCTTGTTGTGTGTGTGGCTTTTCAAAAAGAGCAGTGCTATAAACCCTTTCTCATGCAAGTGTTCCATTGATCCCAGTGGCCCTGCTCATGAGAATAAGGGTATGCAGGGTTGGCACCATGTTTTCCTAGCTGTAAAAGTAAAATGTTCGCTTTGTTAGAAGCAAACGAAAGAACATTTATGGCAAATAGATACCACACCTATCGATCTTTTCTTTAATTTCTGTACTGGTTTTGTCTGTTGCTGTTACATAACCAAAGTATGGCTTTAATTGTTTGCTGTTAATGGTTAGTCAGCTGCACTGCTGGCTTGTGTACACACCCCCGTCATCCACATGCACCGTGACAGTGAATTACAGAGCACGCCAGTGTGGTGGGCTAACTGCCTCTTGTGGACCATGTTAACGTAGCCCTCTTCACGGGATGATGTTAACACAGACTTAAGTAGCTTCTAGTTTGCATCAGCAGCATGCGCCTCGGGCAGTTACAACATATTCTGGTGCATTCTGCAAATGTCCCCGTATAATTTACTCTCAGTGCCAGCAGCATATTCCAATACCCACCATGCTGACTCAGTGGCGTTGGCCATTAAGTGCAGGGTGGAAGAGTAGAGCCAACAGCCTGCCCATTCCTGTCCCTGTACATGTGCTCTGGGAGGTGGAGTAAGTGGTCACCGTGGTTGGTTACTCCTAATGCCAAGACCCAAGTCCCAGGTAACCTGCACTGGGGTGCAAGGGAGGTCTTTAGTCCCCCTCCCTCCTTTGCATGGGTAGGTAACACATGGCAAGCACATCCCCAAAGGACCACTGCCCAAGTGGAAAGATGGATGGGATCTTACAAAAAATAAACTAGTTGGGGTTAGAATGACGTCTCCATTGACGCTGCATTCATCAGTGGGTCCTCTTGTGTATTGTGAATTCTGCTGATAGAACACATAACATGGAGGGCTGAATCCTGCTACCCTACCCCACTCAGAAGTATCTTACTCCTCCAGTAGTGTCTGTGGGGTGCCGGAGGGGAGAGGTACTTCTCCAGGTGAGTAAGGCTGTCTCTTAGTTATCACAGTTCAAATGTGTTAGTCTTCAGTTAAGCAAGTTGAGCAAATTGTTTGTCTCCACTATGGAACAGGCATTGATTATAAAGATCTGTTTGTTCAAAGATCCTTGGTGCGTATATTTGGAGAAACCCAAAATGTTTGCAGTTTTCTGAATTTCTTGCAATTTTGGAAGATACTAACCCACTCCATCTTGTTAATTATTTTCTTTCAGTTATGACTATGAGACAGGAAGAGAGTCTGCGTTGGAGATGATTGCTTACCTCTTCGAAATGTTCCCTCAGGTAACATATGTCTTAGTTTCAAGCATCAAGCAATCTGTGCTTTTCAGTTATATCCAGTAACTGGATTTGCAGATTTATTAGAACTGGATGCACTTGGCTGTTCACATCCTCTCCTGTCACAAATGTACGGCACAGTTCTCAGAACATTAGTGTTGGTTCTGCTCTAAAAAGTGACAGTTGCAATGACACACTGGAGTTTCACGCGGATTGTCTTTCAGTCGTTCCATGTCAGATTTGCTCATTTTACAAGCAAAATGGTGTTGTTATATGCACTAGAACCTGCTTAAACCAACTTGGAGATGTTTGGTTAGTGAGAAATGCTAAAAGAGCAGAAATGAAACACAGCAGGACGGGGGAGTGCATTCAAGTGCAATCACTGTATAATGGAGAAGCAGTAGCTGTTCTGTAGTTCAGGTTGAAGTAGCCTTCTATGAGCTTCCTTTTCCCTTCAACTTTCGGGAACATTTTTCAGAAATGTTAGGAAAAAAGTCAGCATTGGAATTTTAAAGCTAGGCTGTTTCAAGAATTGCCCTGTTCTTAAGATTTTCCTAAATCTTTTTTTGGACTTCCCATCTCTAAACTAATTTGGCCAACAATCTCCAGACTTGTGTCTTGGCGTTTCTGGAGAGAGAGTGTGCTTTTAGTGGGGGGACTCACAACGAGATCTAAAGAACTGGTCTCATGTCCGTACAGAGCAACATTTAAAACAGCGTTACATTTATTTATAAACAGACCGGCTGCTGACTCCAGGCAGTGCTGCTGCAACTGCTGGGCTGAACCAGAGGCTGTGAGCGTGGATGGGGGGGATGTAGGAGGAATGGGAAGAAAGCCCATCATGCATGAGGTGTGAATTTCCATCTATCGCAGTGGTGCCCAAACTTTTCCTGGCGCGCCCCAGTTTACCAATAATGGAATCTGTTCACACCCCCCTTCCATTATTGCACAGTTGGCTGAGCAGAGGAGCTTGGGCTGAAGGTGGAGCTGGGGGCAGAACTGGGGGTGGAGGAGGAGCTGGCCTGGGGGCAGAGAGGGAATGAGGGCAGAGCTGGGTTGGGGACAGCAGGGGGTGGAGTGAAGCTGCGGTTGGAGTCAGAGCTGGTCTGGGGGCAGAGCGGGGCTGGGTGGTGCTCCCTCCCCACCCCTCATGAGGGCTGGCCTGGGCCCCGCCATGCTCCTCCACCTCCGGAATGTTCCTCTGCAACCCTCTAGGTTTGGGGACCACAGTTTGAGCGCCACTGATCTATCATATGTAGATGGCTCCAATTCCAACGATGTCCGAGCACCTTACAATCTTTACTATATTTATCCCCCCAACATCCCTGTGAGGTAGGGATTAAATGGGGAAGCAAAGCACACAGAGACTAATTAATTCCCTGCCTTGACAAGGGCCTCAGGCATTAGTGGCACCTTGGTCTCTCCTGCTCTCTGCCTGAGGCACACAGCATTTTAGTCTCCTGAGGACTGAAATACTTCAGGTCTTTGGGCTTAATGTAGAGCTGCAGTTCCCAAACTGTGGGTGACAACCCCAGCAGATTGGGTCATGACAGTCCCTACTGTGCACAGGACACCATTTTGCTCCATGCAGCATGAACGTTACAAAACATGGAGGATGCCATTTCACTCCACAAAATGGCATCCTCTACGCAGCGTGACCTTGCACACACCGTACATATGAGGTCACACTATGCGGAGGACGCCATCTCGCTCTTCTGGTGTCATGGCAAGAAAGACTTCATTAAAACGGGGTCATGCTGGCAGAAAGTTTGAGAACCTGTGATCTAGAGGTCTCTGGGTGAAGATGAAGGGCCTGTGGTACACAGGATGGCAGACGGGTTGATCGGATGGTCCCTTCTGGCTTTTAACTCTGTGAAATACGTGGATTGCCCAAGGTTGCATGAGAAGTCAGTGGCAGACCAGCAGGTACAGGTCTCTGAAGTCCAACAACTGGACCACCCTTCCTCTGTTTGGCTTCCTCTATTTGGGCCCAGAGTTGGGCCTCAGGAATCCTCCTGTTTGTGTTGGGGGGGTAAAATAAAACCTTTTTTTTTTTTTTTAAATGCGGAAAGCCTTCTGGAGATTGCCAGGTGATTGATTGATTTGTTTCCTTTCAGGGATTACTCCATCAATACTGCGGGCTGTTCTTTGTCCCTCTCTGTATGATGATGGTAAATGACGACTCTGCCAAGTGCAAGAAAATGGCAGCCATGGCAAACAAATCTCTGCTCATTAAAGTAAACTCTGCAAACCGAGATCTGATGTTCTCACTAGTCACCATGTGGTTTAACAGCGAGAAGGTATTATTCGTTTCAGGGAACCCCAGCTCTTTTCACTGGGAGAATGGAACTGGAGCAAATCCGGGGTTTATAAATGTTTAATCTCAGAGGGTAGGTGGTGTGTTTAGTTAAACTTGTGTGGTGGTGCAGGGATAAGATTGTGGAGCGTACCAGTCCTAGAGTCACAGCTTGTTAAAACTCCACTGTCCTGCAGAGTCCTCGCTGGCAAGGAGAGGAAGAAGCTATGTAGATTCATTCTTGAATAGGCCCAGCAGAAGTGGCTGCTGTAGCTAAGGTTATAAAACAATTTCCATTAGAGCCTGCCTTGTTTTACACGCTTATGGCTTTCTGAAAGTTCACCATTTGGGTTGAACAATTCTCCTTGTTCAGTGTTTGCCCAAAGCTGCACGTTTTGGTGGTGAAATTTGAGCAAAATCCCCTTGAATTTGAGCTTAGTAATTGGCAGATGGTGCTATTTTTGTTCATCTGCTGCTTAGTCCATCCTCTCTATTACTGGGATGTAGCAGATTTAAGACCTTTTGGGTCCAGTCCTGACTTGAGTGGTTCTGTTAACTTTTTGAGTAGGCAAAGTGTGTCTCCATTTGAGCTCTTTCATCTACAATATGCTAATCAAATAGATGGTCTGAAGCTACGGGTAACTTTGTGTTGTGCTTCAAAACCCTGTAGTTTTGGAAACTTGCTAAAAATTAGCATTCTTGAAAGTTCAGCTTTATGCTGTGAGCCTACGTTTCCTCACACGACTAGGGATATTGCGTGTCTTAGGCTCCCAACCTGACACCATAAAGAGGCCTGATTTTCAGAGCGTGGATTGGTGCCCCACATTCTGGAAATCAATTTCCTTTAAAATTGTCCCAGTTTGGGTATGCAGAACAGAGGCACCCAAAATCACTAGTGACATCTGAAAATGTAGTGCCTTATTCGTTGAGCTGTATTACAGAGTGATGAGTTCTTCATATTATATCAAGAAATAACGATTGCTCTGCCCTCCTCTCTATTGGCAGAGCTCACACAAGAGACTAGCCACCCAGGCCTGTGGTTTGTTCGTGGAAGCCGAGGGAGTGGCGTTTGAAAGTCAACTTGGAGCCGTTCTCCCACTGATAGAAAAAGAAATTGAACCTCTGAAATTTGAAGATGTAAGTCATTAGACCAGGGATGAAATTTTGGGAAAGAGACAGGTTTAGCTGGGGAAATTGCAATAAATAAGTGGGAGGGGGAAGAGAAAAGGATAATGGAGGCAAGAATAAAAGACTAAACTCTTTGGGCCTGTTACTTGACCAGCATGACTGATGAGACATGTGCCCAATACATAAGTTCTTAAAGGGACACTGTCAACTTAAAAATCACACTGTGTCTGTAAATGAAAACCTTCTCATGTGACATGTCAGTCTACAGGGGGGTTGGTCTGCATGTGTGTGTGGGAGAATCTAATAGAACCACCAAACTGTATGCATACCTGTGCTGAGTGACCACACGATCATGTTGCTGTAAATGTCAGCTCTTCTTGCCCCAGCCTCTCTCCAACTTTTGTCACCATTGCTCATTGTCCCATCTGAAATTCCTATTGTCAGCTCGTCAGGACAGGGACAGATCTGCTGCGAGGTGCCCAGCATGCTCTTGGGCACTATAAAATAATGGTAGTAAGATGACTGTGGTGATTGTCTTCTTTGTTTTATTGGGAGGGATAGCTCAGTGGTTTGCTAAACCCAGGGTTGTGAGTTCAGTCCCTGAGGGGGCCATTTAGGGATCTGGGGCAGAAATTGGGGATTGGTCCTGCTTTGAGCAGGGGGTTGGATTAGATGACCTCCTGAGGTCCCTTCCAACCCTGATATTCTATGATTCTATGACTGGAACCGGAAGAGATTAGAGAAAAAGCATATGACCTTCTCTTTTTATAGTTTGTTGACTTTGTGCATTTGAGAGCACTTGATGTGTAGCGTGTCAGCTCTCCCTGTCTGGGTGAGGCTCTTCCACAGCAGCAGGAGAGAAGAAACACTCCTTTAAACAAAATGGGGATTGTAAAACCACAGAAATGGGCAGGGGGCTGATGTCACGTCTGACACTTTTTGGGATCCATTTATTTAAAAGCAGACTAAATATCAAGGTGATGGTGTTCTTATCACTGAGAATATCAACTCCCAGAAACCCATAGGTTTACATAGATATGAAAGGTCAGCAATACTGCACTGTGATTCTTCGTTTAACCTATAGAAAATATTAAAGTATTCAGTACAATTCCCTTCCTGTAATTCAGTCACTGGTTTATATGATGAAAGTCAGTTCAGTGCATCTGTTTTGGCTTCAGATTACATGGCTTCCACTGATTCTGATCAGTTGGTGAGCACTTTGTGATACTAATCACTAGTCATAAAGAAGCTGCCATGTATTTAATCAGGAATGCCAAAACGCTGAACAAGATAGAAGAGCTCAAGGAAGACCCAGGTGATGTGAGACAACTACAGCTGCAACTGGATTAGTCTGACATGGTTGCTGACACTGTAATCACTACATGTACATCCCTAATGATCCTGTGGATAAGCAGGCTTACTACAGTCAAGCTGATAGCTGCAGAGCTGATCAAAAGCAGGAAGCAGTTTAATACTATGCAGTTTACACTGTGTCACTCTAACAGGAACACGGTGCTTCACAGCTGTTACCGATAAAGTCAAACCTAGTTCATGAGAGGATTAAGTACTAGTTATAAATGATATAGTGTGTTTGTGTACATATGCCTGCATGTACATATATACAGAGACGAGCAACACGGCAATCTTCCTTTGGAAACTGAATCCTTGTGAAACAGTTTTAATGGACTCATTACACTAAATTCATATAGTAAATATAAAGTGGTCATAGGGGTCAATGTGGAAGACTTCAGCCATCAGTTAGATATTAAACATACAAAATAAGCCCTTCTGTACAATTCTAGCCAGCCATTGTAACTGTCTCTTTGTTCATTTATTTTTCTTTTTAGATAACAGAAGAGACTGAAGAAAAGGCAGCAGACAGATTGTTGTTCAGTTTTCTTACTTTGATAATAAAATTAATCAAGGAATGCAACATTATTCTGTTAACCAAACATAATGAGATTTTGAGCAATATCTGGCGTAAGTATGAATAATATTTTCTCCTGTATTAGAACTAAGATTATTGGTAATTTGTGTAGTTGTGGTTGCCCTGATGCAAACAAAGATCTGTGCAGTACGATTTGCATTTTGAAGAGGCATCTATAATATATGGCAGTTACTAGTGAAAGAACAGATGCTAATAGAAAAGGTTAGACCATCAGTGAAAACGATCTGCCTCTCTGTTCTGGTTGCTAAGAACTATTTTGGGTAATCCAGACTGGTGCCTGTTTGGCTGTAATTACACCCCTTAGAGTACAGCTTTCAGTTCTCTAAGACAAATGGTTTTCTCTGTCAGATCATAAATAGCAGCCAGCGAACAGGTGACACGTGGCACAGCAGCTCTTAAACAGGGTGTGTGTTTGGAAGGTCCATCTCAAAACCATTTTATTGATTGGCTGTAAGTGATGCACTGACACATTAAGCTAACTCATTTTGGCGTGTGGCGTTGGTGGGTTGTATTTTTTTTTAATTGCTTCTCTCGCAGTCTGAAAAGGGCTTGTATTGGATTGATTGTGTCTGAAAGAACAATAGGCCTCCAAGGGTCTTTTTAGAAATCCCAGCAGGCGTCTTTGATAGGCCTGGAGGTCCGGAATTCATCCACGGGACGGATGCAGCATGGGCAGAGGTGATGCAAAGTTCCCCATGCTGCGCCGCTGTTGTCCTTCAGTGTGTGGCTGGAGATAGAAGCTCTAGGGGAGAGAGGGCAACCACTGGCTTCTTTGCTGAGCTTGTTTATAAGGTTGCCAGTGGTGATGGATTTTAGAGCGTGGTCACCTGTCCCCTGAGAACCGGACTGAGACCTTCAACATGGCTCACAGGAGAAGTCACTGAACAGCCCCTTGTTTAAAAAAATACTCAACAGCAGAGTTCCAAACCACAGCACTTAAACTAATGTAGGCTGTTCGTGGATGGGAGCATTGCTGTAGCCTACTGGAGTGTTGTTCTTATGCAGGGGAGGGGGCTCTCAGATGGCCACAGCTTTTGTTCCCTGCCGTCCTGGGCTGGCTTGGAGTGGCTGGTGGCCCAGAAGCCTGCAGTCAAACTCAAAACAGATCAGCACAGTTTACAGTACTCTCCTCCTGACTGTAGCATGAACAGTGATGACTCCAGTTCCCATAACTGTATATGCTGGGCATGCTTACAACCTTGCAGAGGTGCCTGGGTACTTTCCCCTCTCGTATGGAAAGGGTTATGTTGGTTGAAAAGCTTTTTCTTTCCCCTGAAGGTCACGTTCAGTCCCATTTGTGGTACCCTCACAGCTGGGTGTGGCTGACTGCTGCTCAGATTTTTGGCTTGTTGTTTGCTTCTCACAAGCCAGAGGAACTTGTTAGCAAATGGAATGAGAGGAAGGCAGGCAAGAGCAAAAAAACCATGGTGGAGCCAGCAGCGACCAGGTTCTTCACAGATGAGCTGGATAAAAAGGTAAGGATGTTCCTGCTAATTCCCTCCCCGGAGCCAGTGTCTGTCGCCTGGCTGGTGTTTCTGATTGTCGCAATGCAAAGTAGCATTAGTTGCTGGTCTCCCATTTGTGTTTAAAGTTTGGACGCTCTCCACTGCTCTGTATTGATTGTTGGCAGGCTTCTCCCATAGGATTGCAGACTGCCTCCCTTAGGTCTCGCCCTCATCAGCAAAAAGGCTCCCATGAAGATCAGTATCTCTGAGCAAGAATTCTAGCCCGTCTTAAGTGTTTGGGCCTCCCGTTAGCCTTTGGGAACTGTCTCTGTAGGATGGTAAAATAACCCCTTGGGCTACATCATCATCCTGCATGTTCCCTGTTATGTAAAGAATTCCAACTTCCTTTTCTCTCCACAGATGAAGGAACTTGCTTTAGCGTTCTGTCACCAGCTGCAGTCCAGGTTCCTGGATCAGTCTCTGGGAGAGCAGGTACGAGTCTGAGTAGGTTTCAAAGTGCTGGGGGTATAGACCAAACTATGGGATAATCCACTATCCCTACAGAAAGCGTGAGTGCTCTTGGCTAGAAAGTGGAACACTTTCTATGTGCCATAGAAATGGTGAACGTTGAGGTGAAGATAAAATATCGCCAGAGAACCAGATTCTCTGGTCAGCTGAGATCAGCACTTATGCAAACGGCCTAGTGGAAAATTCTGTGCGGAGGAACTTTCTGTTGATGTAAATCTGCCAGCCGTAGCGCTGCCTCTACCCACCTGAGCTGCCCTGTCACATCTAGCGTGAGAGGCAGAGGAGGCCTAGCAGCGCGTGGAGGCTGTATGCTGGAGTGGGGCTCCGTGATACCAGATCCTTCATCGGCAGAAGGTTCCTGAGCTCCCAGGGCTGTCCTGTGCAGCCCTCACATGGTGGGCTGGGCATCTCTGAATCATGGAGCTACAACCAGCTTCCCTGCAGCCAGCTCAACTCACTCCCCCCTTGCAAGTACAGCTCAGACAGGGTGGAGAATCGAAGCCTGCCTGCTTGCTGTGGACCGATCCTTCTGCACTCAGCTTGAGTTATATGGCTGAGCTGAAGTTCTGATGTCCGTTGGAATTGGCTTAGATCCACCCAGTGCGAGCCAGATTCTGCTCTAGGTTGGGCAGGCCACAAGGAGCACTCCCGCTGCAGGTCCTGGCTAGACACAGAGCCTGCTCCCTCTGAGCACTGCTATGGACGCTAGCCATCTCCAGGGGAAGAATGTGGGCATGACCATAGCATCTCCACCAGCTCCCAGGGCAGCCTCTGGAAGGGCGCTGGAGATAACTCTCTGATATGTGCTATGGCATAATTCTGAACTGTTTGGCCTTAATACATTTTCCTCTCAAAGGGCCTGATCCCAAAGCCCACTGAAGTCCATGGGAATTTTCCATTGGCTTCTATGGTCTTTGGATTGGGCCCAAAGGGGGATGTCCGTATTCTAAAACTTGCAAAACTTGCTCTGCTGTGTGCAGCGGTCTACATGAATTGCACTCCCTTGGGTTTGATAATCCCAACCTCTTTAAAACCTCTCACCTGCCTCCTTCATGCCCCAGGGTCCGTACTGGCCACTCAATTGGTTTTTCTTTTCACTGTTGAAGGTTATAAAGAACTTGTTGTTTGTGGCCAGAGTTCTCTACCTTCTGGTCCCAGATTCAGAGGAAGGGGAGGAGACCAAAGATTATGAAATGGGAGGGCAGGAGGATGCTTCTGAAGACGAAGGTGAAAAGGCAGCATCTGCTCAGGAAGAGAAGGAAGGCGAAGCAGAAGAGAAAAGCAGACCAGCCACAGTGTTGTGGGTGATGAAAAGACTCTCTCTGATGGCAAAGCGAGAAGCAGCATATTCCCCTAAAAACCCTGTGAAGGTAAGAATTGTGTTGTCCCTCCCTCCATTTGACAGCATTGGGAGCTGCTCGGTGGAAAGCCTACCAATGTTGTCCTTTAGCCCCTCAGAAACTAGCTTGGGGTGCCTGCTGGGAGGCAGGTGCTGGAGGTGGGTGCTAGGCTAAGGAGGAATAAAAGTTTCTGAGTAGCGAGAGATGATGGAGCTTGCTGCTGTAGAGAGTCCCTGTTCTGTTTCTCTGCTCTGCCTTCCCTCCCTCTGCTTCCTGCTCTGCCTTCTTTCCCCACTCCTGCTCCTTTCATTCCCAGGCCTCCACCTTCTCTACATTAGTGTTTTTTAACTTTGAATGAATTGGTCAGGCAGGATGCTCCACGAATGTTTGTTCTTTATGCTGGGAGCCATGTGTGTCCTGGAACAAATGCTCAGTGTCCAGACAGGCATGTAGGGGAAAGTTCCATCTTCCTCTTTTTGCCTGGGGCGCTCCCATGAAGCACCAGAACACACCCTCTCTCCCTTAGCCAGGGTCACAAGTGTTACCTTCCCCACCGGTCCGCTGCCACACAGTTCATGGTGACAGTTTGGTAGGGCAGAGGTTCTCAGACTGTGGTCTGTGGCCCACAAGCTCCGTACAGGTGGGCCGTGGGCAGTTCCCTCTAAGGTGTGCACCTGGGCAGAAGCATATGAGAGAATGAAGGACCACCCACCTGTGTGGCTCCACTAATGAGGTGCATGGACCAGATGCTAAGAAATAGGGGGTACATGGAGGGGGGAATTTGGGATGTGCAGGGCTGCGGTGGGGAGAGAAAGAGGTGACTTTCCTGGGCTGCAGCTGCTGGGGAGAGACGCCCCAGCTTGGGGGCTGCTGCAGCAGAGGAGAGGGCACATCTATCCCCTTAGAAAGGTAAGACTACTGCTATTAAAATAGGAGTTGTGCGCTTTTATTTGTAGAACAAAAAATGTTTATTACGTTTTTTTTATATATAGCGCTTTTATCCAAAGCACTTTACAATAGTTAGCTAATGGTACAAACAACTTTTGGAAAGTTCATTAAGTGGTCCGCCGAGACCCTCAACAATTTTCAGGTAGTCTGTGAAAAAAAGGTTTGAGAACCAGAGCTGTGGGTTTTTTTCCCTTCCAGTCTCTCATTTCTGGTATGTCTGTACTTTCAGAGAACTTGCATCTTTAAGTTCCTTGGAGCTGTAGCAGTGGATCTTGGGAAAGACAGGATCAAGCCATACCTTCCAACAATCATCACCCCTCTGCACAGAGAGCTGAGTAGCACCTACGCAGAACAAGGTAAGTGCCAAACCCCACTAAGGAAATGGCACTGGCTCTGTTCTGCTTTGCACTGTCCATGCAGACAGCCCCAATCCAAACACCCTCTGTCATTCACACCCAGATGCCTTCATTCAGGGAGTGGAAGCTAAAGCATATATGGATAGTGCAGCAGAGGAGCTTTAGATGGGGAAAGCAGTGATGCAGGTGAGAACATGAGATGGAAGAAGGGGACTCATGCAGAGGGAAAGGTGATATAACCAGACTGACCGACAAAGATGGTGACCATGAGGCGTGGCACACACAGAGCTACGATGGGGAGTTGGGAAATAGGCAAGCTTATTACAAATATGAAGCGCTAAGATCTGGAGGCAGGAGTATACTTCTTGAAGTGTATGAAAGGTTCCTTAGTTGTTTCTGCCCTTGTTAGCTGTTTCCCCCCCCCCATGACACTCCTGAATAAGTACTGTCCATTGTGGCTCACTGAAAAATGGCCAAAAAAAGACAGTGCAACTCCTGTTTAACACGTTCCTGAACACTGCTTAATGTGCAATTCATTTCTACAGGAAACATGCTGTCTGGGGGTAAGTTCCAATGTTACATGCAGGTTAGGCCATTGGAAAATAAGCATCAAAGACAAATTTTCACTTTTAGAGTGTGTTTTCATGCAAATAGAAGAGAAATCAGTAATGTACAAGCAGAGTCCTCTAAGTAAACTGTTTCAGAATGAGGACTTAGGAAATCATCTCTTTATTTTACTAGATCCAACACTGAAGAACCTATCCCAGGAAATCATAGAACTGCTCAAGAAATTAGTTGGCCTGGAGACCTTTTCACTTGCCTTTGCTTCTGTGCAGAAACAGGCTAGTCAGAAGAGGGCTATCAGGAAAAAACAGAGAGCACTGCAGGTAAGACTTTATTCTCAACTCTGATTGCCCTTTTAGTAGAAAAGGATACTAGAAATTTTAAAGGCAGCACCTTACTTCAGAGGTGCTTGATCAGAAAGATTTTTTTAAAGGGACAATGTCTGCTTTAAACATCACCATATTCTTGAAAAGCACAAAATTAATTTCTGCTTTTTATTAGACTGTAGCGAACCCTGACATTGCTGCCAGGAAGAAGCTGAAGAAACATAAGAATAAAATAGAAGCAAGGAAGAGGAAAATAGAATTCCTGCGCCCTGGCTACAAGGCAAAGAAACCAAGAAGCCATGCGCTAAAAGACTTAGCAATGGTGGAATGAAACATACTTGGAAACAGCTGTATGGTCATGTATATATTTGACGCATAAACCTGATTGTGCAGTACTGGAGGACTCTCAGTGCTCTGAATATCTCAGCAAGTAATTTCTTTCCAACACCTAACACAGGGTAGAGAGCTACAGCCTCTCAGTATTTTTTTTTTTTTACATGAGTTCAATCTTAATGTATTTAAATTGTAATTAATTGTAAAGTCTGCACAGATCTTATGTAAAAACCATCAAGCTGTTTGCTCTCCTTTCATGCAGAGCATGCAACAGGCTGACTTGCCATGCATGAGTAAAATATGGAACACATGAATGTACAGTTTAATATACTAAGACTGTGCATTTTTCTAATTAAATATGTTTGAAAGCACCTGTTCAGTTTTCCACCCTGATCTTTCAGGTATGCTGCGCACATGAAATCTACCATAAAAAGCTGTGCGAGTCCCTTAAATATTCTATGGGTTAAGGATGAATACAGAGAATAGCGGTAACAGCAGAGTTAGTGTTCCACTTATTTACAGCAGAAGGCAGCTACATCCAATACTCTGGTAGTTACAAGGGCAGTTGATAATCACTTAACTTTGCAATGTGACCATAGAAAGGAGCAAGGTTCTGCCAACTACCAAGTTGGACAACTACTCCTAACACAAAGAGAAGGAAGCTACTTCACCCATCCCCAACGTGAAATGGTGCAAAGTAGGGTAATGAGCACTCCTGTAGTCTGGACATCACATTAAATACTTAGTGTGTACAGCTATAGGGAGTTTATCACTTACCTAAGGTGACATTCAATCCTAGCCTCTAAGACTGAGCAATAGTAACATTTGTGGGACAGCATCTTTGAAAAATATTTTATCTGCTCAAACAAAAACTTGCTACCATCATGTGTTAAAAAATCCTGCACTTGCTTCAAATCTGGAAGACTGCTAGATATATCCTGCAGCTGAGATTCCAGCTCTGAACACCTAGATACTAATTTCTAAAGTAGACTTTCCTCATCTCCAGGTGGGCTTTTCAACTCATGACTAAGAAGTGGGGATGATCTACGAGAGTGAGCACTAATGCTCCGTTGAGTTTCTAACAGCACTCTAAAGTAGCTCAAAACAGGTGACAGGCTTCAAGTGTAGGACATGCACATAACAGAAATATTTAGACTTCAAAGATTTTAGTGTTTACATGAATAAAATAGGTGATGCTACTAAAATTCATAACAAAAATTTATTTTAACCTGTCTCAGTCTATTGTCAATTAAGTCTTCCATACAAATTAACATAAGTACATACCGTAACAAAGGAGAGCAAGGAAGGAGTATTTTAATATAATACAGACAGACATTCAGTTGGTTCAGTGTATGTTTACAAGACAAGTCAGCCCCCTTTACAACAGTCAATTCCCTCAGTCCTATTTACAGTACGTGGCATTAACTTGCTTGACGAAAGGGATGCTTGGATGTGTTTAACCATCATGTGGCAAGGTTGTTTTTACTGCCGGTTCTTCAAGGCCTCCACCAACCTAAGGAAAAAATTAAGCGAGTTTATTTACTGAAGATTCCATTTCCAATATGCCGAGAAGTTGTGCATGCTGCCCTGGAATAATCATGTAGCCTCGGGGCTCATGCTTTGTTCACTTGGAAAAAAAGTTAAAATTAGCACCAAAAATATCCAATGTTAGATCCTTTTGAGGAACATTATAACAGCATTAGTTATCAAGACTTGAGTTAAACAGTTACCATTCCATTGCCTCATCAAGCCCAGTGCCTTTGGTTGCAGAGGTTTTGAAAATCTGCCACTTTTTGTCCTTCAAAGCTGGTAGGCCAAGTGAGTTTGCCATTTCTGTGGGAGTCATGGCCTGCTCCATGTCCTGTTTGTTTGCAAACACCACTAAAATGGCTTTTTTCAGCTCTTCTTCCTAAAAAAGAAATCTATGCAAGTAACTCTATTCTTCCCCTGACCTCAAGAGAATTTAAAGCAAACTACAGGTTTATTCAATGTAGAGAAAACTTCAGTTTTCAGTCTTTATATACAGTAAATCCTTCAAAAGTAAAAGTTAGACTTACTGGTAAACCTAAACTAAAATTTGATGCCAGTTCCCTTTGCTCCTGGTCAGTTTCCCTTAGAAAGCAGTTTCAAACAGACTGTTTTACAGAATACTTTGAATACCTTTGTTGGCCCAATGAATGATAAAAATCTATACTTGGATTTAAAGTTTATTAAATTCAATTACTTAGGGCACAATTCTGCCACCCTTGCATCGTAAGATACTAAATTTAATAAGTAATCCTATTAAAATCACTGATATCACTAAGTTTAAGGCTGGCAGAACTGGACCTTGAATAATGACAAAGCACTAAGAAGCTATGCTAGTAACAGATTATATTCAGGCTAGTGCCCACACAAAGGCTTATCTGAACTGGCATTAAACATATTGCAAATATTCTGCAGTCAAAAGCTTTGTACAATAACTCCTCACTTAATGTCATCCCGGTTAACATTGTTATGTTGCTGATCAATTAGAGAACATGCTTGTTGAAAGTTGTGCAGTGCTCCCTTGTAACATTGGTTGGCAGAGCTCCCTGCTTTGTCCACTGCTTGCAGAAAGAGCAGCCTATTGGAGCTAGCTGGTGAGGGCTTGGAACCAGGGTGGACCAGCAGCCCCCTTAAGTTCACAGTGCAGCAGCCGCCCACCAGTTCAGCTGTCCCTCTCCCCCAACTGCAGTGTGCTGCTCCTGCCCTCTGCCTTGGAGCTGCTCTCAGGAGCCTCCTGCTTGCTGTGCAGGGGGGGAAGAGGGAGGGGGGTGCTATTGTTAGGGTGTCTGCTGCCCCCCACTCCTGTACCTGATCTCCACAGAGTGGGACGGGAGACATGACAGGGTCCCAATGGAGGGAGCGTGCTGGCAGCAGCTGCTGCTGTCAACTTGCTGATCTACTTAAAAGACAGCGTACTTAGAGTGGGGTCAGCATACTTAAAGGGGCAATGCACGACTCTCTCTGCCATGATGCGTCTCCTTCCTCCATTCCTGCTGCCTTGTAGGGTGTGAGGCTATATTAACAATGTGTTAACCCTTGAGGGTTGAGCCGAATGCTAGTTCATCATTTAGCAGGAAGGCATTCCCTAGGAAATATCCCTCCCGCTTCCACGCTCTGACTTCACCACCTCAACCAAGCTTCACAATCATCATTATTGTGTACACTATTAAACTGTTTATATTATGAGAGAGTCTTTTGTCTGGCAAAAAAAATTTTCCTGGAACCAACCCCTCCATTTACATTATGGGGAAATTGGATTCCTTTAACAATTTCACTTAAAGTTGCATTTTTCAGGAACATAACCACAACGTTAAGTGAAGAGTTACTGTAATATGCTACTTCCTTCCTAAGGATGTAAGACAACTTGATTCCAAGCAGAGTTCATTGTCGTAGGTGCTGGTTTGTTTTAGATTTGCTTTAAGAAGAAAGATCTGCAATTAGTATCTTAATTATCTAAACAGTATCTTTGTTTTCTTACCTCCAACATAGCAACAAGTTCTGATTTTGAAATGCCAATTCTGTCTCGATCACAGCTGTCTACTACATAAATGACTGCATCTGTATTTGAATAGTAACACCGCCAATATGGCCTAGAAAAGAACAGGCTAGTTTAGTTCACATAAAGTTTAGTTTTACTAAGTGAAAGGAACCCAACACAATGGCAATTATAACAATGTGATGGCCAATGCTTGGAAAAAAAAAAAAAACTTGCTCAGGGAGAGTCAAGTTGTCCCCACCAGGTAAGTGGCCTAAAAGGCAACTAGTATCTTAAAAGGGGAGGAAAGGAGCAGACCACTCCAAACACTATTACTCAAAGAAGAAGGGAGTAAAACTACTTGTGGACAACTATTTATTGGCAGAATGAAGATGTGCCAAAGTTAAGTTCATTGTTTTGAGGGGCAGTGCTACAGAATATTTCAGTTAAGTGTTTCTAAGCCCTGTCTTTTACCATGAAAACTCCAATTAAGCTTTAAATAAAGTTTCACAAAACTAGTTGTGCAAAAAGCATCTGCCGTGGATTTTGCTATTAAGGCAAAAAAATTAAAGCAAACAAAAAATAAGACCTGATTTGATCCTTCAAACTGACTAGTAACTAACTAGGTTCCCAATTAAATCTTCATTTTAGAAGAATTGTGCCTACTGAAGTATTTTATTCAGGATCAAAAGTGAGGTTGGCATCTGAGGAAAGTAGTTCTTGATCTTTAGCAACTAAAGTTTGTAAAAGTCTATTTTTGAAAGAAACACGGCAAACAAGATTCCACAAAAGGCTATCTACTGCAAGAGATGACTATATTCCCAAGGTTGTACTATATCATTACTCATTAAAATTTTCAAAGGAATTTGTTACCCATTCCTAAATTTAACATTACGGCTGTCAAAAAGTAATTGGGCAATTAATCATGCTGTTAAACAATAGGATACCATTTATTTAAATATTTTGGGGTGTTTTCTACATTTTCAAATATATTAATTTCAATTACAACACAATACAAAGTGTACAGTACTCTGATTACAAGTATTTGCACTGTAAAAAAACAAAATAGTATTTTTCAATTCACCTATCACAAGTATTGTAGTGCAGTCTCTCCATAATGAAAGTTGAACCCACAAATGTAGAATTATGTACAAAAACTGCATTCAAAAACAAAATGCAAAACTTCAGAGCCCTCAAGTCCACTCAGTCCCACTTCTTGTTCAGCCAATCGCACAAACAAGTTTGTTTACACCTGCAGGAGAATGCTGCCCACTTGTTCACAATGTCACCTGAAAGTGAGAACTGGTGTTCTCATGGCACTGTTGTAGCCACTGGCATCACAAGACATCCACGTGCCAGATGCGCCAAAGACTCATGTCCCCTCATGCCTCAACCACCATTCCAGAAGACATGCGTCCATGCTGACAACGGGTTCCGCTCTATAACAATCCAAAGCAGTGCAGTCCGATACATGTACATTTTCATTATCTGAGTCAGGCACCAGCAGCAGAAGGTTGATTCTCTTTTTTGGTGGTTTGGGTTCTGTAGTTTCCGCATCGGAGTATTGCTCTTTTCAGACTTTGGAAAGCATGCTCCACACCTCGTCCCTCTCAGATTTTGGAAGGCACTTCAGATTCTTAAACCTTGGGTCAAGTGCTGTAGCTATCTTTAGAAATCTCACATTGGTACCTTCTTTGTGTTTTGTCAAATCTACAGTGAGAGTGTTCTTAAAATGAAGAACATGTGCTGGGTCATCATCCGAGACTGCTGGGTCATCATCCGAGACTGCTATAACATGAAATATATTGCAGAATGTGGGTAAAACACAGTAGGAGACATTGAACTCCTCAGGGGAGAATTGTGTCACAAATTTAATTAACGCATTTTTTTTTAAATGAGCATCATCAGCATGAAAGCATGTCCTCTGGAATGGTGGCCAAAGAATGAAGAGGCATACGAATGTTCAGCACAGCTGGCATGTAAATACGCAACGCCAGCAACAAAAGCGCCATGCAAATGCCGACGCTCACTTTCTGGTGACATTGCAAACAAGAAAAAGGCAGCATTATCTCCTGCAAATGCAAACAAACTTGTTAGTCTTAGCGATTGTCTGAACAAGAAGTAGGACTGAGTGGACCTGCAGGCTCCAAAGTTCCACATTGTTCTGTTTTTGAGTGCAATTATATAACACTCCCCTCCCACAAAATCTACATTTGTAAGTTGCACCTTCGCCACAAAGAGATTGCACTACAGTGTTAGTATGAGGCAAACTAAAAAATACTATTTCCCCTGTTTACAAGTATTTGCACTGTAAAAATGATCAAATATATACTTTGATTTCAATTACAACACAGAATACAATATATATGCAAATGTAGAAAAACATCCAAAATATTTAATAAATTTCAATTGGTATTCTATTGTTTAACAGTGCAATTAAAACCGCGATTAATTTTTTTTGAGTTAATTGCGATTAATCGACAGCCCTATTTATCATTTTAGCCTAACATGCTAAAATGTCGAGATATTTTCAAAGATGCATGGAAATAAAGCTAAGCATAACCAGCTTCTATTATCTCAACACTGCATAGATTAGTAGAAAAATTCATTTAAAGACCTTATTTCCTTAACATTTTTATTTGCATGCAGATAAAGTTTCTGTATTTTGTATCAGAAAATTCGATTGCAAAGTTTAATGTATTTAGCCAAACCAAACGTAAGAACATTCCATACAACCACTATCCCCTCATAACTGGAATGCTTCTAAAAATCAAATTTATGGGCTTGATGTTCAGAAGTACAGAGCACCCAAGATTCCCAAAGTTCTATGTTGTCAGCACTTCTGAATATCAGGTCCCAGGCGTTCATTCCAATTGGTTATGCCGTATCAGTCTCAGTAATGTGAAATTTCTTACCTGATACTTGTCTGTCCTCCCAAGTCCCAGACTTGAAACTTTAGATTCTTGTATGTTACTGTCTCAACATTGAAACCAATTGCTGAAATATATAGAGAGAGACTACCTTAGTGCTGCTCTTGGGGAAGAACATTCCAGCAAGAGAGGAGCTGTAATACATTCCAACTTCAGCTACAATCTTTAATCCTCACAAGTACAATTAACGCCTACACAGCTAGTTAAGTCCATACTTCTTCATAGATCATGTTACTAGCTGCTTTTTTTATGATCAAATAAATGCACTATGCTTTGACTGAGATAAAATGCAGTATTTTAAAAGAAATAAAAGTAACTTTTAAAAAATTTGTGGAGTTACAAAAGTACATATATGGTTGTTTTAAATAAGGATGCTGTTTATAACAAAAGCTTAGGCCCAAGGACCCCTGCTTTCCCTGTGAGAATGAACGTAAACAGAGCAAAAATGAATTTAGCACAACTTTCTCTTTCCTGTCTAGAGAATTTGATGTGTAGACAAACAGAGCCTTCACAGAGTTCATGTTAAAGATACATTTGAGAGCTTGACTTTGCTGGACTGCCATCATTAATGCTATAACAAGAACCTACCAAACTTATGGTAACAAAATTCAGATGTGTGGCTAAACACTTTAGTTTGTAGTTAGCAGCATTAAATACTTTCTCAGTGTAGCTGCATATGGGAAGACACACAAACAAGGATACATGAGGTTCCAGCAACTTCTAAAGATCACCGATTAACTAAACCAAACTTTGTGCATGCACACTTCATAAACAAAGAAAGTGTATGTATTAGATCTTCACTGGATCAGTTAGTCTTTAGAGAAGCACTTACTGGGGATGGTGGTAACAACTTCACCAACTTGTAGCCTGTACAGAATTGTTGTTTTTCCTGCCCCATCTAGTCCCAAGATTAAGATTCTCATCTCCCGAGTGCCAAACAAACTGGAAAAGATAGTGGAAAAAAAGCCACCTAAAAACAGAACAGAAACAAAATTTCAGTACCATGTTACAGTAGCACTAACACTAAGAAGTCAGAGAGCTTTGACAACGTGTCCTATTGAACACCAGGAAGTATATCTGCTTTAAAAATATCCACTAGTCTGAACTACTAGATTGTTCCCTTCAGGGGAAGTGAAAACAGCTCAAGCTGTTGATTAGTTACATACCTGCCGGCTCAATCACACCTACCCCTTCCTGTTCTCCAAAAGTTTGACCTCAGTCAGCAAGATCAGGTGGCAGAAGCAATTTTTCCTGCTGTTAGTTCACTATCTGCCAGTAGAGAAGCAAATGCTTATTCCTTTTTCTATTGCCCTCTATGTTTCTGGTGCACTAAATTACACAGGGACCTTCAAAACCTGATGTTAGAAAGGAAATTAAGTTCTCCTTCAGTATGACCCACCCACACGTACACTTACTAGTTTAATAGGGTACATGCTGTATAGTCTGATATATGCTAACTGAGGCCAGGTCTACACTATAATCTTACATCACTATAACTGCATCACTCAGGGGTCTGAAAGAATTCACACCCTTGCAATGCAGTTATACCGACCTAACCCCCTGCTGTAGACAGCGCTATGTTGACAAGAGAAGCTCAACAGGTGGAGACAATGCTGTCAATGAGACATAGCTATTCCTTCTTGCGGAGGTTAATTAACTACACCAATGGAAGCAGCTCTCCTGTCAGCGGAATAGCGTCTTCACTGAAGCACTACAACGGTGCCGCTGCACTGCTGCAGTGTTTTAAATGTAGCCATGTCTTTAATGTTAAAGATTATGAAAGTGTACTGACAATAAACGTATACAAACAGGTGTCTAACCCACATTCAGAAGTGTTGACCTAGGCTGGGACAGGAATAGGAAAAGGGTGGCTGAACAGACAGATTGTTAAGCGACAGCTTCAACTGTCTTCATTTCCACTGTAGAGAGAAACAGTACAATACTGCAAACTAGCGTAGATGTTAATGACCTGACTTCCTTTTCAAGACAAGTCTTTTAATCCACGTGGAATACATTCTAGCTAAATTCAGAGCTTTAAAGAGATGGGCTAGGTTCAAAATTTGATCTTATAGGCAACACCTCTAAATCAAATTAATGAGAAACTTTACATCAAACTGTTACGATTAGAATAGGCATGCTTGTAGGACCAAAGAGTGCACCACCCAAGCTGAGTTTTGTTACACAAGCAATAAAACTATTTTTGAAGTGAGGCCTTAGTTCATGACTCCATTCCAGTTAACTTTGTGTCAATCGTCTAATGTGTAACATCCTTATTTGGTATGCCACATCCAATCTGTCTGGTAGTCTGTTTGCTGCTAGCCATATAACTAGCATATCTGCGAGATAATTCTTTCCCCTTAACTTTACAAACCTGACAATAAGAAGTTTTGGGTGGATGGGACATGTCCTCCTGCAACCTCAACTGTCAACAATTTTGCAAATATCCTGCCTAAAAAGAGATCAGATCACAATATTCTAGATGTGGTACATAAAGGGACACCACCAACTTAAAGTTACTACTCTATTTGAAAATTATTTTACCTACTATATTTATAACACCTAATACTAGAATTGGAAGTTGTGAGAAATAGTATAGCCAGTTTCCCCTTTTATTTATGTGGGTCTCAAAGTGGCTGTCAAAACACAAAGTGGTAGGAAAATAAAAGGGGCAGGATGAGGTAACAAAAAGCTTTAAATCTAATTTTATTTCCAGTTGATATTGCTTACGTGTCCAGTCCAAAATGATTTCATCAACTCCAAGGCCAGAAGGGGTCACTGGTGTCACGTGATCTGACCTATTGTACAACACAGACCACAGAACTTCCCCAATATAATTCCTAGATCTTTCAGTGAAAACATCCAATCTGGATTTAAAAATTGTCAGTGAGGACAAACCCCCACAACCCTTGGTAAATTGATCCAGCAGTTAATTACCCTCACTGTTAAAAATCTACACCTTCTAATTTCAATTTATCTAGTTTCAATTTCCAGCTGGTCTTGCTATACCTTTCTCTGCTAGATTGAAGATCACATTATCAAATACTTGTTCCCCATGTAGGTACTTATAGACTGTAATCAAGTCACCACTTAACCTTTTCTTTGTTAAACCAAATAGACTGAGCTCAAGTCTCTCACTATAATGCATGTTTTCTAACCCTTTAATCGTTCTTGCTGAATCCTCTCCAATTTCATTCTTCTTGAATTGTGGGCATCAGATCTAAACACAGTATTCCAGTAGTAGTCACACCCCAGTGCCAAATGCAGAGGTAAAATAACCTGTCCGCTCCTATCTGAGACTCCTGGTCAAGCACCCAAGGATTACATTAGCCCTTTTGGCCACCAAGACGCACTGCAAACTCATGTTCAGCTGATTATTCGCTATACCCAAATCTTCAGAGTCCCTACTTTCCAGGACAGGCCCGCATCCTGTAAATATACCCTACATTCTTTGTTCCTAGATGTGTACATTTGCATTTAGCTGTATTAAAACATACACTAATAGCTTGTACCAAGCCATCCAAATCGTTCTGTATAGTGACCTGTCCTCTTCATTATTTACCACTCTCCCAATATGTGTATCATCTGAAAACTTTATCAATCATGAATTTATGTTTTCCTCCAGGTCACTGATAACCATGTTAAATAGCATAGGGCCAAGAGCCAAACCCTAGAGGACCCCACTAGAAATACACCCACTTTGAGGAAGTGTGATCAACAGAAAAGCAAGGTTGATTGGAAACTGCTTCACAACCAGAGATACTACTGTTTGTGGTTAATGATTGCTGTGTCTGCATAAATCCTACCAGATTCTATTTCAGTCCAATATATCCATCTCAGATTCTCTTTGTATTTTTACACCCATAGTATCAAATATTGAGTTGATAGCTCTAGTACAGTCATCAACACTTTGAAGAACATTCCTGGTGTTCAGTTGTACAGAGCAGAACATATAAAGCTGCATTTAACTTTGTTTTCCTTCAAATAGATACTGTACTGCATTAGGTAAATGGCAATGTCTCAAGCATGGTTTCGAAGACCCTTGAGAAGTTACTTGAGAGATCAGGAGAGATTGTGGCACTGGGACTAGACAGGGAGATTACAGCACTTTACACCCATCGTGACAAAGGAGCTTTGTATCATTATCCCCATTTTAACGGATGGGAAAATGGAGGCACAGGTAAGGAACTGACTTGGCCAGGTCACCCTGTAAAGTGGTGGTAGAGCTGGGACCCATGGCTCCGGGTCCCAGTCCACTCAGTGCCCCAGCCACTGAGCCTCTCTGACAAACTTCTGGTTGCGGGTGCAGCCTCTGGCCCAGCTTTACCTTTGTAGCGCCCTTACATCGGTTTTCTCAAAGGCCGTTGTAAAGACACGACCGGCGTTTAAGCGGGCGCGTCGGCCGCTGCTGGGGGCTCCGGGAAGGGAAGCTCTGCCTGCTCCCCCCGACCCTCGCCAGGGACCGCGCCCTGAAGTAGCGACAATGGCACAGTCCGCCACGGCACCGACCCACGCAGTCGCCTCGGCCAGGCCGGGACTTCCCACTCCTCTCTCTCCCCTCCTCTCTCCACTGCCGGCGCCAACGGCGGGGGGGGGGGTTACCCGACTCCCCGCCCCCGAGCAGCAGCGCGGCCCGGGCCCCCGCCCGGCCCTGTGGGGCCGAGTCTCGCGCCGCCCGGCAAAGCGCCAGCAAGACCCGTCCCCGCAGCCCCCCGCTCCTCACCCATGGTGCCGCCGCCGCCGCCACCGCCACCAGCTTCCACGTCGACTCAGTCGCTCCTGCTGCGGGAAGTAAACGAGGCGCCGCCCGCAGCCTCCCACTTTCGGCACAGAGTCGAGATTTAGCCAGTTGGAGGCGGTGGGGGAGGGGCCCCGTGGCCCCGCCGCTGACGGGGGCAGAGGGTCGAGCGCGCGCAGGGTTCCCTAATCCCGTGGGCCAGGGACGCTCCTCCGCCCGGGTTTCTTCCCACCAACGCGAAGCGACGAATCTGCGGCTGCGGACCCGGGCGCTAGAGCCACTGCGAAGTGCCGAGGAGGGGAGGGGTGACTCGGCGCAAATGGGGCGTGGCCTGCTAGCGCGAAGGGGCGGAGCTACCCGCGTTCCTCCTCCTCCTCCACTTGCCTCTAGAAGCCCGGAGGGTTGTAACGAGCCGGGAAGGCTCCGGGCCTCAGCGCTGCCCCCGGCCCAAGGGGACGAGCGGTGCAGGGCGCAGCACGTCCCCCTTTAGCCATTGTTCACAGGCAGGGGGGTAGGGAACAGCTTTACAGTCATACCCACCCAGTCTTTGCAACCCTGCCTTCAGCCCCCACTTTTTACTCAGGACAGTCAGAAGCAGGGCTAGTGCCTTGCACCCTCTTACAATCCTGTGTCAGAACAAGGGGACGAAAGGATTGAAAGACAAAACATTAAGCAGGGAAGGACCCACTCTGAATTTGGTCTACTGCCTTCAAAGCCCTGGAAGGGTACAACAGAAGCGTGGAGAGGGTTTTTTTTTTTTTGAAGTGTAATTTTGCAAACAGTATTTATACTACTGTGCATCGTGCCAGGACTGTAGTTCTGTCCTCCACTGTACACCTCTAAAAGCTGCAAAGCAGAAGAGAATCTATTCTCCCATCCCTCAGCTCATAATATAAACAGTACCACATACATTGCCTCCTCTGAACAAATATTACTGGGTTATTGGGTTAGAGGTCTAACACCAAGTGAGATGAATCAAAATTGCTGAGGACAGATTTACCACTCTGCTTGCCTTTCTTATGGAGCAGATATTCCTTTGTACACAAGCATCCATGTCAGCAAAATGTATAACCTAGTGAAAGTGTGCTAGTTACACAGTAGATACAGAATAGTAAGGTACAATAACTGTACAAGACCAAAAGGAAGCTTTAAAGAAGTTATTTTCCAGAGGAGTTACATCACCCTAATGCAATATAACACATTTTTTTAAAAAATCACAAAAGAGGGATTTATTCAACAAATGATCCTTTAAAAGAATAAAATCTAAAGAATACTGTGCAACCCACTTAAACATGTATTATAGCCACATCCCCTCATTTAACCATTTTTAAGATATTGAGCCCTTCAATACCAAAATCTTCACTAATATTCATTAGGTTATTAATACCAGTTACTGCTACTTACACTTATTTCCCTCATTTATTAGCAGCAAGAATTCCAGTTAATTAAGCTGAAATGTTTATTGCACTGGAGTATATGAACAATATGTTTACAGCTTAATAAACATCATAGAAAAGCTTAGATATTAACTAATTACAAGCCATGTATTTTTTCACAGCTATTCATGTTATTCTTTTTTTAAACAGGACAAAACTAGAGCATATATGAAACAAAAAGTAAAACAAAACCCACTGCCTTTCTGCCCCTGCATGGGTTTTAAAAAAATGACATCTCTTTCCAAGATGTCTCAGTAGTATAAACATGGAAGTTTAACTAATTTGATCAAATAACTATGGATACAGGTAAAAATGAATTGTTCATTTTTTTCATTTAGGTCATACCTGAAATTGCTATGATTGGTCAGTGTAGTGTTAGGCTTGCAGCCCAGAAAATGCTGCTATATATTTGTACAGCACTAACAGTGCAGTAGGTGCTCTACAGACACTTATTTTCATAAGGTTCCCTGACCTAAAGAGTTTCTAATCTAAACAACATAATTACTGTTGATTTGGGACAGAAGATTATTATTAATATGGGTGCATTTATCAGGATTGTTAAATATATGCAGGGTGGCCAGATATAAAAGAGGAAAAATGGATGCATGCCTCTGTTTTTTAACTGAGAGAACAAAGAGGAATGGTTTCAGATAATGCATACTATAGGTCCTTGGGCAATAGGGTCTACTATTTTATAAAACATGGTAAAAATGTGGCAGATTATTACAAAATGTATTATCCAAAGAGTAAACCAGAATTTGAAAAGTTATAGCACCACCTATTTATTTTGGTGTAGTAGACAGTATGTTAATTTCATTGGCATTCAGAAGTCCTGACCCAATAGGGAACTCTTATTGGCAAAAATTAAAGAATTCCCTTAATCTGTTCTTGAAGTACTGAACAAATACTAGTCCGTTATCATATCACAGTTTTCCAAGGTGCAGTAAAGTACATTAAGCCAGCAGATTTCCAGAATTATAGTTTTGCATTCTCTTCACAGGGAGTCCTGTTCACTTACTTTCTTCATTTTGTGGGGATAAGATAGGTGTGTGTATGAGGAAGAGAAGGGAAATTGGTTGAGAATCACCAGACGTCACTAAAGAATAAACAATTTGTATCTAACACTATTCTATCAAAACCACTAATAACCACAAATTGAAAGACTGGACCATAAAATAATCCCAGCCAGACAAATATACCAATCTACTGTACAACACAAACTGATGACAAAGGGAGCAATTATTAATTGTGATTAATAAAAAATACTAGGCAATGGAAATTTAGAAAAGACAGAACTCACCTGCAAATGTGAACAGTCTGCGGTAAAAACAATATATGGAAAGTATTAAAGAGTTCCAATGGCAATGTATACCAGAGTTGATTTACTATTCTTCTCTGTGTAAAAGATGATTTTGGTATTTCTTTTTCCTCTTATGGGCCAAACACAATGTTCAAGTCTGCTTCCTCTTTTGTCACAAATTTCATTCTGTCCCTTATGTATCTTTATGCCCAATTCCTGGCACGCTAGCAAATAGGAATGAACCCCAAAGGAGGCCTAAGATGTAGAACAAGCCACATAGGAGGAGCCAGTGAATAGACCTCAGCTTTTCCAATCACATTTCCCAGCATGGGTCAGCCTCCCCCCACATACTTCCCCATTTCCTCAGCACCTAGAATCGTACAAATGCACATATATACATTCATGTCTGTTGGAAGGGAACAAGACAAGAAGTGAACAGAAGCTGACTAGTCACTAGATGGAATAATGGCCTTCCACCAAGCAATCTATTTTGAGAAGGACACACACATCTTGTCCTCAAGAACTGGACCAAGAAATTCACATTTCCATTAAGCGGGTGATCCACAGCGTGGAGGAAGCATCAGTGAGAACACCATAAATGGGGCCAGGCAGTTTTGCATTTCTTTCAAATTATCACATGGATGTGTGCAGATTTCCCAAATACAAAACTCGAGATTCTTGTTAAATTTTCCATTGTATTTCCAGTGTATTCTGTCTATTCTCTTACAGTGACCATAACGCATCTTTTAAAAAATCCTTTATTTTTCCTGTGAGGATGGCAGTACGCAAGAAAGAATACACAAAACTGATTAATTAGTGATATGAAAAAAAGGTAACAAAATATTTTTGGCCATAATTTAGAAAAGGTAGGTTCTATAAAATCTGAGTTTAGGCAGTTTGCCCTGGTTTGTTACTTGTGGAGGCAGGTAGCATGAGGAGGAGTCTTTTAGGTCCTTGATACCCTTAGTAGACCACGGATGCGTCTGACAAGTGCTTGAATGAAAGTATAGCGTGACCGGACTTTCGAGTATAACCCTTCAATATCAAGGAGCTTCTTCTGCAGAGATTCACCAAAGCTGTTGGTGGCTTCAATCTGAAGCTGAGGAAGAGAAGAAATTTAGTGAAATGGACAGTGGTGTCTAGTCCTCTTGTTAAAGGAGGTCTTTTCATCATTAATCACCACCAATCACCCTTACCCATGCCACACCCCCTTCCATTGCTTCAAGCCCCCTCTTAGAAGAATATAAATATGGCTGGGGGGGGAATCTAGTTTGGCAAATATTAAACAGATCCTTATGTCTGTCCATCTGAATCATACACTGGAAAGTATTTCTGTGGAGGGTTTTCTGGTGAAGTACTTAACATTTTAAAACACATGTATATGTTTTGACTTTAAAAATACTACTTGTGTGCTGCAATCTAAGCACATGCATGTTTGGCAAATCAGAGCCTTAGAGTTATATAACTTGACTTCTTAAATTAAGGAATTGTAGTAGAGATTTGCCCTTATATAACAAAAATCTATGTATTGAAAAACATGTTTTGTTATTACTGATGGAAAAGGCTATTTTTAAAAAGAGCTGAATTCTAGACATTGTAGGACGTTATTGTATATATTTTCTTGAGTGGTTGGGTATAGCCACAAAAGCGTATGCACCTTATTTTACAACTCTTGTATACTGTTAATCGTGATTGAAACGAAAAGTTTTTAATTTCCTTATTTGCACACAAACATCAAGGCTTTATGTTCACATAGTTCTGAGTTAGTTCTGAGTTCACATAGATCTGAGTTAGTTAACCTATGCTGGTTTTGCTAGCTGTACCTCCAAAGAGCACAAATTATTTTAGGTTCTACATAAGCAGTGGCAATTTCTTAGCTACATCATAGTCAGCTCCCCTTTCTCTCTCTTTACTATGGTCCATCTGCAGCTGACCAAAAATGAACAGCTGCAGCAACACACAAAACTAGGAACCCTGTCTTCAATACACATCCTTCAAGGACAACTGACAATTTATTTCAGAAGCAAATTATTAAACAGCTGCAGTTTATTAGTCTAATTTACAAGAGAATAAGAAAAATATTTTTTTCAGTAATTTGGACCTTGGTATTTCATTTGCAATGTTCTAGATTTTGTGCATTAACATGGCTGTGTGCAGGATTCAAAAATACATGTATAGCTGTGCAACTGATACTTTTTGAAAAATCGTGTTACACCCTATTTATTTGTAGTTCAACTAAGCATTTAGCAGCTAGGTATCGCAGATCACTCTTAAACATGGAAGCTATAGACAGACTGCTGACAATAACTCCATGTTAGCAACACATCAGGTATGCCGTAATTAAGAATATTTTATCTGCTGCATCTCACCTGATCTATGTCATGCTGGCTCACTCGATTCTTCCCATTTCTGAAATCCAAGTTAGGCTCCAAACTGAAGGAATCTTGGAATACAATTCACAAATTTAAATTCTTAATTCCACCTGCTGGTGAATACCATATATGTGCAGGTATGAAGCAAGATTAACACAACAAATGCCTATTTTGTACATAACAGAAAGTTAAACAAGGATGAAGAGAAAAATCACAATTGATCTTTCTTGACCTATTGATGAATTCTCTCTCAACCATTAGTGTAGTAACTTCATATAGCCCTGGATTACACAACATGGCATGGTCAACAACAATAACCTCCCCGTATTATCTTTCCTTCCCTGACTTTTTTCCCTTCCTCACCAAATCCACTGGTGAGTTAATACTGTATCAAGTTAAAAATACTTTTAGAAAACAAATGTCCTTACATCTGTTCTTAACATCACCTTCAATTATTACATTTGAAAAATTTTTTAAAAATATGTAATTTACTTTTCACCATTATTACTTGTTTACTTTTTCAATTTCATTCAGTTTGACCAACAGAAACAAGACTTGTTTCTAGACAAAACTCATTTTTTACTTCTCATCCACTACTACAATGCAGCAATATTTGGGCTGCAAATACTGCATGCCTATGTTTAAATGCAAACAAAAACCTTTTATTACAAACAAATTAGTCAAACGTCATTAATGTTAAGTTTTGTAAAAATCTATTTTAGAAAACCTAAATTTTGATGTTCAATCTCTTGATATTGCCAGATATTTTTATGTTTAATTTACAAACTAATGTAAAGGCACCTTAGGGTTTGAGAAATGTTACCTTGTAGCCTTCTGCTCTTAAATGGAGTCCTGGAGGCCAGCAGCGAATCTTGGGAATCAGTAGGGGTGCAATGCAATAGATAGTATTCCAGGTGACGCCAAAGAATAAAGAGGCATGTTTCTATGATATCTGTAGACATGCTCAGTGAAGGAGACTAAAGTTAATTTATGCTGATTTTAGATTGTAGCCCTTTTAGAGGTTTCAAAAGAAAGCTCTGATGTTGCAAAACTTCCATGCATGTTTAACTCCGTGCACGTGAGTAGTGATTGCAATCGGCCTATTCATATGGGTAAAGTTAAGCATGTGTTTGCAAGACTGGGGACCAAGGTGTCTGTTTCTTGGGGACTGAAATGACTCTGATAGACAGCTCCTAGTTGCCACGGCCCTCGATTTTTTGCACAACAGCAGTTCCAAGTTACTCACATGGCTTGTACATCCTGACAGCATGCTTGGTGGACCCATACACTTGATTCTTTTACTGTTACCTGCTTCCAGCTCTAAGAGCTTTGTTATTCAGCTGTATTTCCACTTCACCACAATGGAGGAGAATCACCAGCCTAATCACGTCAATTAACTTTATTTGTTGTTGATTTCTGTGGAGATGATGCTATGTTACTATTGACTTTCTTTCAGAGCTCCTACCACAACTAGAAAATAAATGTTTACATGCTGAGCGTAGAGAAACATGTGCCTCCTCTCAACTGATTTAATCATCAATATCTGAATATTTTCTTTCCTAAGATTGGCATTTTTTTTAAAGTGCCCTGAAACCCAATTGCCTGCTAGGCAATAAAGCAAATTACTCCCATTTCTCAGCCAACTTTTTCAATTTTTCTGGAGTGTCATCACTGGAGCGGTCATAATTCCAAAAGGATACAGGAACATAGGGAAAGCAACTTGGCCCGATTATTTATCAGCTTCACCAGACGCCGCCTTGCCAAAACGTATTTTTGGGCAGTAGAAATTTTGTCTACCCCAGCTGGCATCACTGACTGACACAGCTATGGCAAGAAGAAAAGATGCACAAAGATTCAACATTATGTAGCAAACCAGAACAAAGTGTTAAAAGTCAAGAAAATACCCACAACAGCCTTGTAGAATTTTGTCTCCTGGGAAAGTTCTCTCTCTCTTCTTATCCTCCTCTCTCCCCACCCCAGTCACCACAAAAACAAATAAACCAAGTCCTACCCCACACTTTTCTGGCAAAATCTAAAGTGTTCCTTCAGGATCAAAAATATTATCAGTTCATGTTGGTGGAACAGCGGTCACTTATCTTCAGTTCAATTATCCCTCCCCTCTGTAACCCAATCGCTTCATAGACTGATGGGAAACTCACACCTGTTTAATGTCTACTTATTTTGTCTGGCTGGCTAGTCACGAGACATCAGTGGTGACCAGTCTGATAAAGGTCAGCATGACATATACATTAAGAGTGACAGTAGTAATAGTTTCCAATATAATTCGCAGTAAATATCCACTCAGTACCCTCCACAAAGCTTAACCTGACATTTTTTCATCCTAATATAAATGACTGCTTCCATGGCCATTTAGTTCCCACTTCGTCAACTCCAACACACCCCGACAGTAAAAAGGAATAAGTATAAGATTGTCACAGCTCCATACTACAGTTATTTCTACATTTAGTTTAATTTACAGGCAACAGATACTTCTGACTGTTCATAATAAAGTCTACAGATTCTGTTACCTCCTTTATCTCATCTGGTGGGAGCTGCTCCACATTCTGTAGCTTGTTAACATTCTGACGGTGGCTATCATAGTAACTGAAGAAATCATTAGCATTCTGTTTCAACAGATAGACAATGATGCCCAAGCCAGGAAGGCGCCAATATGGGACCACTGGTGCTTGTGTATCTAGGGGAGACCACCATCAAAGTTAAAACAAGTTCTCTCTGAAGCCCCCACAGCTATGCAGCTTATCCTCTACTGTTTGTCACCACCGTAGTGTCAAGGATATGTAAGTACTGGTAAACTTTATTTTGGATGTGTGGGCCACACTTATTACAAATGAGATATTAGGACTCAACTCAGTGATTTCATCTCTTGCTGACACATGGCAGGCAAGCAGACAGCTGTTAGCATTCAATTCCCCACATTTTCTTTTGTGATGAAACCTTATCATTTCTGCTTTGTGCAGAGCTCACATCCAGTCTCCCTCCCTGTTAATCAGCGGCAACAAAAAGAGCTTAACGTTGTATGCCCTACAAGGGGAAATTTCAACTATGGTGCAAATCATTATTTCAAGCCTGGGGCAGTAGGAGCACTGGAGCTATACGTTAGCCACAAAAGATTACTTCCATGCTTTGCACAACAGCTCAGGGTTATTAAACCCTAGAATTTTGAAGTGTCCTCTGACAGTCATTCTGGGATGCTGAAAGGATAAACAAATGACTTCACATAAACCCAATCCATTTATCACTCAGGCTTTCCATCATAGATCACTCTCAATAGTAAACATGCTACCTATATTTTTTCACTGAACTAACTCAGGCTTCAAAGGTCTCAAAAAGCTAATTTTTACAGTAATAGTAATTCTACACCTTTTAAGATGGCTATTTAACAGGGGAAGAGGAGAATTCTTGAAAAACATGTTCTTACACATATAAGATAATTAAATGCAAAATAGAAGTCACTGGTTGGATCAAGGCATTGGTATCAGGACAACTTAGAGATAACAGTACCATTTCTTTCTAATAGCACTGCAAAATATTTACTGCCAAGAAAAACTTAATTTGCGCTGTTGAGGTTTTGGTGTATTGTTTTAATACACTAAATTTTCCACCAGTCAATCTCATGCTACCCCCATCCCCCAATTTGTTGCAACTTGGCACAATTAACATCTCCAATAAGTTAGAAAAGGCACGTTGCACACATCATGAATGAGGTGTATAACCTGCTATCAGTCCAACTTTCACAATTCAGTCTCGGATACATACAAAACAAGTAAACCACAAACTCACCCTGACGGGGTCCATCTCGGTTAGTTGATTCTGACAGACTAGGAGTGAACAGACAAACTGTGTGCTGAAAGGTGGGGGCACACTGTAACATAAGTGACTGGCAGTACTCCATTACATTTGCACAGATCTACAGAAGAGGAATCACAGCAAGTCAATACAAGTAAGACTGATGAAATATTGGGTAGACAATTAACACTATTTTCAGAACTCTTCAAATTGCATACATCAGTATGACGACTAGAAATGGCTACAAATCACCCATGCCAGATATCTCACAATTCCCAACTGATGATTTTAGCAGTGCTGTGAAGATGTAACTTTGTTCCTCAATTTCCTCACCTGTTGCATGGCCAACTCAATCTCATCCCTCTTGCTCACTCTGTCTCCCTCAGCACTGTCATCTTGCAGTTTAAACTGATTGAGTCTGTCTGAACCTCCAAACCGACTTAGAAGTCCTAAGCACTGGCGCTGTGACAGGAAGCAAACTTAGGTGAGTGTCTCCACCAAAGAGTTAAAAAAATCCTTTGATATTTACAAGCAATAAAAATGATACATTTGATTAATAATAATCTTACAGCCCTCATTAACCCTTTACTATCCATTCTATAACAAAAGCAGCGGCAATACAAATTAAGCATTTACATCACATGGGAGTAATTTTGTAAGCTAACCTTAAACTCATATTTACCTTAAAATGTTTAAATCACAAAGAATATAAGTTTACTTTTTGCCTGTCCTTAAATCAATTTGAAAGCAAATGGTACTTTTAGAGGGCCCCAATGGAACCCAATCTTAAACTTTGAGAAATTATCCCAATTCAGATATGTCCAGTTTAGTTAGCCCTGGTCTACACTAGGACTTTAGGTCGAATTTAGCAGCGTTAAATCGATGTAAACCTGCACCCGTCCACACGATGAAGCCCTTTATTTCGACTTAAAGGGCTCTTAAAATCGATTTCCTTACTCCACCCCTGACAAGTGGATTAGCGCTTAAATCGGCCTTGCCGGCTTGAATTTGGGGTACTGTGGACACAATTCGACGGTATTGGCCTCCGGGAGCTATCCCAGAGTGCTCCATTGTGACCGCTCTGGACAGCACTCTCAACTCAGATGCAACTGGCCAGGTAGACAGGAAAAGAACCGCGAACTTTTGAATCTCATTTCCTGTTTGGCCAGCGTGGCAAGCCGCAGGTGACCATGCACAGCTCATCAGTAGAGGTGACCATGATGGAGTCCCAGAATCGCAAAAGAGCTCCAGCATGGACTAAACGGGAGGTATGGTATCTGATCGCTGTATGGGGAGAGGAATCCGTGCTATCAGAACTCCGTTCCCGTTTTCAAAATGCCAAAACCTTTGTCAAAATCTCCCAGGGCATTAAGGACAGAGGCCATAACAGGTACCCGAAACAGTGCCGCGTGAAACTTAAGGAGCTGAGGCAAGCCTACCAGAAAACCAGAGAGGCGAACGGCTGCTCCGGGTCAGAGCCGCAAACATGCCGCTTCTGTGATGAGCTGCATGCCATTTTAGGGGGTTCAGCCACCACTACCCCAGCCATGTTGTTTGACTCCTTCAATGGAGATGGAGGCAACACAGAAGCAGGTTTTGGGGACGAGGAAGATGATGATGATGAGGTTGTAGATAGCTCACAGCAAGCAAGCGGAGAAACCGGTTTTCCCGACAGCCAGGAACTGTTTCTCACCCTGGACCTGGAGCCAGTACCCCCCGAACCCACCCAAGGCTGCTTCCTGGACCCAGCAGGCAGAGAAGGGACCTCCGGTGAGTGTACCTTTTAAAATACTATACATGGTTTAAAAGCAAGCATGTGAAAGGATTACTTCGCCCTGGCATTCGCGGCTCTCCTGGATGTACTCCCAAAGCCTTTGCAAAAGATTTCTGGGGAGGGCAGCCTTATTGCGTCCTTCATGGTAGGACACTTTACCACTCCAGGCCAATAACACGTACTCAGGAATCATTGTAGAACAAAGCATTGCAGTGTATGTTTGCTGGCATTCAAACAACATCCGTTCTTTATCTCTCTGTGTTATGAGAGATAAAGAATGCATGAATGTGAAGCAACAATGACTTTATTGCCTCTGCAAGCAGTGATTAAAGGGAGGAGAGGAGGGTGGTTAGCTTGCAGGGAAGTAGAGTGAACCAAGCGGGCGGGGGGTTTCATCAAGGAGAAACAAAGAACTTTCACACCGTAGCCTGGCCAGTCATGAAACTGGTTTTCAAAGCTTCTCTGATGCGTACCGTGCCCTCCTGTGCTCTTCTAACCGCCCTGGTGTCTGGCTGCGCGTAACCAGCAGACAGGCCATTTGCCTCAACCTCCCACCCCGCCATAAACGTTTCCCCCTTACTCTCACAGATATTGTGGAGCACACAGCAAGCAGTAGTAACAGTGGGAATACTGGTTTCGCTGAGGTCTAAGCGAGTCAGTAAACTGCGCCAGCGCGCCTTTAAACGTCCAAATGCACATTCTACCACCATTCTGCACTTGCTCAGTTTGTAGTTGAACAGCTCCTGACTACTGTCCAGGCTGCCTGTGTACGGCTTCATGAGCCATGGCATTAAGGGGTAGGCTGGGTCCCCAAGGATAACTATAGGCATTTCAACATCCCCAACAGTTATTTTCTGGTCTGGGAATAAAGTCCCTTCCTGCAGCTTTTGAAACAGACCAGAGTTCCTGAAGATGCGAGCGTCATGTACCTTTCCCGGCCATCCCACATTGATGTTGGTGAAACGTCCCTTGTGATCCACCAGAGCTTGCAGCACTATCGAAAAGTACCCCTTGCGGTTTATGTACTCGGCGGCTTGGTGCTCCGGTGCCAAGATAGGGATATGGGTTCCGTCTATGGCCCCACCACAGTTAGGGAATCCCATTGCAGCAAAGCCATCCACTATGACCTGCACATTTCCCAGGGTCACTACCCTTGATATCAGCAGATCTTTGATTGCGTGGGCTACTTGCATCACAGCAGCCCCAACAGTAGATTTGCCCATTCCAAATTGATTCCCAACTGACCGGTAGCTGTCTGGCGTTGCAAGCTTCCAGAGGGCTATCGCCACTCGCTTCTCGACTGTGAGGGCTGCTCTCATCTTGGTATTCATGCGCTTCAGGACAGGGGAAAGCAAGTCACAAAGTTCCATGGAAGTGCCCCTACGCATGCGAAAGTTTCACAGCCACTGGGAATCGTCCCAGACCTGCAACACTATGCGGTCCCACCAGTCTGTGCTTGTTTCCCGAGCCCAGAATCGGCATTCCACAGCATGAACCTGCCCCATTAGCACCATGATGCATGCATTGGCAGGGCCCATGCTTTCAGAGAAATCTGTGTCCATGTCCTGATCACTCACGTGACCGTGCTGACGTCGCCTCCTCGCCCGGTATCGCTCTGCCAGGTTCTGGTGCTGCATATACTGCTGGATAATGCGTGTGGTGTTTAATGTACTCCTAATTGCCAAAAGTGAGCTGAGCGGCCTCCATGCTTGCCTTGGTATGGCATCCGCACAGAAAAAAGGAGCGGAACGACTGTCTGCCGTTGCTCTGACGGTGGGAGGGGCGACTGATGACACGGCTTACTGGGTTGGCTTCAGGGAGCTAAAATCAACAAAGGGGGTGGCTTTACATCAAGGAGTATTTCAGGCAGGACTTCACGGAGGGTTCCAATAAGAAATGGTGCACCTAAGTTATTGTTCTTATTGGAACAATGAGGTTAGTCTGGCCTCTGATTGATACATGGCTAGATTTACCTCGCTGCACCTTCTCTGTGAGTGACTGCAGTGTGACCTAGAGGAATGAGTCCCCTAGACAGGGGCGGGGGGGAAGCAAATGAGTACAAAACAAATCTGGTCTATTTCTTGTTTTGATCCACTCCATCTATCTTTTACATCTTTGGCTGGCAGCAGACGGTGCAGAAGGACTGCATGCCACCCACATCTCATGGCTGCCCGGCAGAAGATGATGCAATAGGACTGCTAGCAATCCGTATCGCCTGACTGCTCACCATAAGACGGTTCAATAGGACTGACTGCAGGACTAAAGAGAATGACCTGGTCGAGTCACTCCAAATTTAGTCCCTGCGCCCATGTCTGCTCAGGCGCTCCTGGCCGACGTGGCCAGGAGCACCTTGGACATGACCAGGACGGCTACCAGTTGTACTGTACCATCTGCTGCCACAAGGCAAGGGCTTGATGCTGCTGTGTAGCAATGCAGTACCACGTCTGCCAGCACCCAGGAGACATACGGTGACGGTTACCTGAGCGGGCTCCATGCTTGCCGTGGTATGGCGCCTGCACAGGTAACTCAGGAAAAAAGGCACGAAACGATTGTCTGCCTTTTCTTTCACGGAGGGAGGGAGGGAACGGGGGCCTGACGATATGTACCCAGAACCACCCACGACAACGTTTTAGCCCCATCAGGCATTGGGATCTCAACCCAGAATTCCAATGGGCAGCGGAGACTGCAGGAACTGTGGGATAGCTATCCACAGTGCAATGCTCCAGAAGTCGACTCTAGCCTCGGTACTGTGGAAGCACTCCGCCGAGTTAATGCACTTAATGCACTGAGAGCATTTTCTGTGGGGACACACACACTCAAATATATAAAACCGATTTCTAAAAAACCAACTTCTATAAATTCGACCTAATTTCGTAGTGTAGACATACCCTTAGACTGTATCCTCCAGTATGTCATCTGAAAACACACTGGAGATAAATGTCTTCAAACTCTCCTCATGTTTTCAGTTTCCTGAAAAAGGCCCAATGTCACCAAACTGTGTTGGTTTATATAAGAACAGACAACACTGGATTGTGATTAGCACCAACCATTTACAAATTCTAAAACGAAGATTAGACGAGAAGATACTAAACCGTGTAAATTTGAATTAACCAACCATTCCAAGTCAAATACACTGTACATTGCATGGTCTGACAGGACGGCAGTAACAACTACCCACCAGGATGGTTGTGTTCTTAGTTTAAGTAGGGCTATTATGATCACCAAATATACCTCAAACACTGAACCAGTTCCACATGGCAATTATTAAAATACACCTTAGAAATACTTATTGCTAAATACTTTTGGGGGGAGGGAGGTGTAGAGAGAAAAATAATTAAGTCTTCTTTTCTTACTTGATGACCACAGCGGCATATGGGCTAGAATACAGTACTTCCTGTCTTTTCACTCAATTTGTTATAAGCATATTATTCAGGCCACCCAATTTTTAAATTAATAAAGAAATTAAATTGCACAAAACAGGAACCCTTTCTCTGGTTTTCCAGGGGGACTCATGCTGAGGGATGCAGAACTTGAGCACTCAGTCCCATCAGTACTACAGCAGCTGCTTACTGCTTGCTAGCCCACTTTTGGCTCATCTATGGAGTAGCAATAATCAGGGTTCAAGAGAACACATTATCTTACTCTCCTGTCCAAAAGCATTTGGTGTGGCAGCCTCTTTATACAATTAGGTGAGAAAGAAGTAGTTCCTACTAGTGGAAGAAAGCAGTACAACAGCAAGGCTTCAGAGCAGAAAGTAGGGTGTGAACCCTGGATATGGGACTGTCGTTATGGATTCTAATCAAGACCTACTGCCCTGCACCATATATCTGGTTTCTCCTTAAAAGGGACAAGGAAAGAAATAAGACATTGGGTGTGTCAGACACATCAACAGGTGGAGCTGAGGATGTCTTTGTGGTGAAAGTGGAATACTTCTGAATTACTTCATTTTGGTATTGGTCTCAAATCCCTCCTCTTTCTTCACATGTAGTAGATGAATCCTACAGATCTCTGCAGGCTCGACTGTAAAATGAAAGTCTCTAACCTAACTTTCCTTTTGTCAAAGTCTTCAATTCTTTTTTATTTTATTTTTTTTTGCTGGGGGAGGGGAGGAGATAAGATTCTCAATTCTTAGTTAGAGAGTAACAGATATTCGTTCTATGAGAACTGGTACAAAATTAGGATGCAATTCTCATTTAAATATGAAATTCCAAACAGACATGAGACTAAAACATAAAACTCAGTTACCTGAAATCGTCCTATATGCCCTTGTAGCTCCATTTGTGTCCCTTCATTAATATCGATATCGAATTCACCTAACACACCTAACGAAACAGACATGAGAGGATACAATACCTGGGTGTTTTTTCTTTTAATTAAAAACACTTATGGTTTAGTATTTTACATTTAACTAATAGGGCTGGTCAGAAAACGTCCATCAAAATGAAATTTTGACAAAACTTTTGCACAAACATTTTTGTGAAGAATGTGTTCAGATCTAGCTGTAGCTACTAGGATATATACGATTATGTAATAACATTATTTATTGAGTAATACTATATGCATTTTTTAAAATAAAGTTTTGGGGTGAATTTCAGCACTTATGAAAAAAATGAAGCCTTGGCAAAGAACTGGCAGTTGTTGTGCTAGTCTTTCCACATAGCTAAACCAATAAACTTCAGTTACGACCTACAGCACTGTACGGCCATTGTAATTCTAGTCATAGGCCCCTCGTGAGGAAACACTGCCAATCATGACTAAACATAGTATGGTGAATTTGGGAGGAGCCCAAATATGTCCACAAGGGTGGTCTAGAGAGGACCACCAAACCCAGCACAATAGTGAATAGATACTTTCATGAAGGTAGATCCTCAGAGAGAGGAGGTTAGTGCACTAACCTACAGTATCGCCCCCCACAAAAAAACTTTATAAATAAAAATGTAGGAAACATTAATTACCACCAACTAGGAAAAAAAACTAGATTATTTTAGGCAAATAAGTTCCTGTGCCTCAGTTTTCTCAGTTGTAAAGTGGACTGGCTGAACAATCCCCTTGTATCTACCTCCCAATTGCATTGTGAAGATGAATTGTAGTAGGCTAATATTAGAACACTGAAAGCACTGTAGAAGTATTAGGTATTATTATGCAAATGCAGCAGGAAAGTCAAGCCTACATCAACATATTGTGGATTCCACATCCACTGCCAACCCACCATTCTTTGCCTCAATAATAATTATTTCCCATGTCTCTTTCCAAAGCCATACATTCCAATAAGATACAATTTTTAACAGATTTTCCATGATGCATTTTATTCCTTTGACAGTACATCAAAAGAATCAAGCTTATGTGACTAAGTCAGACAAGTATAACAAAATTGGATTTTTTGCGATTTAAGATATAACCCTACCAGGCAGAGCTGCTTTGCTGATTATTCCTGTCAGAAAGGCTAGTTCCTGAAGTGATCCTGCACTGACATCTTGACACCGCAAGATTGCCTGAATAGTATCTGAATGGGATATTAGAAACTGCAAAACCTAAACCACAGAAAGGGGGAAGGAAAACATGAGTGATGAAAAAATTGAATAGTAATCTAATAAATAAAATCAGAATTATTACTTTAAGAACTTCAGTGCAATTTCTCATAGTGGTGAGAACATTATAAAGAAAATGTTACTGACAGAACAAATATTATACATAATCTGGCAGCAAACAGGATATCATCAGCCAATGTTGGACACCGAAAGATCATTCTTGGCCTCTTAGCTTACCTGTCCAGCTGCCTGCAGATGTTGTGCCATGCTGGATGTGAGGATCACCTGGCACAGCTGGAGGGCTGGGAGAAGAATCTGGCGATAGCGCTCCACAGGAGCAGGAATGAAGACAGGCGGATCTCTCATTCCAAACATTCTGAAGAGATTTAAGATGAAGGGTATCAATAGTTGAAGGAAACTGGAGGCTACAAAAACAATTTACAAGCACCCTAAAGGGTACGGAAACATCACAGTACTCAATAATAGCTTCTTAGTTAAAGCTGTTAGCTTTCCAGTAGAAGGCCAATTTCACACAGATCCCTTTTTAACTTCCTCAGAAAGCTGCTTTAGATCTGAAGTTTCCCATGCATTCTCTAGCTAGAAGACAATGTTTCTTTGAAAATGTCCAGATTAATCAGATGGACTTGGTCTAGAAACAGCAGATTTGTTTTCCTCAGTTGTCCTCAGTGAAAACAAGCGGCTTCAGAAACACTCCTTTCAGGTTCCAACAGAGCATGTAAACTCCAGCTGATATAGTTAGACCTCAGTGCTTACTGAAACCCCCCTATGCCCCCCCACCTTTTTTTTTTACGTTTCTAGTTCTTTTTGTTGCAAAGATTGCCTTGGAAATGTAAAGTGAGTATCAGGGTTGGAAATTAGTCAAGATGTTTTTTCCTAAACATACAAGTTACTCCTTTTCTTCCCCCAGCCACCTCACAACCAAAAGTTGCACATTGTGTCCCCACCCCAACAGATACTGGCCATCTGAGCTCCTGCTCCTGGTTGCTAGCACCTTCAAAATAATTAGACATACAAACTTCCTGCTGAGAAAGTTAGGCAGTGTTTAGGTTACTCTAATTAACCAATTTAACAACACTGTACAACTCCATGGAGTTCACAGAATCACAGAATATCAGGGTTGGAAGGGACCTCAGGAGGTCATCTAGTCCAACCCCCTGCTCAAAGCAGGACCAATCCCAAATTTTTGTCCCAGATCCCTAAATGGCCCCCTCAAAGATTGAACTCACAACCCTGTGTTTAGCAGGCCAATGCTCAAACCACTGAGCTATCCCTCCCCCCAAGTTGCTGTGTCACATATTACAAATATCATGAAACAACTTGGAAATTAAATTTACTTCAATATTATATGTTCTGTGTGTTCTTAGAGGAAGGAAGAAGAGAATGCATCAAACACAGGCTCTAACCACCACCTTCAAACCACCTCCAATCCCTCAAAAATTAAGTCTATAATATATAGAAAAATGGTTTAAACAACACTAATTTTCGCTGCTGTAGATTTCAGCAACTTCAGCTCTAAACAAGCAGAACCTAATTTATGTTTAAAAAATTCTGGACTACTTTCCACAGAATCAGATAAGCTAGAGGGCTTTATATCCTGGAGCCAACTGGAAAGTACCATAATTTACCCCTTTATGCCTGGTAAACCGGAATTTTCCATGCCAATAAGACAGCTTGAATTTAGCTACTGAAAAGTTAAACAGAGAAAACATTTTTAACACAAGGATGAAAGACTGCAAAAGTCAGTGATTTTCGCATCCTCCAAGAATGGGTTTTATGGTCTAGCACTCAGTTAAAGGACCAATTCCATGGACACCTACCCCTGATGATGTGTCTCTGGTCGCATGTCATATACCTGACACTGTGCAAGCCTCACAATTACTCCAGACCTCAGCAACTCTAATGCCCCCTGTTGGATTTTAGCCACTCTAGTCAAGAATGCCTAGAATATAGAAGAGAACAGGGAAAAAACAGTCATGCAAACTTACAGTGAGACTCCATTTATAGGTTTCAGAGTGGTAGCTGTGTTAGTCTGTATCAGCAAAAAGAATGAGGAGTACTTGTGGCACCTTAGAGACTAACAAATTTATCTGGGCATAAGCTTTCATGGGCTAAAACCCACTTCATCAGATGCATGCAGTGGAAAATACAGTAGAAAGATAGACAGATAGATAGACAGACAGACAGACAGACAAACAGACAGACAGAGAACATGAAAAAATGGGGGTTGCCATACCAGTTGACAAGAAGGTGTGAGTAACAGTAGCGGAAAAATTAGCAGGTGGAAATAGTCACATCAGCCACACCATCAGGGGCTCATTCACCTACACATCTACCAATGTGATATATGCCATCATGTGCCAACAATGCCCCTCTGCCATGTACATTGGCCAGGCCGGACAGTCTTTATGCAAAAGAATAAATGGACACAAATCAGACATCAAGAATTGTAACATTCAAAAACCAGTCGGAGAACACTTCAACCTCCCTGGACACTCAATCACAGACCTAAAAGTCACAATTCTTCAACAAAAAAAACTTCAAAAACAGACTCCAATGAAAAACTGCAGAACTGGAATTAATTTGCAAACTGGACATCATTAAATTAGGCTTGAATAAAGACTGGGAGTGGATGGGTCATTACACAAACTAAAAACTATTTCCACCTGCTAATTTTTCCCCTACTGTTACTCACACCTTCTCGTCAAATGTTTGAAATAGGCCATCCTGATTATCACTACAAAAGGTTTTTTTATTTTTTTCCTCCTGCTGATAATAGCCCACCTTAATTGATTAGTCTCATTAGAGTTGGTATGGCAACCCCCTTTTTTCCATGTTCTCTCTCTCTCATTTCTATTCCTACTGTATTTTCCACTGCATGCATCTGATGAAGTGGGTTTTAGCCCACGAAAGCTTACGCCCAAATACATTTGTTAGTCTCTAAGGTGCCACAAGTACTCCATTTATATTAATGTTCTTGCCCTCCTTGCTTTCAACAGTATCCCAAAACATATCTATTGTATGCAGAACAACTTTTGCTGTTGTTGAAAATACCATAAATTGAAAACATATTGATGAAACAGAAAGGCCCATATGGTTTTTAAATATGTCATCTGTTAATTGGACACGCACTCTTATCAAGAACGTGAAGCTCAAGAAAGCAACTTTCGTTTGTGAAGAAAACAGTCCCGGGTGAGCTCTTACCATTTTGGATTCATAGGTGTAAAGAGCTTTAAGTAAAGGAGGTTGAGGCATGAGTAAGTTCTGAAGAGTGAAGTCATCATCTGCTAGGCTATCCACAAGCACCTTCAGGTAGCCACTGTTGGAGAGATACAAGAGCCATTGCTGCTGCTTGTCTACTGAGACAATGCGATCAAGTAAAGCCAGTGCTAGCATCTAAAAATAATAAACAAAAAAATAATTAAATCAATTAGCCAGAATGCTGAGATTTCTAATACATGCCTCGAGACAGGCAACATGCTTATATACTGAAATTCACACCTTATTTTGGTCCATTGTTTGTAGAAACCTCTTAACAAAACTGAATATATTTTTTCCCCACACACTAACCTGTTCTTTTATTTGGAAGTTATTGCACCATCTAGTTCATGGGGTTTTAATACAGAGAAAACCAACTTGACTCCCTTTGTTGTTTATGGCTCTATCTAGCAAAACTAATACTTAGAATATCTTCAAAATGCTTCCAAACACTATAGGGACACTTATCTACTTGAAAATAATATTTGTTGTTTTTTTTTTTTTAAGTCTACTCTTGTTACAAGTAGCATATAACCTCACTATATCTGAAAAATAAGTGAAAACATTTTCTCTCTTCAGTTTCTTTACTGGCACATTTGACAAAACTACCTGTCTTGTCATTTTCACTCCTTCCCCTGGATCTTTCATACAGCAAGAGGAGAAAGAGAAATGTTTTAAAAAATTGAAAATACGATGGTATAAATCACTAAGTTAGGACAATGAAATACCTGAAGCTATCTTTAAACACAGTTTTTGAAAATGATGAAGTCCCTGTGAGGATTTTATTCACATTTTATAAGTAAGGAAACAGACACAAGGAAATCAAGACATTTGCCCAAGATCAAACAGCAGGTCAATATCAGATCTAGACATGGGATTCAGCAAGTCCTGGCTTCCAGTCCTGTGCTTTGTCCTCTAGACCATACTACCTCTGCAACAGCATTAACAACGGTCCTGCTTCTGCACAGCTAGCAGGGTGAGTTCACACATTGCTTTGAGCTGTAGCTCACGAAAGCTTATGCTCAAATAAATTGGTTAGCCTCTAAGGTGCCACAAGTACTCCTTTTCTTTTTGCGAATACAGACTAACACGGCTGTTACTCTGAAACATACCAAAATAATGTTTTTTTATAAAAATATATCTAAATTGTCGAGTGATTTTTTATTTCAGTAGATATTTGTAATACTCACCAAATTACAATTTAAAAAAATTATCAAACGTTCACCGAAATAGTTGAAAAGCATCCCTTAAAAAACAACTTTAGGCTACAAGGGAATAGATTCATTTACCCGGCCTATCTCATGGCCATCACAGGCATCTCTGCAGACCACCTCCATGAGGGCAGCACCATAGCTTTCAATAATTGCCATGTTTTCTCGCTGCAGTTTACTGAATGCATCTTCTGGAGCTGTCAGACGTTCCCACATTGTTTTCTTGGCTATAAAAAAAGTGAGAAAAACAGAATTAAAGGAGATGCAGAAGAATGAAGTGGTTTGATGCAGCAAAACAGAAGCCACTTCTTTCAGGACATTCAAAGTAGTCATAATCTATACATAATCTCAGTAACGGGGGGTTGGGGGGGGGAAGCGCGCTGCTGAAGTGACAAGGTTCCTGTACAAATATATTTGGTCCTAAAATCAGTTACTCTGGCCAGAACATCCAAGTAGGGGGTGTGTGTATACATGTATGTATATCTCCCCTCCCCTCAGATGGTCTGGTCAGGAAAACTTACTGTAGGATAAAATAGATATACATGCATAGGAGCTGGAACTAGGGGCATGGGGGTGGGGGGGTGCCTGGCTTGAAGTGGTTTCCATTATATACAGGATTTACAGTTTGGTTCAATGGCTCACAGCACCCCCACTATAAAAATTGTTCCAGCGCCCCTGTACACATGCAAACTCTTTCAACTGAACCTAAAAACTTCAACTGAGATCAAAGCAATCAATCTTAAGGGAAGCAAACAAGATGCATCCAGTGGAAAATAGTTATGTCCAAAGCAATCAATAAACTGTAAAGGAACTGTAACAATTTTACTGACACTTTCAATCACTGCAATTCCCAGCACTAATAAAATCATAGTGGTGGTAGTCTGAATGACCAGGCATAAGAACGAAGCTTGATTTCTGATCCTGATCCCTTGCTCCAAGATTCAGCAGTGGCTAGGAATATTGAAGAGGCAAAGAATTCAGCCCTTAGACAGAAAGAGTGTGGCTGGCACCAGTAGCCCTGCTGATTGCTTAAGGAGCAGTCTTGATTAGCTTTGAAAATGAGTTCCTTTCAAGTCATCTTCAGCTAGAGGAAAAAAAGCAGCACCAAAGAGCAGTAAGAGGTTCCTGTAGTTCCAAATGAAACATTGAGAGAGTACATAAGCAGGAGTGCACAGAATGTTTTCCAATAGCTTCCAACAATGTTAACAAATTTAATAAATTTCCAACAGGCCCTGAGACCTTTCACAGATTTGTAATTATGGTTCACTCCTCGTTAAACAGACACCGAATAACAAATCACATATTTTAGTCCTTGATATCAGGAAATCCAAAGTTCATGGTACAGAATACACTTTGAATGAATACTTAGAAATGGCCGTTGACAATTCTCTGTCCCGACTTAATTCTAACACAGTGGGATAACAAACAGCACTGGAATTGATACACAATTGGTCATCTTTTTCTCAAAACACAATTGTATCCTACCTGCTTCTAAGGTGTCTGGTTCATCTGGTCTCTGGGCAATCTGTAAGTAATAAAGCAGTGATCCATACAGATGTGTTCTCACTCGTTGGAATCCACCACCTGGTCATAAGAAACAGTTATTTTTAACAGGGAACAAATTGGTATAAGTGAAATTATTATTCTATTAATACCATCTGGACCCCCCACTTAATTTATCTTCGCAGTGCTAGTGCTGGCAGTAGCAAAACAAATGAAAAATTACGTTTTCTTATACGAGAGCTTTGCCTTTGGCGTACCGATCCAGGGTTACGAGAATGAGTTTAGCAAAGCAAGGTCTTGTCTGATAAGCTATAACCACTGCAATATTCAATCCCCTTTTACACATACACACTACATAGCCCTCCACCTCAACGGTTCTGATTTTCAGGATAGCATGCTAAGTAACTGTCTCCTCAGAGTAACATAACTTACAGGATGTCTATAAAGGTAACTCTGAAAGGTGCACCTGTATTAATGCCATAAAGAAGTTCAATCCAGTGATTTAAGGGTGGTTCACAGTGCATTTATGCAGTCTTGGCATGTTAGAATCCACTCACAGACAGTGCAATTATTTTATGCTTTTAACGGCATACCTGTTTTCAAAATGAAATCCAATAGTTTTTTTAAGATGATATGGAGGGAAGAGTCACCAATGGAAGCAAAACCCACAGATATGCCCTCTGAACCAGGTGATGATGTGAAAGAACCATCCAGCATCAAGACATACTGGGAGTGTCCAGGTACAGGGACTGCAAGTGGCCGCTTTTGCTCAGTGCGCACAGACTGGCTAAGGTGGGCAGTGAGGGTAAACACAGCCCCTGCCACCACTGGCATTAACTCCTGAGCTGCATCATCATCTAGAATCTTAAGAGGATGGGTGGGGGGAAAAAGAGAACATGTTTTATTTCAGGAGGTACCAGACCACTTATTCAGCTGCCCATATCTACATAATTTCTGCAAGCAAAAGGAACGCATCTTAATGTTACGTTATTTGACATTTTTATTTCATTAAATTAGAAATAGAAGATTTTCTATACAAAATAAATCAATATCTGAACACAGTGTCTTTTCAAAAAGAGTGTAATATAATATTTTGGACTAGACTATTAGCCTTATGGTTCTCACTCCCCCAAACCACAAACATAACGACACATGTATTTGGGCAGGAAAACAGAAGGGAGAAGAGTGCAATGGCTGTATTAAAGCCTGATTTTAAATATTTCACATATAAACAAACAAGTTAGAGAAAGAACAATTCAGCCATGTTACATTTCAATATCTAAAAAAAATTCGTATTAGTAAAAGGAAAAGTTAAACAAGACACAATTTAGAAAAACTTGGTACCCATCTGAGAGCAGCCACAAGAATTCTTCAGGAAGGGGATAAAGTCAGTACTTCATTTGTCTCATTTCATTTGACCATTTAAAGGGTAAAATTACCTTCTCAGTTACTTGTTTATATAAATATCCTTTGCAACCCAAGTTCTTTTCCTAACTTGCCTTTTTATACATATAAAATGATTTGGCACATTTATTTCTTTGTTGTCTTTACAAACTGGTAAAAAGTATTCATTTGCCAAAGTTAATAAAAGCTTTAGCAAAATAAATAAATAAATAAATAGATCGCTCTTCCCTCTCTCCATAGCACATGCAATTTTTACTAGCATAGTGATAGTGATGGAGGAAAACTGAAATACGAACACAGCCCAATAGATGTTTTGTAAAATGGTAAAAAGATGAAATTTTCCCTTTAATGCAAAATCAAGTACCACCACAGTTCAAAAAGATGGTTGGTTTCCAAAAGAGCATTACCTTGTCATGCACATCTTGTAAGAGGTCCCGGATAACCAGCTGTCTATCTTCAGCCTGTATGAGGTCTTGTGGGCAGGCAGTGAGTATAATTTCCACCAGCTGTCTCCAGGACTCCAGTGCATGCCGCTTTGCATGGAGACACTGCAGCAACTTGTTCCGCTCCACCACGTACTGCAGAATTGTGTTGATCTCCTGGACTCCCAAGAAAAGGAAATTTTAGTTAGATTATATAGCACAAGAATATGATGACAGACTGCAGCTGGCTTGTCTTACTTTATGGTCATAGTCTCTGAAAAAAACAAACCACTTAAATATCTTTAGGCTATCAGAAAAAGCAATGGGATTGTTCTTTCAATTCAATGGGACTAGGGACTTTTCCAAGTAGGGTGTAAATCTACAGCGCTCTAGAGTGCTGTGCACTAACTGGCCATATGGACCCTGCTACCAGGCATTAAAAGTTCCCTCGTGTGCTTTGACCTTCTCCCATTTCAAACATCAGTAGGTCAAAGCACACAAGGGAACTTTTAGTGCATGGAGGCAGGTTCCACACAATTAGTGCACAGCAATCTCGTGTGCTGTAGATTTACACCCCAGCTTGCCGAATACTAACTCTCTACCAAGGCAAGCTCCAGGTTATTTTGACTAGACTTACCTCCATAAGTAAAGGTCTCTGTCCTATGGCTGCCATTCCTGGAAGGGCATTAACTTCTGCAACCAGAACTCTGTGAAGATACTGGAATTGAAAGAGCAGGAGAAAAAAAAAATCAAACTAACAGAATGAAAGGGGATTCCAGTATGCCTAAATACTGCCGTGTCTAGATTGTGAACTTCCCCGCTGCCTGGAAATGTTTGCAACACAAACATAGTGGATTCAGCTTAGGAGACAGCTGCACACTTAGGTCTTGTCTACACTATCAAGGTAAGTCGACCTAAGTTACGCTACTCCAGCTACAGGAGTAACATAGTTGGAGTCAACGGAGCTTAGGTCGATTTATTGCAGTGTCTACACTGCGCTGCGTTGATGGGAGACACTCTCCCATTGACTTACCATACTCATCTCGCTCTGGTGGAGTACCAGAGTTGACAGGAGAGTGCTCTGTGGTTGATTTAGCAGGTCTTCACTAGACCCGCTAAATCAACCCCTGCTGCATTGATCACAGAGGCAGCAATCCCCATTAAGTTAGACATGCCCTTAGCTTACTTGATTTTGCATATCCCCCCTTATCTCACCCCTCTCCTATTACTGCAGCCCTTCAACTGCCCAACTTCACTCTCTCTACCCATTGTGCTTCACACCCTCCTCTCCTCACTTCCCATTCTCCTTTTCCCTAACAGTTTTCCTCTTCCTTTATCCACCCCCTCTTATTCCCACAATCCCTTCCTCTTCCCACTTCAATTGCAACTGCTCCCTACTCCAAAAAAAAGTCCTAAAGATTTTTAAAACAATTATATTTTAAAAGACATGGAACACCCTGGAATCAACATGGCCAAGTTCTTACAATCACCCAGATCACTGTTTACATGTTGTATCCTTTCCCCAACCCTTTATCTGCTCTTTGTCTTACAGACTTTAAAGTCTTCAAGGCAGGGATTTGGTCTTCCTATATGTTCATACAGCACCCAGCACAATGGAACCATGATCCTGACTGCAGCCTTTGCATGCTACTCCAATCTATAGGTATATAAATAAGTGACAATTTAAGTCACATTATTAACAAAATTTGGGGGGAGAGGGAGTTTAGAATGGAAAAACATTGTTGAGCACAAAATCTCCCCTGACAGCATCCATCATCAGTATAACACAGATGGAGGACCAAGAGCTCTTATACAAGATATGGACATTAAAAAGAAAATCAGTTTTAAGTCTAATTAGCTCACACAATGAAACATACAACTAAAAACAGTAAAAATAACTGTGTGTTCACATACTGAAATGGCTAAACTTTCTTTTGGAGAAGGAACAACAGGTTTGAGTCTGTAAACGGAGGTAAACCTAATGGCTCTTAATATAATAACCAGGCAATTATAGTGATGTAAGTAGTTGCTAGACAAAACTTGTTTGACCTGTGTCTGAGCTAATGAAGGAGAAACAGCAAGGGTAGCAAACAAGATCCAGTTAAAACAAGTTCTGAGTGCTTCAGAACTTTCTGCTTGATACTAAAGGGTAACAACAATTGCAGGTGAAATTTCTCAGGAGGCCCACAGGTAGCCAAGACTCTGGAGCACTTGGTAGAGGTGGTGGTTCTGCTCCTGGCCCTATTGTAACTGATCGCAGCTCACAATGGTTGGGAGGGTGGGGGATAGATAATAAGTGCATTGCCAATTGTTGCATGCTTGTAACGTGCTACTGAGCTGATCAGCCTTTGAACTAATAAAGATATTTTTAGTTTAACTGTCCACTATCTAAACCTCATTGGGAAGGTAAATCCCAACACAGGGGCCAGGGTCGCTATCAGTGTGTACAATGACCAATAATAACAGAACCCAAACCCGACCAGCCATTTTTTTAAAATTACCAAATTAAATTTTAGACACCGTGTCTATCTTGAGACAGCACTCTCCAAACACTGCTTACCTTGACGTTGCAAATAACTTGCCCACGTGCATTCTTGTGCTCACAGTTAGCAATGACCTGCTCAACCTGAGCACGGTCAAAAAAATCCAGTTGCAAAGGTTCAGGGATCTCCTGACTGAAGTCAATGGAATCCAGAATACTCAAGATCTTCCTGCGTACTGTGGAAGAAAATGAACTATTATCCTATTCAGAAATACCAAGGACCTACTGGGACCTTAACTGACCTTTGTAAATACAATTCTTCACTTTAACAAGAAGAGCTTTCTGAGCAGCTAATCTATGTTAACAGAATAGATATTTGTCTTTTATGATTTAGATGACTAACTTATTTCTACAACGTCATTTCTCATTTTATATATGCTCATGGGCCAAAATTTTCAGGTGTGTAAAATTCAGCTCCTAAATAAAAACAGCCTGATTTTCAGAGGTGAAGAGAACTTGCAGCAACATTTGGGTGCCTGACATGTATTTAGGAGTTCAACTTTAGTTACCTAGGTTTTAAAAAGAAAAAAAAAAATTTTTTTAAACACAAATGCAAACATTTTCAGTCACAGAAACTTAATGATACTATTTAGGGGTGTGTCACAGCAAGTCGCAAAATGGTTACGTCCCAGTTCACTTGACTGCCTCCGCCTGCCTTTTGCCCTCCCTTGTGCATTACTCTTTTACCTCCTCTCCTGTTCCAGTATTTTTCCCTCATTATAAAACTGTCACTTGCTTTCTAAAATCCATTAGTTCATGCTAGATAATAGTCTGCATACTGCAATTGTTGCTGTTGCTTATGTCTCCCATTTTTCATGCTGAAGTACATCTGCTGGAGGCAGCCCTTCCTGTTCATAAGCAGAAAATCTTTATTGAGAAATAATGACTCTCCAGAGCATTTACCTTTGGAGGCAGTGTCAATGTGAAGAAATGCACTGATTGATCGACTTTCATCTTCCATCCCTCCTTCACCATCAGCTAAGGGTATTGAAATACAATAAATCAGAAAACGAAAGTAGAGAAAATATGCAAACAATTTGACCAAGCCTGAAAGGGCACATAACACGACAGCAGACCAGTCAATTTCTCACTTTTAGGTCACTACTTTTAGGATGGTAGAAAGTGAAAACAGTTATGTCTGTTCGCTGGTAACTGGTAATGTCTGTAGAATACTTTAAAGGGTTAAAACACAATGGAAATGATAAGTATTGATATTACTGTTTGGTGGCCAATGTAAAATGAATAGATGGTCTCAATCCAGTTCCTAATAATTAGACATCCACCTCACCAAAATCAGGTCAGGGTTGAGACTGGTGAAGGCAGATAGGGGAGAAACTGTTTGGTTGTGGCCCTTTCTGTGCATCTCCTCGGCTATTCCACTTATTTCATAATGTGAAGATTTCTGCTGCCACCTTTTAACATTTGTTTTGCAGAACAAAGTAAATATATAATGTGGTGACATTGTGTCTTTGAGTTGCAACATTACATCAATGAGTACTGTCATGATACAATATTGTATCATAATGGTACAACCTCAAAGCCTGAAATAACTTGGGACTCGACTTGCTACAAGAGACTTGTGAAGAGTGAAACTGTCTGACTTTCAGCCTGGGTGAAAACCTTATCTAAACCAGCCAACAAGGAAGACGCTCCACCTGCTGGGAGATAGAAACAAGCAAGGTCTATGAGCCATCAACCTTTTATATAGGACATGATTTTACCAAATCCATCTACTTGCCTCTAAAACCAAGTGTCTAGACTAGTGGTTCTCAAACTGTGGGTCGGGACCCCCTTTGAATGGGGTTGCCAGGGCTGGCTTAGACTTGCTGGGGTCCAGGCCTGAAGCCCGAGGCCCACTGTCCAGGGCCAAAGCCAAAGCCTGAGGGCTTCAGCTTTGGCCCCTCTGCCCAGAGCGGTGAGGCTTGGGCTTTGGCCCCCCCACCCCGGGGTAGTGGGGCTCAGGGAAGTTCAGGCTTCGGTCCCTGCTCCTGGGGTTGTGAAGTAATTTTTGTTGTCAGAAGGGGGTCGCAGTGCAGTTAAGTTTGAGAACCCCTGGTCCAGACTGATACAGAAGAACGAACAGAGACGCTTCAAACTAACCAACAGCCAAACAAAAAAGAATGAAAGGGAGAAAGAGTGGAATCCTGTGTTCCATATATTGCAGTCCACATTCCTCACTCTCGCAGTGTCAATACCAAACCAAATACCAGAAAGGTTTTCAAATGTTAGATGAGAACTAAAATGTGTATGTATTAAAAGAGGAGTAATTTAAGTAAGGAAAGAGGACTCTCTCACTAGTTCAAGTCTTGGTTTCCCTATTCTCCCCCAGAACATACCCCATTTTACCTAAGTAAGGTTTTACAGGCATGTCATCCAGCAGCAGATGCAAGAGTCTCTGTGTGTGGGAACGCTGGCGGTTCAGTGATGTCACACGCAGTTCTATAGATGCAGTTTTCATCAGCCAAGACATCTGGTTTAGTGCTGAAATCTCATGTTCTAGGTAAGGGAGATACAGAAAGAATCATACAGCTGAGTAAAAATAATACTCCATATTACAAGAAAATTGTTTCTTTGTTTGGGTGGGGTTTTTTGGATGGTGTGGTTTGGATGGATGGGTTTTATAATGGCGTGTGAGAGAAGTGATTTTCAACTTAATTGAACCTGGCTAAATTGTTTCCTTACTTCTTGCTCATGAAAGGTAAGGACTGACAGAACTGTCCATCGCCAGGAATAGCTGCAGTGAGCGGTGGTCACACATGTATGCACAAAAAATTCTGACAATTAATCTCGGTCTTAACTTGCAGCACCATCTACATTGCACAGTACTCTGCCTTTTCTGAGCAAAGAGGGTCAATTCTGATCAATTATGGTGTCTTTATGATCTGAATAAATATCAACAAGGCACTAAGCAGAGACAGAAGGTACTCAGCCTAAGTCTATACTTACAGCTGCAAGGAGAGCACACACTGGACACCCAGTTAGCACTGGTGTAAACAGCAGTGTAGATGGTGAGGCATGGCTTAGATGAGTAGAGTAGAGGAGTAGAGCAGAGCACCCTACATGCCTGAACCCCATAGATATATACCATGAATGGGCTCTCTACAAGCCCAAGCAGTGCCTCCCGTATCTGTAGCGTCCCACTGCCTCCGGACTGCCAGAGCCTTTCCCTGCCACAATGAGAAAGGCTCTTGCAGCAGGGATAGGCTCTGTCAAGGTGGAAAGAGTAGGGAAAGGCTCCAGCAGAAGGGAAAGGCTCCAGCAGGGAGAAGCTGACAGAGCTTTTCCCCACAGCCTCCCTGCTGCTGGAACCTTTCATTGCAGCATGTAGCTACACATGTAGTGTCTCTACTTTACCCACTGCCATTAGTTAAACTTCACCAGGCTTGAACTGTCGTCTCCAGAAATCTTCATGTTCTATGTTCATCTAATTTAGGATTGTAAAATCTTTGAGCGAGACACTGTTTTTTAATCTCTAAAAAGGATTATCCGAAGTCATGGCACTATATACACATTCACTAACAAATAGTAAATTAATACACTGCATCACCTCGACTAGCCTTTGTTATGTCCAATTAATTTTTAAACTTATTCTCATTATTACAGCTGAGAAATACCTTTAGAAACATTAAAATGTACGTATTATTAAAAAATTAATGCCAGCACTAGAAATAATCTCAGCCAATTATGCATAACAAGGAAGCCCTTCATAACATTTCATAAAATTCATACTTGGCATGCTGCAACGAACAATTCTTCACTTCCTGGCTCTACCTGGATCCACAAGCCTTCCCCACTTTTCAGAATGTAAGATTCCATAGTAGGATCTAACAGATTTGTAATGGAAGTGAAACTTACAAATACTCTAGACTTTTGTGGGATTCGCAAAGTAAACAGGGATGAACTGCAGACCACAATAAAATATTTTGAGAAAAAAAATGTATCTTGAAATGTGTCTCTCTCTTCCATGCCTACTCAGTCTGCAAACTTGATATGATGGTATACAACAGCTTCCCAATTAGTTTGGATTTCAGACTAACTAATCCAAGGAGATTACTTGGCTAAATCAACAAGTCAGCAGACAGGTTGGATTAAATCCATTCAATCAAGAATTTACCTAGAACCTTGACTCCTCCCAGTATCAAAGAGATAAACTTAATTTTAAATTAACATGAATTTTTCTTCTAAATAAAAAAAAAAGTTTTACCTTTGATAGAAAATGGCAAATGCTGCAACTGAGAGAATAAGAAATCCTGGCTGGTCCTCAAATATCTCATAGTTGGACCTGATGTATCTGAACATGCACACAACTGATAGATCACCTGATAACGGAACAAAAGTAAGATTTTAATTTCTGTTCCAAATTTAAAAGACACCAAGTCAAAAGAAAAATAAAATACATGACTTAACTAATACTGTGTCTGTGTTTAAAACAAACATCCCATCGGTCTACTCCAAGGCTGAATAAATCACTTATAGCAAACACCAGATTGTCACACCATTGAAGGACCAGATGAACAGGTAGATAATTAGCTTCTGTTCATACATGCTGTGGCACCATATAAGCACCATCCTGTTCTCTTAGCTGGGAAGGTATGGAGGCTTCTCAATTCTTGGATCCACCAAAGGAAGGAACTATATCCCATGTCTCTTTCCTTCTGTGACATGTCTTCCTTCCTGACTTTAGAACCAATTCGAATGAATTCCATTTGAAGTCATTTTTATTTTGAAAGGCTTTTAGCATGACATGTTGACTTATTTAGATTTTTTATCTGATTTGATTTTATATGCAAGGCACCTAGCTCATCAATGATGCATACATGCCTAATTAAATTATGTCCATTTAGAGTACAATTATTTGTCATTGCTGCAAAGTTAAGGGGAGACGCTCCACACACTTTACAAGTAAGGATTAGTCTTAATTTTTATTCTCTAGGCAAACAATTGATGGTGCAAAAATAGAGTAACACACTCCTTGTTTAATTAACCAGCCACACACTAGTAGGAGAAACACAAATCAAAGGTTGCTTTATAAAGAGTATCCATTTACTAACTTTGACGTGATTGCAGATTTTTTATATTGTAAATGTGCAGTAATCCATTTTTACATACTGATGGGTAGAAGGAGTAAAAGTTTTAGTATGTAAAAAAATCTAGCATAAACATTTTGAAACAAAAACTGTATCAAATCACAACCACCTCTGTGCTCATTACTAACCAAGAAGTGGCAAACCCTGTTTCAGCTTCTGCCAACACAAAATATTCTGTATAAAATACCTGATAACACAGTTCTGCAAGATGGGGAGATTCTTGCACTGCTGTAGGGCCCGTCCTTGTTTCAGTCCCTTTCTCCAGTATATTCAAGATAGCATGAAGGCAAGTTCTGGGGCAACCCAAGACACCTTAAAATAGAAGATTAATTATTTTTTTTTTAGCATTGGTTGACTTTCATAAATATCATTAACATGCATAGCTTACATATTCACCCTCACAGTTCCATGTATCAGCATTACAAAATCCGGCAGAGATTTCAGTATGGTAATATAAACTGAAGTGGGAATTGCACCTTATTAAAATTCATAAGAAAATGTTTGACAGACTCTTTTTTTGCATTAGTAAAGAGAGAACAAATAGTCCCATATATGTCAAACAGTTTATTTAAGACCATTTTCCTTCAATGCTATTAAAAAACTGTGAATTCAACAGGTTTTTAATATTCTTGATAAATTGCATAAGAATTTGGGATTCCTGCTCTCTACCAAGCTTTGAATTATTGGTCAATATTCCATTGAAAGGAGAGTTGAATACTCTTGTCTTCCCTTGATTATATCGTGAAATTTACATGGTAAAACTTGCACACCAACCAAGAAAAAATGATTCAATGTGAAAATGGAGCCCTTTCTTTTCATTCTTTTTTCAATCACTATCTCCTTCAAATGATAAAAAGAGCAAGTTCCATGCCTGTAGTTTCAGAATCTGGTTGAAGAGTAGGATGGGGAGGAAACATCACTAATCATATTTGTTAATCTATGGCATGATAATCACCCAACTTGTAAAATGATTAATAGTATCTAAATAATAATAAACAGTCTATAGTGAGATATAAGAAATTAAGGATTTGAGATGGCAACGTAAGCCATGAGAGCAAAGCATCATAAGCATCCCAATGTGAAATGTTTTGTTTAACTGCTGCACACAGATATGCACATCTATCACTTCCTACCAGAAAGAACTGAAATAAAACAAACCAAAAGATCCTAAATATATTCAAGGTATTCTCTTGAAAATCATTCTTTAAATATCTCCATTCATCAGAAGAACAGAATTTTTTTTTTCCATGCTAGAGTCAGATTCAACACAATTTACTTAAACCGTTAAACCAAAAACATAATGTTCACCTGGACTGAAATCTCCATACCTGTTTTCAATGCTAAATGAGTTTTAGAAAGTCAAACATATAAATACTTGTGGAGTGTCATAATAAATTGAAGATCTACTTAATGTCATAATGATGTAAAAGTACTTTGCACCTAGGTCAGAATGGAGACATTCAAGATGACTATATTAAGTGCCTCTAGCTTTCCTGGTAAGGCCACCTGTGGATAAGATCAAGTAGTTTACATAACTGGCCATTGTTAAGCTATTATACAGTAGACGCTTGTTTGCAGCAACACCTTGTAAGTGCCACCACCGCATGCGAACAACATTTCCGCTGGGAACGCTTTCCCCATATGAATTGTCAATGCTCCACATAACAGCCACTTAGGAGCAACATAGCAAAAGTGCACCGTTATGTTGCTACTACTGAGAGTCTACTGTATTTTGAAACTGCCAAACCCACTGTCAGCCAGTAAAAGTGACCTGCAAGTGGGAAAAAAGGACTCATTTCCTTATGTGTCTTTTTGGTGCATAAATATATTATTTTTTTCACATTACAAATTCAGGTTCCATCCACCCCACTCTTCCTGGAAGGTTATGGACAACTGGAAATTTGCTGGGATTATATCCAACATCAAGCAATTGCAAGCTGATTGGGAGGTGTATTTGGTTTTGTTCAGAGTATTTAAAACAGGTTTTATATTTGTTTCTTCAAGGCTTTGTCCCATCTATATGGGGTTGGCTCTTCAAGTCTTTCTTCATCCCAGTCTGTCTTAAAGCTGTTCCTTGGAAAGTCTGCAGCTAATCAAATACTTTTGTATGATATCTATCTACCTATCTATCCAGTTTTGGATCTTCCAACATTTCTCTTAAACTTACAAGCGCAGGGTAAAACTCTGTTTCCTATATATTCTTCTGATCTTCTTTTTTCACATGCCCTCAACCTGAATTCCCTCAACCTTTCTATAATTAGTACCACCACACTTCCCTAATGCTTTTGTTCTGAACATAGTCCTTCCTTGTAACTCTAATCATTTATCTCAACATTTTCATTTTCCGCTGTATTCAAGATCTGCTCCTACGTCTTCCTCTTTGCCCAGCATTCAGTGCCATACAAAAGTACAGGCTTAATTACGATTGTGTAGATCTTACTTTTCAATTTGATACGCATTCTCCTATTGCAGATAACTCCAAACAGGTTTTTAGTTGTTTTCATTAACACCTATTTATCTAAAACAATCTATACAAGAGGTAGAAGAAAAAGTCTATTTCATAAATATACCTCACAACAAGGGCTATCAAGTGATTAAAAAAATCACATTGCGATTAATCGTGTGATTAAATCGCACTGTTAAACAATAAGAATACCATTTATTTAAATATTTTTGGATGTTTTCTACATTTTTCAAATATATTGATTTCAATTACAACACAGAATACAAAGTGTACAGTGCTCAGTTTATATTTATTTTTGATTACAAGTATTTGCACTGTAAAAAAAACAAATGAAATCGTATTTTTCAATTAACCTATTACAAGTACTATAGTGCAATCTCTTTATCATGAAAGTTGAACTTGCAAATGTAGAATTATGTACAAAAAACTGCATTCAAAAATAAAACAATGTAAAATTTTAGACCCTTCAAGTCCACTCAGTCCTACTTCAGCCAATTGCTCAGACAAACAAGTTCGGTTACAATTTGCAGGAGATAATGCTGTCCGTTTCTTGTTTATAATGTCATCTGAAAGTGAAAACAGGCATTCACATGGCACTGTTGTAGCCAGCACCACAAGATATTTACGTGCCAGATGCGTTAAAGATTCATGTGTTCCTTCATGCTACAACCACCATTGCAGAGGACATGTGTCGAAGCTGATGACGGGTTCTGCTCAATAACAATCCAGAGCAGACTGGACCAACGCATGTTCATTTTCATCATCTGAGTCAGATGCCACCAGCAGTTGTTGATTTTCTTTTTTGGTGGTTTGGGTTCTGTACTTGCTGTATCTGAGTGTTGCTCTTTTAAGTCTTCTGAAAGCATTCTCCACACCTCACCCCTCAGATTTTGACTGGCACTTCAGATTCTTAAACCTTGGGTCAAGTGCTATAGCTATTTTTAGAAATCTCACATTGGTACCTTCTTTGCATTTTGTCAAAGTGAAAGTGCTGTGAAAGTGTTCTTAAAACAAACATGTGCTGGGTCATCATCCGAGACTGCTATGAGATTAACTATATGGCAGAATGCAGGTAAAACAGAACAGGAGACATACAATTCTCCCCCAAGGTGTTCAGTCACAAATGTAATTAACGCATTGTTTTTTTAACAAGCATCATCAGCATGGAAGCATGTCCTCTGGAATGGTGGAAGAAGAATGAAGGGGCATACGAATGTTTAGCATATCTGACATGTAAATACACCAGAACCTCACTAGAACGTGGGATTTGGGATCCATGCGCGGTACCACGTTAACACGGGGACTGCATTATAGTGGGGACCGCGTTAAAATGAATTGCAATTAAACTAATTAAATTTGGGATCAATGGCCGCAACCCTGTTATATGCTAATTTGTGCTATATACACGAGCGTTCTAGCAAAGGTCTGGTGTACCTTGCAACGCTAGCTACAAAAGTGCCATGTGAACGCCTGTTCTCACGTTCAGGTAACATTATAAACAAGAAACGGGCAGCATTATCTTCCACAAATTTTAACCAAATCTTTTTGTCTGAGTGATTGGCTGAAGTAGGATTGAGTGGACTTGTAGGCTCTGAATTTTACGTTGTTTTATTTTTGAATGCAGTTATTTTTTTGTACATAATTCTACATTTGTAAGTTCAACTTTCATGATAAAGAGATTGCACTACTTGGGTGAGGTGAATTGAAAAATACTATTTCTTTTGGTTTTTTACAGTGCAAATATTTGTAATCAAAATAAATATAAAGTGAGCACTGTACACTTTGTGTTCTGTGTTGTAATTGAAATAAATATATTTGAAACTGTAGAAAACATCCAAAAATATTTAATAAATTTCAATTGGTATTCTATTGTTTAACAGTGTGATTAATCGCAATTAATTTTTTTTTTTTTTAGAGACTCGCTATTCCTGACATTTCTAAAAGGTTTCTAACAAAAACAAAAGAAAATCCACCCATGCACACACACACTTTACAGGCCTTCTTTATACATCTTACAAGGCAAAAATTCACTTTCTTCTTCCACGGATTACCTTGAGGAAAGAAAGGTCAACTCCTATGTGATAAAACTGGTTCAAACCAGGTTAGCATCTGTATATCTCCAGGTTCTCCTTACTGTGTAAAAGAATGTGTCCTGTGGTAGCTTACACTCCATATTTGAGTATCAGTATACTTTTAAAAGCCAATTCTTTAAGGTTAAGGCCATTCCCTTTGATGTCATGAACGAGGAATCAGGATTTCTTCCACTGAGCTTTCCAATATATGGTCTCAACATTGATACAAAAGCTAGATAAATGCTAGATCCCCTTTTCATCCACATACCTGGATCTTGCAGATTTGTGGTGCTGACAGGTTTCTTCAGTTCATACCCCAAAAAATACAGGGCCAGGTTGGGTGGACTGCACTCCAGAGAGGTGATGAGAAGGTTCAGGATGTGGATTTTTGTTTCATGGTGGATCCGAGACTGCTTTTTTTCAGATTCCAGATCTTATTAGAAAGTGAAAAAAGGTCAGATGAAAACTGAAACGAAGATAATGTAAGTACTGCATGGCCCTCCCTCGCCACAACATACAAACCAAATAAAAGAAAGCTATAAGTAAAACTCAGATCACTCTAGAAATTTCCAGGAATTAATTCCAAATAACTATTGAATATAATCCTACACAATTTGTCCAGAGCAATTTATAATATTTTCTCTTAAGAACTGGTTCAATTTTGAATAGGCTGTTCTTACAATATTGTCCTAATTTAAAATAAGCGAGGAATACCCTTCATCCAACTATGGGGCCCTTTGTGTAATTGAGATGCCAAAACCATAACGGTTTCAGGGTTTACTTGCTCAGTAATTTGAAAGCTGTACTTGCTGAAAGCACGCTAAGGAAATACATGCAATTTGTAATCTACACAAAAGATAATCATGTAAATAAAATGTGACCAGTCACATACCATCTTCCGGATTAATTAATTCCTCTGCATCTTCATTGTCCAAACACTCCACAAACCCAGCCATCAGCTTCTGACTTATACTCTGGATTCAGAAATGGAAGGTTGGGAATGAAAAACACAGAGAATTTTGATGAAGATAAAACACTGATTTAAGTACAAGATGATTTTAAAAAATGAAGTTTTATAGTTTATTTCATTGACAAAAATGTGATCATACTAGTGAGCATTCATTATTGGGGTCTTACTTGTTCTAAGCATACATCAACTGTTAAGCCACATGATAAATAATATTTTAAACTCCAACGTCTTAAAAATACGTTACATTAACCTCCCCTAGGGAGAACAGTCTCACCAAAGAAAAGGGTTAGTATGTCATACAAAACTGTCCACTCCTTATCGTGGGAAAGGTTCTATTAAAAACGTAATGCCATGAATAAGTAACCAATCTTTATGGTGCTATGGCAGTGGTTCTCAAACTTTTGTACTGGTGACCCCTTTCACATAGCAAGCCTTTCAGTGGGACTCCCTTTATAAATTAAACACACGTTTTAACATATTTAAACACCATTATAAATTCTGGAGGCAAAGTGGAGTTTGGGTTGGAGGCTGACAGCTTGCGAACCCCCCCCGATATAATAACCTTGCGACCCCCTGAAAGATCCTGACCCCCAGTTTGAGAACCCCTGTGCTATGGAAAAATAATCTGTTCTTTTGTACAGACAAGGCACTATGTAGCCTTATCACATATAATCTAGGTTTGTTTTTATTAAGTAGTAAAAGTATTGTTTTCCCATCACTACTTTCTTTCCCCAAATTCAAACAGAATGGTGGTTACCTGATCATGTGTGAAATCTCCTACTAGCTTTATCTGAATGTTGGAGTTACAAGAAATGCAACAAAGGATCTTGGCACTTTCAAAAGCCAGTTCAGGATTGCTGTTGCCATGATAAAGATACCTTTAAAAAATTGCAAGAATAATGTAATTAAATTGTTGGTCACTCCAGAGTTCCCAGAGAATATTACTCAGAGGAAAAAAGAGCATTTGTAAACTGAAACAATTTAAAATAAAATCTGAATAATCCTGTATATATAGCAAACTTTTTAAATTATAGATTGAGAATTTTGTCTACAAAGGTACACAGCAGCTAAACACTCTCCACACCAGTAATAAAGATTGACCAGGAGAGAGATTACTCCCAGAAATTTTTCTGCTGTTTCCTTTACCCTATATCCACCTTAAAGGGGTCAATATAAATGAAAGAAGGCATTTGGATACACCCTTAGGAAATAGGTGGACAAAGAGCAATGGTCTGAAAGACATCTATCTGAAAACTGTATACTTACTATTGCTATACGTAACATCTGAGATTACGATAACAAGAGGATTAGAGAAAAAACTACACACTTTGTTTTTACAGGGCTGTGTGCGTAATGATTTCATTGTTTCTCCTCTGTAGTCAGTTTTCCAGTTGTTTGTATTGGCCTGCCTATAGTAAAATGCCAGTGTAAACCACAAACATTGGCAGAGAGACTCAATGGCAAGTGTGGTACTTGAAACTGTATTGCTCTCCGTTTGAAAATCAAGTTAATAGTATCCCTTTAATGGGAATAATTAATGAGCAGTGCTGCAAAAGGCTAGGGTGGCAGATTGGGTCAAAGGAACTTTTACTGGCCGAATCTATGGCTATCGTGAAAAAGTCCAGGTTGGAGAAATGAAGGATATACACAGGTAAGCAATGAATTTAAAAGTTCGGAATTTCACAAAAAGTATGAGTAACTCAGAAGAATTCCTCAGAACAGAGGAATTGCCCCACTCTTGCAATCAAATGTATGCAGGTGGACCCTTCAAGCTGTGCAGAATTCACTGTTCAGCGAGGCTCTGAACAAGCAGAAGGTTCTACTGTGTGGATGCAACTGAAGAATTACAGCCACAATGGCCTCTCTTCACTTTCCAACACAGCCAAAGTGCCTGCCCCCAAAAGTAATTTGTGCCTACCTGGCAATGTTTACCACATTGTCTGCCTTTTTAGTGCGGGGGTTGATTCCTTGCAGCAGCTGTTCCAGAGGTGTGACAATTAGGGAAAGGTGGCTCTCACGTAAGAGGTCCATAAAGAGGTTCTCCTTCTGTAGGGTCAGATTAAGAAGTGCAAGGCAATATTGCACTGCTTTCTCCAAATGCATCTTCCCTATAGTACATAAGCAAAAAAGCAAACACATACAATAGTTACAAAGCAAGCCACAATTCCTGGAGCCTCTACAAAAAGGTAATATTTGAACAGCTCATCAAAGTACTCTTTCAGAAAAGTACCTTGAGATCCGATAACTTTTTTTTCAGTTAACTTCCCTCAGAACATAACTTTATATATTTGAGAAACAAAAGATATATAGAAATACCAGTGTCACATCGCTTTTGGTAAACTCTTCATTAATATTTTAAAAATAAACTAATGGCACATACCAGGAAAGGGGGCATACGTATCAAGCTGTTTAACCCCTTCTTCCAGCAGACTAAGGGACAGTTCCAACATTGGTGACTCATTCAATAAATGATACATCAGACTGAATCCAGGTGGTTTATGTGCTATTATTTCTTCTCCTAAAAAAGAAAAAGAAAATGGGGGAAATTACTTACTAGTAATTCTGTTTGTCAGAGGCATCCTCTTACTCCATTCCATACCAGAAAACATCTCAACAATAGCTACTGTAGCAATCAATGTGATATATCACAGGAAAATTCTTTGGAGCACTTTCCACCCAAAAGCCACTTAAGCAGATAGCAGCTCATATAAGCTAGGAAAGAATAGCGGTGGGCGATTGCCATAAGACAGACTTCGAAATCTAAAAGCAGAATTTTAGCTTTCACCAGGTGTACTCTTCCTGGAAACATCCAACCTTTACATTTAAGTCAGTAAAGGATGCCCCAGCCACAATCTCTTCAGAATCACCTACTCTGGGTTCTTCAGGATGTTTTTAGATCACAGAAACAAATTTGCATTACTTTAGATTCCTTTGAAGACCTTGTGTGAGGAAAAAAGAAAACTGAAGATGCATGAAATGTTTAATATACGTATTATAAATATCTGCTGCAATGAACTAGAGCGTAGAGGAAAACTATTGTTGGTATGATACTCAAAGGTCATCAGAAAACAAAATCAGCTGGCAAAAGAAAAAACATTGTAAATAAGAAAAAGTCTATATTAACACTCCCAGTTTACTTATCCCCCTAAAAAAGACAAAGGAAGATGATGTAGGACACAAACACTGGAGCTGAGAGGATGCTTTTCACTGTGTGATCTAGAGGCCTTCCAGTCTGTGCCAAACTTACTAGAAAGACATATTTCTGCCTGTCTCTCCACCTACGCACTGTTTCTAAAGGTTCTTTGAGCCTGTAGCAAATTAACAAGCATCATTTAGTGAAAAACTTTAAGAGGAAACCTCACATTAAAAAATGTGCAGTACAAAACTAAGATGAATAAACTCAACTTTAGCCTCAAACTCACTATAATGCAGCAATTGCCTTCTTTCTTGGCCTCAGAAGAGTAGTATCCCTCATTAAAATTGAGTTCAGGAAGTACTAATTTTAACATCCTAGAATGAATCATTTCTAAACTAGATAACCTTCACTGTTCAGTAACATCAATAGAAAATTGGCTACAGAACACATCAAGTAAGCATCCTTAACTGGCTGTGTGATTACAATGGAGATTTAGATATAAGCCATAGAAACAGAAATTCAGGCCCAAGAATAAGATATTTAAAATCTCAAAGTTAAAATAAATTGTCAAATGCTGCTTTTAATGAGATAATTATAGTTACTAGAAAATCTAATGCAAAGTCACAATAAATATAATGCTTTCTTCTCATAAAGTAGCAGTGCCTATGTCCTAAGACAGAGAGGTTCCCCACAAACCAGCTGCCAAATGGTTACTGGTAAACCACAGAAGACAGTAGGCAAATGACTGATGTCTCCCCATATAGCCAGTAATTAATAAATTGAGATCCAGTCCTAAAAGGTGAACCAATTACCATTTCCCCAATCTGGTTGCCATGTCATGGAGACAAGATATAAGGTTTAAAGCCTAGACCCATAAGTTCAAGGTTGGCATTTCCACCAACTCCCATCTTTTCAAATATATGGCTACTTTAAGGACTATAAGCACCTATTTTCAGTCAGGCCCACACCCCACCTGTGAGAGCAAGCAGTTGGACTAGAAGAAAAGATCATCTCTCACAAAAGGACAGGAACATGCCATAGCAAGTCTGCAATACAAAGGAAACAGCATCTACTAATTAGAATCAGCAAAGGGCAAGAACTGAGTCCTGTAAAGCTGGTTTAGAGCTTTTGATCCACAGGGTAAGCTTTGCCCTGATGCCCTCTTCCTTCTACAACTAAGAAGCATGTTCTTTTCCCTACTGCCTTTCTGCCTGTCTCATTTCTTTCTGCATTCTTTTCTTCTACCTTCTATAGAAAAAGAGCAAGAAGAAAACACAAAGACTCAAACTAAAGGAATCTGGATGCTAGTACGCAAGGAGGAAAAGAATGAGTGAGTGAGTGGGTCGTGCTTTTCTACCAATTTTGATAGACAGTTCACTTGCCTCCTTGGGTCCTGGTAACTAGCGATTTATTGCCTTATGGTAGGATGTTTTCTGCTGTGGTATGCGGGGGCAAGGGAGTAGAAAATACACAACAAAAAGGTGCTCCAACATCTTATATTTTTACTATAATACTATATATTATTTTTTCTGAAGGAATGCAAAGTGCTTCACAAATTATACATACACAAAAAATTACTTCACCACCATCCAGAGTGTAAGAAAGCAGCTGTTTAACAGTATAGAATATTCATACTACAATATCTAAATGAAATTGCAGGACAAGTTCTGGTCGACAAAATGTAACTTCCTAATTCGATTTTGGCCATGATGCTCCTAATCTTCTGAGTGTGTTATGGGATCTTTAATGACCACAAATGTGCAGGATGTCAGTTTTATATCTCATCTTAAAGACATCACCTCCAGAAGCACATTGCCCCCTAGTTCCATGCTGGGGCATTGATTCATTATTGATTCAGAAAAGAGTGCAGCCTACTGAGTCAGCAGCACTTTAGAGTTTCTTGGATATTTCCTATCTAAGCATGGACTCAGCTTGCTTGTAAAATGTGATAAGATCACAATACAGAGGTATGGAAGTAGAGTGAAAGTAATAATCTTGTTTTACAGTACATAAATGAACAAATTAACCTTGTAACTCCACATATTGGTCCGCAAAGTCTTCAAGTTGAGGTTCGTAGTCTCTCAGCAGCTTGTAAAAAACCTCCAGAACCACCTCAGCTACCTCCCACTGTGGACAACCACAAAAACAACACACCACACAGGATATTATTAATATTCACAAAACCAGGATGACAGAACAATATAACTAGAAGGGAAAGTGAAACAATTCAACAATGGATTGGGCAAGACTTCAAGAAAAATGTGTCTGCTTTTAAAATTAGCATCCCACAGCACTAGGAAATTACTTAAGTCAGAGAATTTGAAATACTATCAGTGTGCTTTTTTGAACTAAAAAGAACATCTGCAAATATAACGATAGTGTATTTTTCGTATATTCAAAACCAGATGCAAACTTATTCTGAAATGTATAAAAGAATGAATATGCTTGTAAACTTGACTGTTTGCCTGCCTGGGTCACTCCACTTTCAATGTAAATGCATTTTCATCAAAAAGAATCATATTGAGGAACTCAAATTCCATGCTTCAAGAAGTTAAAATACTATGTTAACACTATTTGGTTAAATAATCTTGTGACATGATCATGATGAAAGAACTCTAACTGGTGGATGAAGGTTCTAATTATTCAGGTCTATGAAAGCTACTTAGGTTTTGCAATCATTAGCCAAACTGGTAAAATTCTGGTAACAAAGCAATTTATAAAATATCATAATGTAACAACAGCAGATAGCTAACTCCATGTATTTCTCACATGGCTAGAGAAGTGGCTAGAGACACTTTACCTTCAGAAATAGAGTTCTTTTACCAAAGGGGTATGGAAACTCAATACAACTCTCACCCCGACTGTTTACTAATTTTATCCTGCTTTTGACAATGCAAACAGTGGTGTTTGAAAATGCTCTTTCCAGTCTACATTCTGTGCTCCACATTTTGGCAGACTTCGGCATCTCCTTGCTGGCTGTTGAAAGGCTATCACATCTTGTCGATTTAATGTGTTAGTATCAAGAAGCTCAGTGCTTCTAGCCCTTTAAGGACAACCAAGCGATTCTTGAACAATGAAGATATTTACTGTAAATCTCTCCGCAATCTGCTTCTCAGGAGTGGAGGATGTCATTTGGCTACAGCTTTGATTTAAAGAATCCATGGACTCATCACAGCTGCATCAAACTTGCACATCACAGCTCTTCCAAGGCCAGGGACTAAAGTGCTTTAGTCCCAAAAGAACTATCTTCACAACTAAAAATTACCTTTTCAGCAGCAATCCGGTAAGCTCTGGTGCGAAATCGGAGAAACACAGTGTCTCTGAGGAACTGCAGATAGGGGTCAAAGCCTGGTGGGCGCAGTCCTGCCCCCAAGTTAGAAGGGAATGAACTCTCCACCAGCGTGCTGATTAGCTGACAGAAGGCACGGGTTAAAGGGTACTCCTCACACCGAGATTCAACCTCATTCAGTTCAACCTTCCCAAGAGGAGGGGGGGAAAAAAACCATCAAGGCCTCAACTTAAGAAATAACACTAAAGAACCAGACAACAGCAACAAGATTCCACCTCAATAGATTTGTAATTAAAATCAAAATACATTCAAAATAATAAGGCTGAAACACAATAAAAAAACGGGAAGGGAATGTTGATTGAAGGCTGAAATGACTGAAATTCATTCTCATTGACTTCAGTGGGAGTCAGGGTGCACAGGGAAAGTAGGATTGGGCCCAATTTTTTTTTTTTTAAATTTAAGAAGTATCCTACTTTGACACGTCATTATTTGAAAAGCAATTAACATAATAATGTAGTGATAGCTCTTACTCTTATTAAGCTCAACTGTTGCTTTATCTACCATTCTTTTTAATAGCAATACCATTTCCTTCGCCACTACTCACCACAAAAACAAGCAAAGAAACAAGTTAAGCCCAAACCCACAATGTGATGCACATGTGCTGGCTCCAACACTACATCCAATTCTCTTCTATGGGGCTCTGCACAGGCACAGAAGTCCTCTTACATGCATCAGATTTCAAGATTGTAGCCTAAAACATATTCTAAGCTGCCACCAGTTTTCAAGTGTCTTGGCCATTAGGTGATTTTAAAAACAATGTTGGAAAAGAGGACAGATAATAGTTTATAGTACATTCACGTCTTAAAATGGTTGTTTACACAGAATTAAAATTGACTGGCAATGCCTTATACCATTCTAAGATGTTAAATATACCTGTACTTAAACCTCTGAAAACCAGCAAATACAGAATTACAGTACACAACTGCCCGACCCTACAACCTCTACTCCGCCCTCTGGAAGTGGCAATGGCCATTGGGGATATATGGTAAGTACGAATCATTCTGGGCTGATAAGCAGACATGAGGAACGACTCAGTGTTCTGGGAGGACACAAGGCATCGCCAGTCAACCTTAACTCTGTATTAAAGTTTTTGGGCAGTGAATTTTCCTGGATTTTTGAGGAAGTGGTGGTAGTGTGGGAGCATGATTGAGGGGTGCCTGTGGGAAGGCACAAGGCTGGGAACACCTCACTGCCACTCTACTGGCTCTGCCCTCCTCCTGACCCCTCTATCCTTCCAATAGGGTTGGAGAGGCCATGAGAAGGAATGAAGGTGGTAACAAAGGAGCATATCTACCAGCTGGAAGCAGCAATGGAGGTGAGCCTCATACTTTTTACTTTTCTTCAAGACCTGATGTAGCGGGAATGGACTCTGTACTATCCTCGGCAGCACAGCAGGCCTGAATGCTCAGCTGAGTCAAATCAGCCCACAGAAATTAATGCAGCCTGACACAAGAACTCAGAGATGTGAAGTGACCCCTTCATCTCAATGGGTGTATGCTCCCCTCTCCCAGTGCTGTAGAATATCAATTCAAAACAATCCTGTTACACCTCTGGTTTTAAAGAAATTTGAATACTAAAATAAGACTTATTGGAGGGAGGCAGCATCTGAGGGATCCCTTGATCAAATGACTCCAAATCTGCACCACTATCTCTACACCTAGCGCTAATGTAACCCAGCAATGTTATATGGGGTGGTAATGTCACCCATGGTTAAGGCTGCACCAAGATTTCCATTTTAACTGGAGTGAAAAAGGTCTACAAACTCTCTCTTTTTTGCATCATAATATAATTCTTAAAAGTTTACTGTAATTGTTCACTGCTTTATTTTTCTATAGCAACATGTGAGGCGAAAAATATTGTTTGATGCGACTGTTTTTAAAAGGGCCAAGTGACTAATTTTTTTCTAGTGTCTGACATTTCCCTCAGACTCCTCTCCACCTCCTTTTGTTTTTTTACACACAAAATTACAATACTTTGAGAGATAAAACTGATAGGCATGAACCTTTGGTTTGTGTAGATCATATGAATTATTGCATAAAGTTGAGATTTGTTTTCTATGTTTATTCTATGCTTATAAACATAAGCTACTTTTTGACTGATGATAGTATGCTGGCACCACATTAGTCAATGCTGACCTTATGCCAGCCCTGAGAATAGGGCTCTCTATTACGAGTGCATTTGCTGATGCTCAGTATCCCCTTTGATCATGCTGACATAGGAGTTGCAGCTATTTCCTTTTCTTTGATCACACTCAGTCTCACTGCTCAGGAATGAGATGCATACAGCATGATCACATTATCCTAGTGCTGCTGCTTACTAGCCTTCCATCTTCCTTTTGTTTAATTAACAATACTTCTAATGTAAAATGAGTATGCATGTAGGGACTACACTCAAATATTGGTTCTTAAGTCATAAGCTTTGTATTGGGACAAAACTTCCAGAAGGAGCCTCTGCAGAATACAGACAGAGCAACTAATGAGTACAACACACATTCTCAGCAAGCTGTCATGGGCAGGATTCAAACTAGATGTATGTGGGTACTGCTTGGGCTGAATAGCCATGGCACATCACCTTGAGCCACCCACTTACTCTAACATCAGGCTGTCTACACTTTGTCTTGCAACGGAGCCCCAGTCCTGCTGTACATGCACAAATTATTTTCTCTGGCTTTAGAGACACAAGGTGGACGAGGTAATAATATAGTTTATTGGACCAAATTCGTTTGGTGAGAGAGAAAAGCTTTCAAGCTGCACAAAGCTCTTCGTCAGGTCTGGGACACGCTTGCCAGTTTGGCTCAATCCACACTGTGAATCCAGCTTTAACAACTTTTTAAATATTGTTTTTCCCCAAGAGAAAAATGAGTGTTAGACACAAGCTAAAAATCAATTCTGAATGGGTGAGATCTGTTATGGGAGGATGAGAACTATAATAAGAACAACAGATAGGTCCAAAAAAAGTTATAAGAACTTAAGAGCTGCAAAAAAACTTGATGTGGTATTTTTGGAGACACCCCTCTGAGTGATGTAAGTTACATCAAATTAAAGCAGTGGCCACACTGCACTATGTCGGCAGGAGACACTCTTCTGTGGACATAGGTTCTGCCTCTCGCGGAGGTACAGTAATTATCTACACCAGAAGGGCTACAGCAGCACCGATGCATCGGTGCAGCTGTATGGATGTAGCCGGGTAGTGTAGACTTGCCCTTAAACCACCTGTTAAACAGTAAACAAGTTTCAGCCTTAGCTATAATGGAACTACTGCCCAACTATAATGATATACTTTGCATGTCTGATTAGAATGTAACCTTTACATGTGTTTTGTTTAAAGGGGGATGGAGGGAGGAAAAGTCTGAAATCAAATGAGAGCAAGAATACCTACAAAAGTCTGATGCACTAATCCATACTGATAAGCAAAAATGAGTATGATTCCTTTTTCTAGCTAAATCACAATGGATTTACGTGACTTAAAACTGACTGCTAATGCAGAAAAAAAATGAAATACAGGAAACAATAAGCAGTCTAGGAATTCTAGAAAAATGTGTACATAACAAGAAAGAAGGGCAAAGACATCTATTCCATACATATTAGAAAGCTGCTAGGCATGGCCAAACAAATTTTAAGAACTCCATTAGATTTACAAAGCAAGATAAAAACAGACTTCTAGGAGCCATGAGTAGGTTTGGGAATAACAGATGCAAAGCAAAGAGGGATTTTATTTCAAGACTCAATAGCAGGCACAACCTCTACATTTTCCCCCTTGCACTCATCTGTATAGAAATCAAAGTGGCTTCCTAGAAGAGAAGAACCCTTACCTCAATGCCAGTTGCTTGCCTTTGACCTGGAGCTCTTACAGTCTGTAATATCTTAAACAGAAAGGGGGAAAAAATGTGTTTCTACATAGCTACTAACAGAAATGGCTGATGTTTACATTGTACCAGAAATGCTTATTGTATTCCCTACTAACCACTTCTTTCAGGGGGAACAGGAGCTTTTAAAAAAAAAAAAAATCTCTAATTTGCTGATAGAACAATGGACTGCCCATCTCTGAGAGTTGTACAGATCCTCCACATTCACTTTTACCCCCCAACCCTCAAAGGGCTACGTCATGTTGCTTCTTCATGTCAGCCAAGCACTGGACAGAACTCCTTCCAGTGCAGTGATGGTCACTCCTAAACCATCTAGAGAGGTCAAACGCTATCTTGTGATCTCTTACAATAGCACTACTTCAGGATTCACAGATCTTTATGTCTCCCCTGGTATGTGAGTTGCGGACTGGTCCTGCTTTGAGCAGGGGGTTGGACTAGGCGACATCCTGAGGTCCCTTCCAAGCGGGAGATTCTATGATTCAAAGGGCCGGTTTCTCCCCATTCCCTTTCCTTGCGCAATAAGAATACACCACTATTATCAGTACACAGGCCTTTTCTACAGTAAGAAACAATGTGAATTTGATAATCAGCAATGGAAATAAATGATTAAAAGAGCATTTAGGAAAAGTGTGTCATATTACTGCTAAGATTTAAGTATATAATGTTAAAATATATTACAATTCAGCCAGGACTCAGTTACTACAGTTCTAAGCAGTATACAAAATCCTAAAATACCTGTGCATATTCCAGTGATTGCCAGAGTGAAGCAGCTATCTCAGGAGATTTTCCAAAGGCAGTAAGAGTCTCTAATAGTTCGGCTTTCAAAATGGGAGGGATGCTACATTGCAGGAGTCCCAAAATGACTACCACTGGAGTCCACTGGGGGTGCTCACAGAGTGCCAAACGAGCATTCTCACTCTGCAGAATGATACACAAAACAAGAGGGGAGGGTGGAGTACACACTGTCACTTTGAAAGGTCTTGGAGTTTTGCAACACCTAATTCAAATGATTCAAAGTCTCAGGGCTTGTCTAGACTACCGAGAAGGGTCCATCTAAGATACGACAGCTGATGCTCTCCTGTCGACTCCGCTTGCGCTCCTTGTTCTGCTGGAGTACCGGAGTTGATGGGAGAGAGCTCCGCAGTCGCTTTACTGCATCTATACTAGATGCGATAAAATGACCCCCGCTGGATCGATCGCAGTCCGACGATCTGGCGGGTAGTGTAGACAAGCCCTAAGCAATGGTGATGCCATTTTCTAGCCCAACACATCTTAGAGATGGGAAGAATGGAAGACTGCTCCAACTTAAAGCATCACTTTTAACTGATTAAAAACATTGATTAAGAAGCTTATTTTTAAAATAATTGAATACCATTACCAAGTATTTCACCCTCTTCTTCTTTCAACATGTACTAAAGGAATTGTGCACATATGTGCTGGAAGCTCAAGTCTCTTCTGTAACTCCCAAGCATATACTAGCAGGAACACACTCACACAACTGTCTCTAGAGAAATCAAGCGCTTATACCTCAACAGCCCCTTCACAACAGAGCAGATAAGGGCTCTGTCATTATTTCTATTACAAGCCTGTATTATCTATTTTTAACATTCTTAACATTCACTAAGTTGAAATTAAACTTGTTAAGATCTAAAAGCTGGGTAGGGCTAGTTAAAGCATACCTGAGATCTCTTGCTAAGCTATTCAACTGGCATACAGTTCTAGTATAGCTAGATAATTCTAAGCATACTTAATATAGAATTACCCTCTCCTCATGTGGGTATTCAGTAACCGAACTAAAGCTGTACCACCTATGTAGAGCCTGCACTGATGTATTATTTTCATAACCATTGCTTGGAGTTTCCACCCCTTTAACTCAAGGTGCCTTTTCAGCTATAGGTCTGGCAGCCATTTAAATCCAGCCTGGAGGTAAGTTTCACTAGCAGTTTGTTTCCCCTGCCATTTTCTCTCTTTTATTTTAGTTTACTTCTTCTGGATTTTCCCCTCTCAAATTATTAAATGTAAATGCTCAGAGTTCTTCAGCTCTGACCTGATTTCTTTTAAACTCGTCTTAGCTGTGAAAGAAAGAGACAACTCTTCCGCAACAGGGAAGGGAGTCTTGAAAAGTTAAAAATCAGCAATTTGCAGTACCAACAACAGACCCTGCCCCTTCTTGCTTTATCACGTGCTTGTCCAACCCAGTCATTCCTGCTATCACTTATGAAGTCCAGAAAACAAATCACAGCAACTGCTAGCTGACTCTGCCCAGAGTGCCATTTTGGGCAAACGTGGCATAGGTCACCACTAGTTAGTTACGTGCAAACTCAAATCTGTAAGTCAGTTTAAATGTCATCTTGCAAGAGATACAGAAACGTACCAGCGAGACACAAGAAAGAAAAGGATTACCTACCCATTTCACTATAGTAGTTGTAAGCTGTAAAAAGGAAATCAATCCATCCTGTTCTTTCTGGGTGATTCCTCGGAGGGGGAGGTGACGGTATTGAACACTATCTGCACTTGGCAAGTCCTTCCTTAAGTGCTCATGATACAGCATCAAGGAGCGGAAGAAATGCTCCCAGGAGACAGGGCTGCCACCTGTTCCTTGGATGTTTTCAGCTGGAAAGGAAAAATGTTCAAACGGATTACAAAATAATTTTGCTCTTTTACAGGTGGCAAAGAGGATATCAAACTTTAAAAAACTGCCCTAACTTGTACTCAGCACAGTACTCTGGAAGCTGAACTAATAAGAAATTCTTCTCACTATGTACGAGAGGTTGTGCACTTTTATTATTATTTATCATTTATGTTAATGCCCACAACATGTGAGTTGTTTTCCAAACATTCTGAGTTGAGAAAAAAAAAGTGCCTATTGGCATCCATAAAACACCTCCCCGTCCCTTCTCCTTAACCATCTGAACCCTGCAATGGCACACCAGAATTGGAGATCATCAGTGAGCTCAACTTTCAGTTCAGATTCAAAGTGGGCCAGAGAGGAAAACAAAGTTTATGATAAAAGCCTGGTGTTGGTGAGCTTTGTGCTCTTACGGTCCTTTTGAAGAGCTATGACATTACTAATATGATAGTCAGGTGTAAAATAGGTTTACTGTTTTAATCATGCTATCGTATGGGTTTATGAATCAGAACCTTTGTCATGCTGAATGTGTAAAGACAATGTTAGTCTTGTAATTTTTTCCCTGACAAGCTAGTATGAAAACAAAACAGAAACTTATATTACCTGTGTTACAAATGATGGCACTTTGTCAGGATGCCTCTAAAAGCAACCTCAGAAATGCTAGCCATCATTTAAAAATGTATTTGGAAATCCACAGCCTGGCTATTTTATGCTAATAAGTGTCTCCTCAACATACTGTACTGAGCAAAAGTGATATATTGAAGCTCTCATTGATTTTAAAATGTTTTATAGCTTTCTGTTAAATACATTAGGAATTCAGCCACTCCCATAATCAGGACACTCAAATATTTAATTAACATATATAAACCAGTATCTTTATGCAGACCACAACTGAAAGTGAAAATGAGTTTTACCTCTGTACTAAAGGTGTAAGACTAATAGTAGCTAACTAAGTAGTAAACTACAATTAATCTCATCCAGACCTGCATTCTTGTCTAATTTGTCTAGGAAAAGAGTTGGGAGGTGAGCCTACTGTCAAACACCTTTCTTACCATGACTGCTGCCATTGACCTTCAGCAAACTGAAGCAATAATGAGCACACTGGGGCCCACTGGCCAATCCCCGAAGCATTTTCAAATATGGGATGTATATTGTGGAGGGAAGTAGGTCTCCCATTTGTCTAACAAACTTTGACAAGACGACCTGGAATGAAAAAGGTAAACGTTTAAAAAGAAATCTAACCGTATTTTGGGGGTGACAACAGACACCAAAATGATAACGTATATTTTGGTTTGGACTTAAAAAATACAAAACCCTCACCACAACTCCAAAATAAATACGCTTGTGAACTGCTTGTTCTGTTTCATTGAACAGAAAATATCCACATTTTGAAGAGAAAAGAGATACACAAAATATTCAGGATATTGCAAAGTAACACATGTTAATCAATAAGGGTGCAATACTCTTTCATAACATTAGCTGCAGTGATGCCAAAAGGGGAAAACTATGAAGAAAATCTAGTATGTCTTTCTTTAAAAATAAATCTAATCTGAGACCATAATCGCTAAATAATTGCATGGTAATTAGGTTACTACAGGGCACAGCTAAGGTTGTTTGGATGCCTTAACTGTGCATTTCTTACCTTAACATATTTGGATTGGTTTTAATCCTAATTCTAGGATTAGTTAGGTTTTAACCCTATCCTTGGGTTTTAGATAATTACAACATCCTTGTAATGTTTTCTACCCTTAAGAGACCTTAACTGCACCTTAACAGAGTTTTGCCTCTGGGAATAGCAATAGAACACTGTGATATAATCAGACAGAAGGTGCAACGTAAGAGCAAAATATTATTATTAGTCAAGTTCACTGAGAAAATGTAGCTGCTTGTGTAGAAGTCTTCGATTAGGTAGCTCAAGCATAAACAAGAGTTTTGAAAGTGGTTAGATTCTTTCCCATTAATACCCACCGACACCCCAGAGAACAATCTACAGCCCAGGACAACTGGTAAAGGTTCCCTATCTAGCATGCCTATAGTGCCCATACAACAAACGGTGGGAGCACTGCACTAATATCTTGGCAATGGATAACAGGTTCTTAAGACCATATGAGAGTGGTTCTACCAGTTCCCCAAAAACCATCTTTACTCCTCTCGATTCCAGGAGCTATAGGTGCTCCCGCCTGCAGCTTTTAACACCATGACACTAAGGTAAATGACACACATTTTAAAAAAAAAAAAAGAAAGAAAGAAAAAAAAGTTTTTCCATTGAAAACATTGGAGGAAAAAAGTTGAATTTGGCTAACCTGGCGCTGAGGAGGTCGCTGATGGGCTACTCCAAGATAAGATCCCATAATGGTGGAGCTTTGGAGAGGTTCTGAAGGACACCAATACTCAAGAGCAAGTTCCAGATTAAAGGGATCCTTCCTGTACAACTCAGCAATCTGTAGGGGGACAAAAAAATACGGTTCTAGAGAGAAAAAATGTCAATGCAAATAAAAAGGCCAAGATTTTAACAACGAACACTACTTCAGCACAACCTGGAAATACAGGAAGAAAAATAATCTCATGGTTAATACATAATTTTTTAAATAGTCTCTTCCTGAAAATGGCAGTTCCTATGCAGTAATGTGAGAACAATCCATAGCTAAAAAAAACCCTGAAATTTCCAGATTTTTTAATAATAATTTTTATTTGTAAATTTCAATGGTATTCTCCCTCTGTTGCCTATAAAACCCTGGATATCAACACACTGGTATTTTCTTTAAATGAGTATTTGGGTATTTGTGCTACAATTAGCTTAAAATAAATCAGCCAGTGTTGGGATTAAAAGCTTTTAACTGTTCTTTGACTGGTCAAATTTCCTTCAGAATAATTTCTGTTTCAAGTTCTTCATTTTATAGGTGTGTTATAGCTTTGTGCCAGAGCCATAACAAGTTCTAATTAAGAAGGCATTTTCATTCTAAGCTCCTTTTTTAATGATTTATAAAATTGCCTAATACTTTTTGTGGATAAAAAATATTTTTAATGTTTCTCTAGCTTTAAAATGGTTAGAATTTAAAATTTCAAACTTGCCTGGTACACTGTATTTAAGGAGGAATTTGTATACTTCACCAGTTCGTTTTATTATAACATTTATTTCTTAACAACGATGGAAAAAATGTACACTGCCCACATACAGTATTTGAATATGTTATCTAACTTTAACAATCACAAATTGAAATAAACACACAAGACCAACTTTATTTCTTTTAAAACAAACAAAGAAATAGAATGGAAAAAGACCCTTCTATAGAGGCAACATTATGGTTGAAATTTTACTCTAATGAAACACAGAAAATTTAGTTACAATTCCCACATCAGCTGTAACTTGGTCTTTTTGCATTTAAGATCTCAACACCATGTATATAGCAGCCTTGCAAAACTGTTATGAAAAATTACAATATCAGATGCAAAAAATCTACACACTCACCCTTTACCATAATGACTAATGATCATGTAAAAATTAATGATATTTTATTCACCCAAGGTGAATAGATAGAATTTTGCTGGGATGATGCAGAAACACAAAACACTACATAAGCACAAAGTGCCTCAAATACTGTTAGATGGGAACCATAGTTCTGAGATTTGTAAACTTGGAATTTCAATTTTAAAGTTGTGTTAACATGGGGGGGGAGGAGTTACATTTAAAATATTGCACAATGTATACACAATCATATGTCAAAAGATATTCCGGTATCTAAACTGTAGCACCACAGTATTTGAAATGCAACAAATGGTGCAATATTTATATGCTGAACAAAAATAAACTGATATTTATTAGCAGGGGGAAGTCAGGTCAGCAAATTAATTCAACTACATCACTAGTTAATGAAAATATCTACTTCTAATTTAACCAAAAATATGAAGATTTCCACTGACAATTAAAAATAGGTAAGTTATGCCCCACACAGTATCTTCTTATTCAAATAATGTGTTTTACTGTTAAGGTATCAGAAGTTTTCAACAGGAAAACCCCCAAATAATCCCTTTTTACAAACATAATTAAAAAGTAGGACTTACTAAAAGCATAAGATGTTCCAGATCCCGCCGAAGGGAAATAGGTGGCTCATTACCCATCTGCATACTCATGTGGATCATACGAGCATCTTCATCTGCACGGTTTCTCAGCTGTTTCACCTATACAATTTATGAAGTGGAGAAGAATGTTGGTCTATTTTAAGCCAACAAAAAAAAATTATCTTAAAGATTACAAATAGCAACCTAGTCTTATCTATTTTTATAAAACATTTTAACACTCCTAAGCATGTCCTTAATAAACAAAAATGCTACTGAAATAGATTGAAATTCATTATCAAATTGCAGGGGTTTATTTTAATTTTCTGTTTAAATTGTTACCATATCATCCAATAGTAGGAAGAAATTCTCAGCGGTTCAAGGTATAAATCAAATGTCTGATAACCAATAATATGATAACCACAATGTTATGTCCACATGGATCCCTCCTTCCCTGCTACTATGGAGTCTTCCTCCTCTAGGACAGTGGTTCTCAACCTGGGGGTACGCAGAGGTCTTCCAGGAGGTGCATCAAGTCGTCTAGATATTTGCCAAGTTTTACAAAAGGCTACATAAAAAGAACTAGCAAAGTCAGTACAAACTAAAATTTTATATTACACACAATAACTTGTTTATGCTGCTCTATATACTATACTCTGAAATATTTATATTCCAATTGATTTATTTTACAATTATATGGTAAAAATGAGAAAGTCAGCAATCTGTCAGTAATAGTGTGCTGTGGAACTTTTATATTTTTTATGTCTGATTTTGTAAACAAATAGTTTTTAAGTGAAATGAAACTTGGCGGTACACAAGACAAATCAGACTTCTGAAAGGAATACAGTGATCTGGAAAGGTTAAGAGCCACTGCTCTACGATTCTGTATTGGTGAAGAAAGTGAGGGATGGTTGGATCTGCCCTGTCCATTATGCCCTCAGTTGAAGGGGCACAAGGTTCAGGCATGATTCCAGACAGACACTGCTGGGCAAAAGAATTCCATCTTGTGTGCATGGAGACCATGTATACCAAGAGTGGGATCCATGTGGACAAATACTTGAAGAACCACCACTAATTCGCGGAGCTGATAAATCGAGAGAAATATTTAACCACTTCGTTTCTCTCAAGGCTCTTCTCATCTGCAACAAGAGCCTGATCCAAGTCAATGGGAATATTTCCATTGACTTCACTGTGATCTGGATCAGGCCCCAAAGCTACATCCTCTAATATTTTCAATTTGGAAAGCTAGATAGATTAAATGAACTTCTGTACCAAAATCAAAAATGTAAGTTAATTATACGAATATGTTTGTGTATGTGGAGCGTAGAGAGAGAAAACAGAGCTAGCATTATAGGATAGTGCCTTGTATGAACAGAATTGAGAAGAACTAAATTCCTCAAGAAATCAGCTACTATACTGAATGGTAGCAAATGTCTTTATCTTTTTGAAGAGTTCTGGGGTGACCTAGGGAATTACATACCAGTCAGCACTGCTTCAATATCAGTAAAATTGTTTGCTATAATTAAAGTGTTAAAATGGCTAGAATGAATGCAATATGACAGGGGGGAAAGAAAAAAGTACATCTTCTGTAATGAAAAATTGTGCCCTCTAATCTACTAGAATTCTCTGAATGTGTCAACAAATTACTGGATAAAAGAAAACCAGCTGACATAATTTTTTTGAATTTCAAAAAGCCTTTGACAAAGTACCTCACAAGTGACTACCACTGTTGTCAATGCACTGGCCCAAAACATAATTAACCTGCAGAAGTTTCTGCCAAAATATATCATTAAGAAAAAGAGCTTAGTAGGAATAAAAAAAAAAAAAAAAGATTAAGCATTTATGTGGATAATAAAAACATTCAAAGTTCTATAACGTAATAAGGCATATAAATTCCATAATCCAACCATTACCTAATACGGATTGGAAAGGATTCTTTCACAAGCAAGAATTCTGTCTGCTGCAAGGTTTTTTCCTCTGAAGCAACTGTTACTGGCCACCGACAGAAATAGGATACCCGAACAGATGGACAGACCACTGTTCTGATCCTATATGGCAATATTCTGTTCCTAAATAGAATTCCTTTGCACCTCTAGGTCATCGCTTTAATACAGTCCAGGGCTGCAGCTAATGGAAAGACATTACTATACTGTGACTATTCAATGATTACGTGAAATGAGCCTATTTTCTAAGGGATACGTCTGCATCAGACAGACAAACCACCTTTGTTCGCAGCCTTAGCAGAAAGGCCAAAGCCTGTTACAGCATGTTACTCCCCTCTAGGTGTTTGTGTGTAGTCCCTACAGAAGTGGACGGAGGCACACTAGTGAGGCTGTGTACACAGGATACTTGCATGGACATTGCCACTGTTGTACCTGCTGTGAATTCAGAAAAGCTTTTAAATCAATTCAGCAATCATCATAATAAACAAAGAATTTTAAATAAATGAGAATTTCAACAGTCTACAAATATGTTTATATGTGCACTCAAAAAGATTCTTAAAACTGAAGGAATGATTTTTTCCCCAGACATTCTCATGCCAGCCTAAAATGAACAAAGAGATCCCTTAAAGGTATGCACATAAAAAAGAACTAAAAATTGTGACTGCACAGTCATTATTTGGCAACTCAAATGGACACACAACTGCTCGACACAACAGACACAAAATAAAGCTTTCACCAATTATTAAAAAAAGACACTACACTTTCCCAGATCTCTTGCTTTCAATGCATGGATATAAGTTCTTGTACAAATGAAATAGCTCACACTGCTACAAACACATCTTTTTTATTTTTGCTTTGCAGCACAAGTGTTTCAATTCCTGGTAAATCAAATTGTTATATCCATAGGAAAAGTATTCTGCTGCAAGGAAAGATAGCACCCCTCTCATACACATATGCAAAAGTCTATTCCTGGCAAAAAATTAAAAAGCACTGACACAGTACGGTGGGATTAGTGATCTTTTCCCATTCACAAATAACTTCAGCTGCGATACTATGTCGCTATAGAAAAAAATGGCATTTATTAAAAATTATAAGTACTACCAAATGAACAGTTTGCTTTTAAAATTTCACTATACTCATGTAAACTTTGACTTTTAGAGCATCGTTATTTGGAAACTAAATTGAAAACTATATTAATTCCATAAATCAAATACATAATTAATTGGCAGTTTTCTGAATCCTAGCACTTCAAGACCATGGTGGTAGATGCCTTATCTGGATCTCCATATTATCCAAAATTGCTATCTGCTCCTGTACATGACATTTGGATTATACATCCAAAATTCTCATCAACTGCTAGTCCACATGCATAACAACTTACTTTCATCGGCATGAGCGCAAGGAAGTCTGTGATAAGGTTATGAATTTTGCGGATGTAAAATTCTTCCTGGTAGAAGTTTTCAGACCCCACCACAGATTCAGTAAGGAACAGGAAGACATCATCAGAAATTGCTAGCTCTGCCATTGCCTCATCGGCCTCAGTGAATTCTGCAAGAGCTAGAAAGAATAAAGAAGGGGAAGAGGAAGAAAGAATGCAATTATCTCACTTACTAATGTTTCAAAGTTCCTGGCTTACTTGCAAATGAACATAAACGTATACTCCCTAAGTCTTTTGGATGTTCAAAAGAACAGTGGTCTGTAAAAGTTATGCCAGTACAGTGGGACAGCCAGTACTTGAACTCTGATCAAAGAGGAAAGATGTGCATAATCCACTTAGTCCTCCGAGTAAGTGAAACCAAATCCAGTTATGCAGGGCTATAGGCCCCTATTATTTATAGCAATCAAAAACTATTCTTTTAAGACCGTTAGAAGCGTGAAGTTTAACTCTGATTTAACTTCACAGAAAGGATATTCTGAAACTGATCTAATTCTGATCTACTACAGCACTTCAGAAGTCCACATCTTTTGGAAGAAAACTATCCAATGTTCTCAAATATCCTTTCAGCAGACAATGTGTGTTACACTATCCAGCTACAATGGAGCTGCCTTTAACTCATAAAGGCTATAACAAATTGGAATCTATTTTTGTTTTTTAATGGTAGAGTTACCAGCATAGGGCACCAACTAGCATTAAATGAAATTTTACGCATTTTTTCAGCACAATATTAATTTGCTATTGAAACGAAGGGATATTATGGAGTTTGTATCATGAAACAGTAAGTATTTCTAATCCTGTGTATATTTCAGACTAATATAATTCTCAGTTGAACTCTCAAATACAAGTTAGCAGTTGCACAGTTCTGTGAGAGAGGGCAGTTACTGTTCCCCCAAAAAGTAACAGCTCCTCTGACTTGTAGTATTAAGGGGCTCTGAAGACTTAGCTATAGCAGTTTCACTTCGGATTCATTTACCTGTCACATCAGACAGCTGGGATATTCCTCGCAATGCTAGTGCCCATGCTAATCTAACAGTAGCTTGCAGCCCTGGTAGTTTCCATGGTTGAGAATCTTGAAGGCGAGTGTGGATTGTTGCTATGTATTGTCTCTCGGTTAACAGAGGCAGCTGGTGCATCAAATCTGGAAGAACAAAGTGACTCATCATTATATAAAAAAGTGAAACACTAAATTCTCATTTCCATTAAAAAAAAATATGAACAATTCCTGAAATGTACAGCCTTGGAGAACAAATGTAGCTTACTTCTCCAATTAGCTATTACAATAATTGTCACTTTTTCTATCTCTTTAAACTGATCAGTTGATTCTTTCAAGTAGTCTGAAGCCCAAACAGTATACAGTAACTCCTCACTTAAGGTTGTAGTTATGTTCCTGAAAAATGCTACTTAAATGAAACGATGTTAAGCAAATCCAATTTTCCCCACCAGAATTAATGTAAATGGGGAGGAATTAGGTTCCAGGGAAACTTTTTCGTCAGACAAAAGACACTCTCTTTCTTTCTGTGTATGTATATATATACTCTGTGTGTATGTGTGTGTGTACACAAACACACACACAGTATAAGTTTTAAACAATTTAATACCGTACACAGCAATGATGATTGTGAAGCTTGGTTGAGGTGGTGAAGTCAGAGAGTGAGATATTTCCCAGGGAATGCCTTACTGCTAAATGATGAACTAGCCCTCGGCTGAGCCCTCAAGGGTTAACACATTGTTGTTAATGTAGCCTCATACTCTACAAGGCAGCATGAATGGAGGGAGGGGAGACAGCATGGCAGAGAGAGACAGAGACACACACTGTGTGAGTGAGAGAAAGAGAGGCGCATTGCCCCTTTAAGTACGCTGACCACACTAAGTCAGAGGTGGGCAAACTATGGCCCACAGGCCACATCCGGCCTGCGGGACCCTCCTGCCCGGCCCCTGAGTTCCTGGCCCGGGAGGCTAGCCCCCGGCCCCTCCCCTGATGTTCCCCCTTCCCCGCAGCCTCAGCTCACTGCGCCGCTGGTGCAATGCTCTGGGCGGCGGGGCTGCGAGCTCTTGCCAAGCCACACAGCTGCAGAGGAGGTTGAATGGGGTCAGGGGCCCGGGGGGGCAGTCAGGAAAGGGGGGGGCGGTTGGATGGAGCGGTGGAGGGCAGTCAGGAGCAGGGATTCCGGGGGTGGTCAGGGAGAAAGGGTGGTTGAATGGGCCAGGGGTCCTCGGGGTGGGCAGTCAGGAAGGACGGGGGCGGGGGGTTGGATGGTGCAGCGGGGGGGCAGTCAGGGGACAGGGAGGGCTGGATGGGGCAGGAGTCCCAGGGAGGCCGTCAGGGGGAGAGAAGCAAGGAAAGTCGGATGGGGGCAGGAGCCGGGCCATGCCTGGCTGTTTTGGGAGGCACAGCCTCCCCTAACCGGCCCTCCATACAATTTTGGAAACCCAACGTGGCTTTCAGGCCAAAAAGTTTCCCCACCCCTGCTCTAAGTACTCTGTCTTTTTAAGTAGATCAGCAAGTTGAGACAGCAGCTGCTGCCTGCAAGCTCCCTCTGTCCTGAGCCCTGTCATGTCCCGACCCCTGCTCTGTGGAGATAGGGTAAAGGAGCAGAGGGCTGGGGGATTCCCTGACATTAGCACCCCTTCCCCAGCCCCGCACAGCAAGCAGGAGGCTCCCGGGAGCAGCTCCAAAGCAGAGGGCAGGAGCAGCACACAGCCGTGGGGGGAGGGACAACTGAACTACCCAGCAATTGATAGCCTGCTGGGCGGCTGCCACACAGGGAACTTAGGGGAGCTGATAGAGGGGCTGCCGGTCCATCCTGGTTCCAAGCCCCCACCAGCTTGCTCCAACAGGTTGCTCTTTCTGCAAGCAGTGGGCAAAGCAGGCAGCTGCCAAACAATGTTATAAGGGAGCACTGCACAGCTTTAAACGAGCATGTTCTCTCATTGATCAGCAACATAACAATGAAACAACGTTGACCGGGATGACTTTACGTGAGGAGTTACTGTACAATATGCATTCATTTAAAAGTTTTATGACTCAACATACATTTTATACTATTTCTTTCTCTATATAATAAAAAAAGCAGCCATCATTCTCTGGATGCAAGTACAAAGCTACGAAACAAGACCACTACCACCTCCAAAGTCAACCTAAATGACTCCCTTCCAAAAACCAAAACTTGACTCTGTCAATATCCCTTCCTCAAGCAGAAGCCCATATTAAATCAATAGGCCTTGCAACAAACTCTGAAAGTTATATATGTCAGACTCCATCAATATAAAAGGGAAACAGAATCTCACGTCTTCCCCAGCTTAAAAAAAAGGACTGTCCCATTGCACATTGAAATAAATACATTAATGTGCAATTATTTACTCACTTGCTCCTCCCTTATTTAAAAAAGGAGAGAAATTCCATCAAGTTACTTTACTGCACTGTTAGAGGTGAGAATTTACATGAACAAGTCAGAAAAGTTGTGAGTCAACTGTAACTGCACCATTTTGTGTGTGTGTGTGTATGTATATCTATCTATATCTATCTATCTCAAGGTATAAATGTAAACAGCATAATGAATCTTAGAACATTATAATTGTTCAACCTCAAAACTCTTTCAACATGAATGAATTAAACTGCAACATCCCTGCCAGGGTATTCTCAGCCCCATTTTACATGAGGAAATTGAGCCATAAATAATTGAATTGACTTACCCAAAGCCACAAAGGAAATCAGTGTAAAAATTCAGGATTACAACTCAAGAATATTCAGGATTAAAACTCTAGTCCCATACTCAGACCAGGCCCTTCCTCCATTACCCACTGAACTCCGTTTTTTTCATCTAGTATCAAGTACATCACTATAAGTAGATTTCAAGTCAACCTTTACCCCAGTGAAGTATTTTCACTGTATCAAGAAATTTTCTACTTAAAATGTATACCCCACCCAAGTATGATGCCTAACTGTAGTAAATAATGATTAAAATGTTAGTGATAGTAACAATTAAAGCTAATACATTTTGTGGAATAGTAAGGTACAACTTAAGAAAACTCTACCATTACCTTCCCGATCCTCTGTGCTCTGTTCTAGAAAACTGACATCAAAGCAGTAAAGAAGAGCCATGAGGAGGGACAAATTCACACAGTCCAATAAGCCATCAGCTTCAACTGTCACTTTCTCCAGATAACTAATAAGGATTAAAGTATCATCCCTGCTCAGTGGAGACTGGCAGGTCCAGACAAACAGGCTTTCAGCCAATGACTGTCGGCACTCTTTGATAAGGTCAGAAACCTAGTTAAAACAAAAAAAAAAAAATTTAGTTATTTTCATACAATTATTTTCAAATTGTTCAAGCGTGTCTTGCTCAGTCAGTCAATATAACTAGGATCAGTTACACAAGTTCATTTGGAATCCCAAAACATGATTGAATCAATTAGGATTTATTCTTGGCTTGATATATACATTCCATTGCCATTAACGTGAATGGGATTTACACATGCATATGGCTAGGATCTTACCAAATTCACGGTCCATTTTGGTCAATTTCAAGATCAGGAGGGCTTAAAATTAGTTAACTTCATGTTTTTGGTTCTTTACATCTGAAACTTTGGTGTTGTAACCATGAGGGTCCCGATCCAAAATGTGGACAGGATGGGAGGGTCGCAAGGCTATTGTAGGGGGGTCATGGGATTGCCACCCTTACTTCTGCCCTGCTACTGACAGAGGCACTAAAGCTATCACCACCAGCAGCAGCGCAGAAGTGAGAGTAGAAGGATATGGGGGTGGGTTTGTTTGGTTTTTTTTGCCATATGTCCGGTTTTCCCAGCAGTCTCCCGCTTATGTAGGGAGTTAACAGCTGGCACCACCGCCTCCCCATGAAGGGAGGTGACAGCTGGCACTGGGGAGCTTCCTGCAGCTGGGGTTGGTCCCAGACGTGGGTCTGACCCACCCCAGAAGTGGCCCTTGCAGGGGAAGAGGAAGTCTGGTCCCTTCAAATCCCTGGCCAGGACTCGCAGCTGGAACCCTGTGTAGGGTAGGAGCCCCTGGCTGGGCACCAGATTTCACAAGGAAGATCAGATTCCACAGTCCATGACACATTTTTCACAATCATCAAATGGTCCATGAATAGGGCCCTACATATAGACAACCCTGAGAGTCTGAAGCGGTGTACTTTTTCTGAGTCTCCATTAATGTACGGAACAAGATGTGTAAACCCATTTTTTCTTTTTAACACACACAGGCAACTAGCCTTCCACAAAAAAAAAAAAAAAAATCACCCGGCCACTGGACAATCAAGACGCTAAAGAAGCACTCAAGGCTGTTGTGGAGAAGATAAATGAATTCTTTCCATTGCAGAAAATTTAAGGGAATTTTCCACACCTGAGCCATTCTTTTTAGCCGACAAATCTGAGGAACAGTCTCAGATTGAGGTGTCAACAGAAGTGGTTTTGGAACAAAGTGATAAATTAAACAGTAGTAAGTCACCAGGACCAGGTGGTATTCACCCAGAGTTCTGAAGGAACTCAAATACAAAATTACTAATAACTGGTGTGTAACGTATCACGTACATCAGCTCTGTACCAAATGACTGGAAGACAGCTAATGTCACGCTGATTTTTTTTTTTTTTTTTTTTTAAAGGCTCCAGAGGCAATTCTAGCAATTGCAGGCCAGTAAGCCTAACTTCACCACCAGGCAAATTAGTTGAAACTATAGTAAAGAACAGAATCATCAGACAAACAGATGAACACAATATATTAAGGAAGAGTCAAACATGGCTTTTGTGAAGGGAAATCGTGCCTCATCAATCTATTAGAATTCTTTGAAGGTGTCAACAAGCATGGGAACAAGGGTAATCCAGTGGATAGAGTGAACTTGGACTTTTCAAAAAGCCTTTGACAAAAGTCCCCACCAAAGGCTTAAGTAGAGTAAAGCAGTCATGGGATGAGAAGGAAGGTCCTTTCATGCATTAGTAACTGGTTAAAAGACAGGAAACAAAGGGTAGGAATAAATGGTCCATTTTCACAAAGAAGAGAGTTAAACAGAGGATCCCCCAAGAATCTTTACTAGAACTAGTGCTGTTCAACTTATTCATAAGTGATCCGAAAAAGGGGGTACACAGTGAGGTGGCAAAAATACACAGATAATACAAAGTTACTCCAGATGGTTAAGTCCAAAGCTGACTGTGAAGAGTTACAAAAGGATCTCCCTAAAGTGAGTGACTGGTCAACAAAATGGCAGATGAAATTCAATGCTGATAAATGCAAAGTAATGCACACTGGAAAAAATAATCCCAACTAATACGGACAAAACGATGGAGTCTAAATTAGGTGTTACCACTCGAGAGAGAGAGAGATCTTGGGAGTCATCACGGATAATTCTCTGAAAAATCTGTTCAATGCACAGCTAACAGTCAAAAAGAGCTAACAGAATGTTAGGAACCATTAGGAACGGGATAGATAAAAAGACATAAAAATATCATGACACTATATAAATACATGGTACACCACAACTTGACCAGGGCTGCGAGCAGTCTTCACCAGCTTAAAAGAGATATATTATAACTGGAAAAGGTACAGAGAAGGGCTACAAACATGATTAGGTGTATGGAACAGCTTCCATATGAATAGAGATTAAAAAGACTGGGTCTGTTCATCTTAGAAGAGAGGTAACTAAGAGGGGATATGATAGAGGTCTATAAAATCATGACTGATGTGGAGAAAGTGAAAGTGTTATTTACTCCTTCACATAACACAAGAACCAGGGGGTCATCCAATAAAATTAATAGGCAGCAGGTTTAAAACAAACATACGGAAGTGTTTCACAAAATGCAATCCACCTGTGGAACTTCTTGCCAGAGGATGTTGTGAAGGGCAAAAGTATAACCAGGTTAAAAAAATTATATAAGTTCATAGAGGGTAGGTCCAGCAATAGCTAAGATGGTCCAGAACACAACCCCACCGTCTGGGTATCCCTAAATCTCCGACTACCAGAAGCTGGGACTAGACAACAAAGGATGGCTCACTCTATAATTTCCCTGTTCTGTTTGTTTGCTCCGAAGCATCTGGCATTGGCCACTGTGGGAAGACAGGATACTGGGCTAGATGGACCATTGGCCTGACCCTGTATGGCCATTCTTTATGTTCTTATGCATTTTATCTGTAACAGACTCCCCCAAAGTCCATCGTGTATTTGAATAGCTTTTGTATATCAGCCAAAGGGGACAGAGAGTTCAAATCTGGAATATTCCCCCTACTTCACTGATTTGGTGCCTTTGGGTCACTCAGTAAAAATCAGATTTCATTTGGCTGTATTTTAAGAGTTCCTAAACTGTACCTGACACATGCTCACCGGTAAAATACGAAAACTAACCATCTGCCAATGTCCCATTTTTATTGTGCATGTATTTTTATTAACAGTGAATTACATTACATTAAATGTTTTGTATGAATGTTAAACCATTTATAATACATTATAATGTATATTATAATGTATTATACATAATACAGTATAATAATATATGGTCTTGGCAGTTTGGGGGCCTAAAGCAAGGAGCTAGTCTCTCATATCATTGTTCTTTACATGATTCCTGGAGTAACATCGAAGTAGATGAGAGACTAGCTCCTTGCTTTAGGCCCCCAAACTGCCAAGACCATATATTATTATACTTTCCAGAAGGACTGTCACTATGAGCAGTAAGCACAGAAAAAAAAATTGTAATGTTAAAGTTTGGGTCTGATCCACTTCCCATTGCAGACAGTGGCTACACGCACAAGAACTCTGAAGGGTGCAGAAATGAGCACTCTATTTTCAAGTACTTTTCAGTATTTACTATTAGAGGTATATCTTGCCAAATTAAATTTAACACAGCTGGATATACTTAAATGACTGGACCCTATTTTGTCCTGTTTTATTTATTTTTGAAATACAGTTCTCCATTTTTAATCCCCCTCTTTTTTTTTTTATTTGTAGTGCTTAAAGTAAAAAAAAAAATTACTTTGTGTTCTAGATTTTATGCTATATCTTTATATTTAATTTGCTCTTCTGTTGTCCTTGCTTCTACTACTTTGCTGAAGGTAGAGAGGGGCTGCTCTGGTAAAGAGTAGGGGAATTCGTACAGGACAAGCAGGCAGAAACCCACCCCCTGAACTGGGGAAGCCAAGTTATTCACAATACCTCATCCAGTGACAAAGGATGAAGAAGCAGAGCGGAGGAAAATAAAAATCATCATCGGTAATTTTGGAGACAGGGGAGAAAGATGCCACTACAACCCACCAGCAGATCTGAGGGAAGGAAAGAAGCTAGAATCACAAGCAAGGGAAGGAGATGACAAGAGTATCAGCAGTGGATCAGCAGGCTGAGAGAGAGCTTTTGATTTACCTCAGCAGTCCCTGTCTGCAACTATTATCAGAAGCCAGAATGTTGGCTTTTTTAATCCTTGGTTTTTTACTCCTGAAAGCTGCAGCATATAGCCTTCATTAGTTCTTTTCTCACCATCCAAACACAACTACGGCCACAAGTTCCTGCTTCCTCAAACTGAATCCTCTCTTTTATTTGATATAGTGTCCCACCCTGAAAGCTGGAACCGTCTGGTTGATCAGTCTCTGCTCACCAGCTGATCTCCAGAATGTCTTGGACCCTGCCCTCAATCAGTAAGTGGAAGAAGTAGCAAATGAGGAGAAAATGATCTAAAACCAGAGTATAACTTAAAAAGAAATAAACAAACTGCCAATGAGATTTTATTTCAGAGAAGACCCACAAATTTAAAACAAAATATTCTGCAGGGGATTATAACTACATTTTAATCTTTGCAGTAATTTGCGAAGTGATTCTCTTACCTCTTTGCGATGTTTCTCACTGCCCAGACCTCGCTCCCTTTGTAGTTTCTCAAACTCACTGTTCACATTGATATGAGATACCAGAGTTAGGATCTTCTGAGTCAAACCCTGCTCCATCAGCTCATCTGTAAAGCGTGTTGTCATGGACACCAACTCTGTGCTAAAATGAAGAGACACAACGTATTAACAACTGAAACAACAAATAATGCTATTCCTGACCACAGTAGAAGAAATGTGATGAACAAGGCTATGATTTAGTCAACGGAAGTCACAACAGTCATGGATTCCGTGACTTCACCAGACCTCCATGACGTCTACGCTTCAGGAGGTGGGACTGTGCGCCCCTGCCCTGCAACTGGGGCTAGTAGGAACAAGGACCCTGCAGCCCCAGCCCCGGGGCTTCTGCCAGGGATGTGTGCCCTAGCCCCGCGTCGTCCCGAGCTTGGCAGCGGCTGCAGCCAGGGCCATGTGCTCCTGCCCAGCAGTGTCCCGGCTTGGCAGTGGCTGCAGCCGCGGCCGTGTACCTCAGCCCTGCAGTTTCCTGAGCAGTGCGCCCTTGCCCGGCAGCATCCCGGGCTTGGCGGGGCTGCAGCCAGGGCTGCGCGCCTGCTTTGCATCTTCCCAGGGCCATGCACCTTTGTAATTCCTCCATTACCTTCACTGTAAGTAACAATGCCCACATTCACATTCTACAGACTTCTCTTCCTCAGCAATCCTTGCAACTGGGCAAATTTCCATAGCCCCACCACTCCAGTGAGTTATCCATAAATTGATCATCCCTGTTACACTAGGGTATTTGTGATTACACTATATCCCAACTCAATACAAACTATGTTAGTATACATGGAGTCAACCAGCCAAGGTATGCTTCTACTGTATACTGTATTTGTTTTGTATTTCACCAAGAGTACCTCACATGCACATATTAATTTCTACAATAAAATTTGCATTTAAATAAAACTAAGTTAAAATTTCTCTGCTTCCCAGACTGTAAGAGCTAGGAGTCTTGCAAAGGCAGAGAACTCAGTCTGCGTAGTGGACACAAGCACTTCACAACATGCTTGAGTGACTACCACTTGTCAGTGCTTGGAGCAGCATTAACTGGCTCTTAAGGGAGCAGCACTTGCCACAACACAGAGCCAGAAGGTGAAGGGGTATACAGGAGCAGAAGAAAAGGGGAATCCCAGGTAATCAATAAAATGTATTTAAAATATGGAAGGTTTCAGAGTAGCAGCCGTGTTAGTCTGTATTTGTGAATGCATCCGATGAAGTGAGCTGTAGCTCACGAAAGCTTTGCTCAGATAAATTGGTTAGTCTCTAAGGTGCCACTAGTACTCCTTTTCTTTTTAAAATATGGAAGAATACTGTGCTGAAAAGACATGAAAGCAACACCATCAAGGTATAGTGAACAAATCTGAAAATTCTTACACCCCCAAAAACTAACCAGCCTAGAAGCCATCAGTGGCCAACACACAGAGCTTTTTAGCGTGCCTCACATCCAAGTCCCAAACGTAACTAAAAGACAGACCTGAGTTCCAGTGTCCATGTCTTGCCCCGCCGTGACTGGATGAGGGCTCGCAGTGAATTGGCAATGCATCTCTTTCCATCCCAGTACAAAAGAACTGCCACTAAACCCCTTGTAAGGCCAGGAAAATGAGGTTGCTGGTGCTCCCCTACAGAATTAAAAATATAGAACCACCAAAAAAAAAAAACCAACCCTCAACATACGTAATCAATCACATCTTTGTATTTGATCATCTTATTTTTTTTTAAGTAGAAGTACAACAAGCCTATAACAAAACTCTGAGTCCAAATTATATTTGAAAACAAATATTTATCTTACCCTCATAAACTGCTATTGTCCTTTGCTTGTGCAGTGTAATTGTACTTAAAAGTCAGTTTTTCAGTGCTCATTCAGACAGAAAACCTTAATTTCCAATTTTGTTTAATTTGCTTCAGAACTTCATGATGACCTCTCACAGGTGACCAACATTTTACCAGCAAGGTCATATCCACATTTAATAAAAATAGGCATATTCAAAAAACTCATATCAGATGTGACAAAGTAGCGGATAATGATTCCTAATGGAATAGATTTTTTAAAAAACAGACTTTAAAGTCAGAAGAGATTATGATGATCATCTAGTCTGCCTTCCTGCACACTGGAGGCCGCAGAACTTCACCCACCCCCTCATGTAATAGACCCATAACCTCTGGCTGAATTACTGACATCCTCAAATCATGATTTAAAGACTTCAAGTTAAAGAGAATTCACAAACATCATCACTTTTCTGCCTGTCAAATAATGTGGATAACTTGCAATCATATTACTCATATCCTGAGCATCAGCTTCTATGTCATGGCACACAGTACAGCCATAAGCTTATAGTACAATTAACACACACGTCACAAAATGATTCACTACTACATTGTTTTATGGAGAAATTAATAATCAGCTATAAGTAATCAATTATTTCTTGAATCCAGTGATAAATTACTTGTCCAAAGTAACTAACAGTCTTGATTGAGAGCTCACTATAGATTATTTCCCCTTTTACAATGACTGACTAAAATAATTTAATGGATTCAAAATATTATTTTTCTACCGCATTACAGTACTAGGAATCATTTTAGATCTTTATGAACATCTTACAGAGTTGGACACTAAAGCCCTAATCCAACAGAGCATTTAAACATGTGCTTAGCTCTAAATAAACGAGTAGTTCCAATAAGAAGCCTGTAGGAATTGAATTGCCCCAACTCTCAGGATGTATTTAGCGTTCAATGAAACTATTGTCCCCTCAGTTCAGTGCCTCCTTACCAGCTAGAAGGAGCTCAACAGCTGCCAGCTCTCCAATATCAAAGAGGTCACTCAGGATAAAGGCTTCTCTAATGAGCTGCTCTGGCAAAAGTCTGGTACCCTGCTGACCCTGGATGGCAACCCCTTCAGTACTTGCCTTCTGAATCTTCTCATGCTGTTGCACATTCTTTGGCTATAAAAGAAATAAGTAACAGAAGTTCCCAAAATGGCAAGATGCGGAACAATTATTCATTTCTGTCAAAGCTGATCAGAGAGCAAGCAAAGCTTCTCACATTAATTCTTCTTTACAACTACCACTCTGACATGTTAGGCTTTCATCACAAGCATTGCCTATATTTTTTACATTCAGGTAGTAAAGGTGTCCTCAAAGTTATTTCATGGTGTAATGCAGAGCAAGGCTTCTTGTGAGGCTACACCAAAAATGATCTTATATCATCAGTGCTGGAGCTTACTTTACTTAGAATTATTTAAGCTCTCAAAGTAGCTTTTGATATATTCCCAACAGGAATTTTCCCATCAGAAACTGATCTAACCTTGAGGAAAGACAGCATGAATGTTGATGAGAAACTGTTAAAGAATAAATAGTTTTACAAATAATATATTATTCCTTTTTTGGATGTCGGTCAACTGCTAAAATGTAGAGAAACAAGATCTTATATGTGACTAAAGCCTTCAACCTATCAACTTTACAAATAAAAATGAAAACTTCAACCATAAATGTTGCAGGAAAGATATTTTTTCCTTACTGTAATGTTATTTTTAAACAGATATCTACTCCTCCATCAGTCAAGTGCTAAATGGGTTTTTCCACCTCATCCCACAATCTTCAGAAGGAGCATCCCGTATGCTTTTTATTTTCAGATTGTTACCTGTTTTGCCTGCTGGCATGCTTAAGTAACTGCATCATAAGCATGGAAAAAACACAAGAAGAAATAATTATGTGCTCCATCTCAGAAGCCTGGATCAAATAGAAAAACCCATCAGCACTCGATTGACTGAGCAGAGGGTATTGTGATGGATAAATAAAGTATCCCTCTCCAAATAGTCTGTTTGAAAACCAATGAAACAAATTATGATCAACATTAAATTATTTAAGTGTTCAATTGCAAAAGAAGCCAGATAAATAATAAGACTCTTTCAAGTAATTTTTATTCTTATAGCACCTAAAGGTTCCAACCAGTATTGCGACCCCATTTTGCAAGGCACTGGATAAATATAAAACACAGGATAATCACTCTTTGAGGTTGGGGCTAATCTTAAAAAGGAAAGAAAAAAAGTCAAGACAAACAAAGCACACTAGTCTCTCCCCAACCCACTACAAAAGAGAAAAAGTTAGTTAATTACCGGATTTCTGTACAGTGAGATAAAGTCAGGTTTGTGTTTCTTTAAAACCTGGTCCAGGAGATGGATGGCTTCAGGTTGCCTTTTCCAGATACCATTTACCACTGTTTGCCAGATGTCCTTGTATGGACCCCACAAACTGGCAGCTAAAAAGAAAAAAGGTTTGAAAAAAAAAATCGTATTGTAAGTGGGAAGAGTAGAGGAAAGATTATTTCTCCACACAGTACATTCTAGAAACAGACTATTATTTACATTTACTGCATAGTCTCAACGTGAAAACACGGGAAGTTATGCAAACAAATCTTTTACATCCAAAATGAGAATATGCCACTGAATAAAGACAATGCTTTTCTTATATTGGGAGGTGGAAATCTCCTTGGATTGGGCAGGGAGGGGACAGGGAGTGGAGAAGAGATGAAGATGACAATTGATAAATTCTGGAACCATATTTTCTTTACACAGACATATTTGTTACAGATATAGGCCTGATCCTGCATCCTATCAACTTCAGCAGGACTACTGGGATAAGTAAGGGTTGAAGAGTGCACCAGAATCAAGTGAGGCAAAGCGAGCTTCCTGTTTTCAGCTGTTGATACAACAGACCAAAATGGAACAAAATCAACAATATCAGAAACTATACATGAACAACAGTGCTCTGTCATATTTGATTTATTATTACATCTCTCTATGTAAAACATTTTGTTAAGCTATTAAGTTATATATAACCTTTCAAATGTTGTCAACCTTTTCTGATTTTAACAGAAATACAGTTTACAAGGTGATTTTTATTCACCAGATTGTACTATATTAATAAGTTTTTTTTCCCTGATGTTTGTTGCTGCCATACCACATAATGACAGGAGATTGAGAAGTACAGTAAACAAAAAAAAAAAAAAAAAAAACCTAAGAAAGCATTGTATTGATCAACATCTGACAGAGGTGTAAATTCTGGCTATTAATATTTTATACATAAATCCTTAGGACTAGATAATACATGTTCATCCTCTACAGCAAGAAAAAGGTCAGTTATACAAATATGAATTTGTTTTACAATACAAAAGGATTAATGAAGCAGCATTAACTTAGTACACTGAGATGCTTTTCATAAGGGTTATTTTTGGAAGCTACCCTGTGTTACCAATTGTTATTTAGGCCAAGTCTCAGACCCTATTCTATAATCCAACTCTCCTCCTTCACTTGTTGCCACTGGCACAAGTTTTGCTTGGAAATGCTATATCTGAATTTAGCATTGAGGATGAGCGATCTCTCCACATTAGAAAGGATATCATTCTGGATCAAAGTTTCTTTGCACAGGGAGGAATTTAGGAAACTTACACTAAAAGTTTACTTACTTTCTTTCACCAGCACATACACAAAAAACAGCATCCTACATTATCTATCAACAGCAAACTTAATATTCAAACACTGATACCATAATGCAGAATCATTCTTCAGTCTAGATAGTAAAACTGGAAACAGTCTGAAGGCATGATATTTGGTAAATAATTCCTGCCTACAGAGTATAATCTAGCATTCTGATGGTTAAAAAAAAAACACTCTCCAAATAACCAGCTACCAATCTAACAGAAATGTCAAAGTTTCATTTGCTAGATATATCTGATATTCCTGAAACAATTTACATATTCTTCCCAAAACAAATCACCACCAAGAGTACCTACTGTATTATTATTTGTATTGCAGTATGCCTAGAGGCCACCAAATCAAGGATCAGGGCCCCACTATGCTAGGTACTGCACAACACATATAACATAAAGATGGTCTCTGCCCCAAAGAGCTTTCAATCGAATGCCTTGTCTACACACACAACTTGAAATACTTTAACTAAAACTGGGTTAGGCTTTGCTTTCACTGCAAAAAGGTGTAACGACCTCAGCGTAAACTATCTCAGTGTAAACTCATAGTGGAGACAAGGCACATATAGTCTGTATCAGCAGAAAGAATGAGGAATACTTATGGCACCTCAGAGACGAACAAATGTATTTGAGCATAACCTTTTGTGGGTCTCTAAGGTGCCACAAGTGCTCCTCGTTCTTTCTGCTGATACAGACTAACATGGCTACCACTCTGAAACATTTAAACTCAGTGTTACTAGTAGAGGTCAACTTTATATTGGCAACCTGGGGTTTACCTCGACTAACTACTCGAGGAATGAACTACCCATGCCTTGTCTCCACCATAAGTTTACACTGAGATAGCGATACTTTTTTGCAGTGAAGACATAGCTTTAGTTAAACCAATGCAACCTCTATAAACATGTTCGTCAGTTTACACAAGGCCTATATCAATTTAGTTTAAGTCCAACTAGCAATTCACCTTAGCCAACCAGTGAAAGTAGTAGCAGAATGAAACTGACAATTCTGATCTGTTTCATTATTTCTAAACAGTCTTGGAAACAGCAGAAAATGGAGCCCAACCATGTCTATTTTGCTCTGTGACAGCTGGAGGAAAACACCAAATTCTGTGAATATGGGAAAGAAACAGGGGAAGACAAAAAAGGGAAGCTCAAAAAAGAGGTTTCAGAGTAACAGCTGTGTTAGTCTGTATTCGCAAAAAGAAAAGGAGGACTTGTGGCACCTTAGAGACTAACCAATTTATTTGAGCATGAGCTTTCGTGAGCTACAGCTCACTTCATCGGATGCATACCGTGGAAACTGCAGAAGACATTATATACACACAGAGACCATGAAACAATACCTCCTCCCACCCCACTGTCCTGCTGGTAATAGCTTATCTAAAGTGATCATCAAGTTGGGCCACTTCCAGCACTTATGTAGTTTCCACGGTATGCATCCGATGAAGTGAGCTGTAGCTCACGAAAGCTCATGCTCAAATAAATTGGTTAGTCTCTAAGGTGCCACAAGTACTCCTTTTTTCAAAAAAGAGGGAAGCCAAAACAGGGAAAGGGAACAAAAAACCTTTAGAGAGTGAAGCGCTTTCCACTCTACAGCATCTAGAAGACAAAAAAGACAGGAGCACATTTCCACCATTTCTTAGCTAAGCACGGATTCTCTGAGCAGGATCCAACAGTACCCTGGTGGGAATTACAGCATGTCCTCCCCACAAGATGGATTGAGAATGGTGTTGTATGCACATGTTCATCTGGACCCAGCTGCAGCTCCATCATCCTCTCCCATAATCTCAAGGATGTTTTAGTAGTTTATTTCAAACCAAAGCAAAGATTCTTCTTCATGAAAAATAAGCCACATGCAATGGCCTCAATCCTTAAAACACGTACACGCTTCACTTTAAGTGGGGGAGTATTGCCATTGGCTTCAAGTGTTAATAGGACGGGGCTAAATCTGGTTCAGCTATTTCCAGTTTAGGAGTAGGGCTGTTTCTAAAAGGTTAGGGTTTAGATGTTGGAAATATACCTGCTGGAGGGAAACTCTCTGCACCCATTAGGGAGTAATGAACACACCAGATAGCACAACGGAGTTCTGCCTCCCAAAACCTCATCTTCCTCATGTTACCAACTCTCACAGTTTCATTATTTATATTGCTATAGTGGCTAGGAGCCCTAGTCTTGGACCAGAACACAGTTATGCCAGGCGCTGTGCAAAAGAACAAAGAGTCCCTGCACCAAGCAGTGTACAGTCCAAGAGTGAGACAAGAAATGAGAGATGGATTCAGCAGCCGGGGGACTACAAGGAAATGAGATAGCATTGGTCAGCACCATAAACTGTGGGCTCAGCTCACCAGCAGCCTAACTGTTGTCATAGGATTTGCTGACTCGGGACACGTTTTGTTTTTCTTAGCGCTCCAGCTCTGGGACTCTTGTGATTACGCGAGACTCAAGAGTTTTTATTTCCATGCTGGAGGTGCGGCTCTAGCCTTGGCGGCTGCAGAGAACAACCAGGTGGCGGGGAGGGCCGAGAGCCCCTCGGGGCTCAGAAACCAAATGGCAAAGAACAAGCCTCCATCTATTTATTTGACTTCCGCGGGGGCAGCCGCCGGTGCAGGCTCTTTACCAGCTGGGGACACGGCGCCCGGCAGCCGCTGCCGGACCCAGACTCCGAGAAACGGGCGGGGCAGGAACAGCCGGGGCCTCGCCCACGCCCGTCGGGCCGGAGCCGCGGGGCCCCGCGCGGGGACAGGGGCCGCAGACGGCGCCTCCTCCACTTCCCCCCCCCCAGGAGCTCCTGGCCCCGACGGGGCGCCCCCGCCTGCCCATAGGGGCGGGGGAAGCACGAGCCGGTGCCGCGCCGCCCCCGATAACCGCCCTCGCCAGAGGTTCGTTTTACCTGAATTTACCGCCAACAGCGCCGCCATCTTGGAAATCCACTAACAGGCAGGCGCCCCCGGCGCAGAGAGGCCCAGAAAGAGCTGGGGCGCCCAATGCGCTGCCTGCCTAGAAATATCACTCTCCTCGCCGCCTACAGGGAACGCTACTCCCCGTAAAACCCTAGTGGGAGGGTCCCTAATACGCCGCACCCCGGGCAGGACTGCCTTGGACAGCCGGGGTCTACATGGGCAGAGCGCGATGCATGCTGGGAATTGTAGTTCATTTCTGGATTGTATGAAATTATGCAAACGACTGAACTAAAATTCCCACATAGCCCATCTGTCCCCACACTCTTCACCCAAGGTGAAACAGGATGGATGAATGTGTTCAGGACCTTTATTCTCCTCAATAAAAAAACCACATTACTAGTGAGCCCATTATCATATGTGCAAAACGTTAAAAAATATATATTTGCACAAGGACCACACCAGGGACAAAATCTACTCACCCACCTTTGAATCGGAAAAAAGTGTTATCTTACTGTCCTGTTTAATAAATAAATAAACTATTTGATTAAAAAAACTAGAATTTCCAAAGGTTATATTAATATAACCTGTTTAAGTAGTCACAATGACCAACCTTTCCTCCTCTATGTGATCCTTTATAATTTTCTCAGAAAAGGTTGGGTTTTTTTTTACTAGAATGTATATTAACAAGCTGGACTGCAATGTTACAAACTAGATCAATGTCTGACAGGAAAACAGACCTCATGTCCCATCTTGATTATCACTACAAAAGTTTTTTTTTCCTGCTGATAATAGCTCATCTTAACTAATTAGCCTCTCACAGTTTGTATGGTAACTTCCAACTTTATATATCTTACTGTATGTTCCATTCTATGCATCCAATGAAGTGGGCTATAGCCCACAAAAGCTTATGCTCTAATAAATGTGTTAGTCTCTAAGGTGCCACAAGTACTCCTGTTCTATTTACAAAAATGACACAATTGTAATAAAAATAAGTATTAACAGTGTGCAACTTAGTTTATATTATGGTCTGTGAAGTGAGTTCTATAGCAATTATAGTCTTAATAGGAGAAGTCATTGGGAAGCATTAGTGTGCTTGTTTCTTTATTAATTATATATTTCATATTAATGGTTTCTTTGTATTAATGTGTTTTCTACTTTTATTAAAACATTTTCAATGGGACTGCTCACAGTAATAAAATTAGGCACATGTATAAGTGTTCACAGGATCAGGGCCACAACTGGAACCTTATGAGCCAATCAGACTCTATGCATACAGTTTTCAGAGTAGCAGCCTTGTTAGCCTGTATCCGCAAAAAGAAAAGGAGGACTTGTAGCACTTTAGAGACTAACCAATTTATTTGAGCATAAGCTTTCGTGAGCTACAGCTCACTTCATGCATCCAATGAAGTGAGCTGTAGCTCATGAAATCTTATGCTCAAATAAATTGGTTAGTCTCTAAGGTGCTACAAGTCCTCCTTTTCTTTATGCATACAGTGTTGTTGTAGCCATGTCAGTCCCAGGATATTACAGACAGAAGGTGGGTGAAGTAATTTCTATTTTTGGACCAACTTCTGTTGGTGAGAGAGACAAGCTTTCAAGCTTACACAGGGCTCTTCTTCAGGTCTGAAGTTGGTCTGGAAAAAAATATTACCTCACCCACCTTGTCTCGCTAATCAGATACTATGTTTCATAACTCCCATCTTACATAATGAAAACAATATATATAAGTGTTATCCCTCTCAATTTTTTTCCTCCCTTCCTTTTTCAGGTCCTGATGAAGAAAGTGTCTTCCGTTATGTTACCTCTCCTTAGAGCCATCACTGTAGGAAAATATTCCTGAAATGTGTGCCCTAAGAAAAGTATGTGATTGCATTCATTTCTATAGACACTAGAAAATTTCCCAGTTTTTCAACTAAAAGCCATAAACCAATATACACATTTTAGGTTTTCAAAAACTGAATATCTTCAATTTCTGCAGCTGTTCATTAAAAAACTGGGAAATTTTGAAAGAAACAAATATTTTCAAAAAATGTTTTTTGGTGAAAAATGGCCTTTGTTCTAGAAAAAAATAATTTACCAAAAAATAAAACTAAATTTTAATTTAAAAAAAATCTTTACGTTTTTGACTAATTCTAAAAGCAAATGTATTGGATTTGGAATCATATGTCTTGTAGTCTTTGATTATAGACTAGAGTTTCCTATCCTGGACACTAAGGGACCTAGCCATCCCAATGGAGTTCAACATGGGGCAAGGAACATTTCAATTGTGACAAGATCAGTAGTCTCAAAAGACAGTTGAGGAAAGGACTGTCAGAAATTAAGAGGAAAATGCACAGAAGAGACTTGGACACATATCTAGAGCGAAGGAAGGTGTACTAATATCTGACAAATCTCCCACATCTGAATATCGCCTACTGCCCACCTGCTTTGAAATAGTATCTCTTGCAAGGCTCTTCCAGCCATTATAGTGATTGCAACTTTTCTTCAGCATATTCCCATAGAGATAGGAGATGCCTTCAAGAGACACATTTATGTCAGCGGCCAATAGCCTAACATTTTCACACTTGAATTTTATTAAAATTAAGTTTGTCTTGCTGCAAAACCATGTTCGACAAACTATATCCACGGAAAGCAGACAGCAAATACTGACGAAGTAGAGGGGAGAAACACAACAGGATAGGAGAGGAAAGAAAAGAGACAATACAGAGAAAGCAGAGACTCTGGAGAGTCAGGATGAATTAGGGAGAGACAACTGAGGAAAAGAGACAAAAGCCAGAAGAAAGGGATTACAGTGGAGAGTAGTCAAAGCAGAAAGAGGAGAGATGGAAAGAAAGCAAGAACGAGAAAACCCATCCTGCCAGAAAGAATTCCTCTCACAGAGCTTGAAGAGTAAATATTTGAGAAAGGGATATCTTTTCTTTAGACCATTGCTCACATTGAACTAATTTGTTTATTTTAATAAAAGGAATTGTATTCCGTAAACTCTTCCTCATTCTGGTCCTGGCCATTTGTCAATTATAGATCTAGCCTCCTCAGAGGTCAGAAAATGACAGAGGTGACGGGAGACTCAAATTTTTTGATCTCAGGTAGGAAAAAATGGTGCAAGAGAGGGGGTGGAAATTGAAAGTAAAAAAGATAAAGCAGAAAACAAAAATAGGAAACTGATTTATTCTGGCAGAAGGGAAGGTTACCACATTTCTTTTGGCATTAAGATGTTTCCAGATTGTACGCGTTAAAAAAGAATCCCATTGGAAGAGGAGATCCTGTGTAACCCGCACAGATGTAACACTGAAAACTTCCAGATAATTCATTGACATGCTCTGCCAATAGCTTAGATAGCAGCAACAACAACAAAATACAATGAAAAATGAGTAGGAGAGGAGATCCTTCAGGAAGAACATACAGTTTGGCCTGGTCTATTTACAGTTTTTATACCAGTTCAATTTTGTGTGTGGGTATGATTTTTTTTTTTACCAAAATAGTTATATCAATACACTTGGGTGAATTCAGTTACACTGGTACAGTAGTACCTAATAGCGGTATAGCTTATTCCCTTTCATGTATGTGAATAAGTTATACTGGTATAAGCACCCTTGTAGTGTTCAAACTAGGGAATTTGTAATGCTTTATCTATACTGATATAGTCCACACTAGGGAGGTTGTACTGCTTTAACAACACTGATATAGTTAAAGTAGTACAACTTTTGGTGTAGACAAGCCCCTTAGACAATGATCCTTTGCTTATTCCTACTTTATTTGTTATCTTGTAATTTATGATCCCATTGTTCACACAGAATCACAAAAAGGTGGAATATGTCTTAGGGTATGTCTACACTACGAAATAAGGTCGAATTTTTAGAAGTCGGTTTTTTAGAAATCGGTTTTATGTATTCGAGTGTGTGTGTCCCCACAGAAAATGCTCTAAGTGCATTAAGTGCATTAACTCGGCGGAGTGCTTCCACAGTACCGAGGCTAGAGTCGACTTCCGGAGCGTTGCACTGTGGATAGAAAAGGAGTACTTGTAGCACCTTAGAGACTAACCAATTTATTTGAGCATGAGCTTTCGTGAGCTACAGCTCACTTCATCAGATGCATACCGTGGAAACTGTTCTGGTTTAACTTGGATTTAAACTTGGAGAGTGGTCAGCCTAGATGAGCCATCACCAGCAGGAGAGTGAGTTTGATGACCACTCACTGCACGTTGATGTTGGTGAAACGTCCCTTGTGATCCACCAGTGCTTGCAGCACCACTGAAAAGTACCCCTTGCAGTTTGTGTACTGCCTGCCCTGATGGTCCGGTCTCAAGATAGGGATATGCGTTCCGTCTATAGCCCCACCACAGTTAGTGAATCCCACTGCAGCAAAGCCATCTAATATGACCTGCACATTTCCCAGAGTCACTACCTTTGATAGCAGCAGCTCAATGATTGCATTGGCTACTTGCATCACAGCAACCCCCTCAGTAGATTTGCCCACTCCAAATTGATTACCGACTGACCGGTAGTTGTCTGGCATTGCAAGCTTCCACAGGGCTATTGCCACTTGCTTGTGAACTGTGAGGGCTACTCTCATCTTTGTATTCTTGTGCTTCAGGGCAGGGGAAAGCAAGTCACAAAGTTCCATGAAAGTGCCCTTACGCATGCGAACGTTTCGGAGCCGCTGGGAATCATCCCAGACCTGCAACGCTATGCGGTCCCACCAGTCTGTGCTTGTTTCCTGGGCCCAGAATCAGTGTTCCACAGCATGAGCCTGCCCCATTAACACCATGATCTCCAAATTGCGGGAGAACACAGTTTTAGAGAAAAGTGTGTTCATGTCCTCATCACCGCTCTTCCATCGCCTCCTCGCCTGGTTTTTCAGGTGCTGGTTCTGCATAAACTGCACGATAATGCGTGAGGTGTTTACAGTGGTCATCACTGCTGCGGTGAGCTGAACGGGCTCCATGCTTGCTGTGCTATGGCATCTGCTCCTGCTTGGGCAATCCAGGGAAAAGGGCGCGAGATGATTGTTTGCCGTTGCTCTGATGGAGGGAGGGGCGACTGATGACATGGCTTACAGGGTTGGCTTACAGGGAATTAAAATCAACAAAGGGGGTGGCTTTGTGAGAAACAGAATGGCTCCCTCAAGGATAGAACTCAAAACCTCAAGGATAGAACTCAAAACTGGGTTTAGCAGGCTGTTGATTTCACAGGGGGAGGGAGGAAGGAAGGGAGGAGAAAATGAATACAAAACAAATCTGGTCTATTTCTTGTTTTGAGCCACTTCATCTATCTTTATACATCTTGCTGGCAGCAGACTGTGCAGTATGACCGCTAGCCATCGTCATCTCCTGGGTGCTCGGTAGAAGACGGTACAGTATAACTGCTGGCCATCATCGTCTCCTGACTGCTCATTAAAAGACAGTGCAGTAGGACTGCCAGTAGGACTGAATCATTATGAGATGAAACTTAAAAGGGTAATGACCTGACTGAGTCATTCCCATGTTTGCCCAGGTGCCCCTGAACTCATCAAGGTCGGTTAAAAGAGCACCCTGGAATACGTCGACAATGGCTACCAGTCATACTGCACTGTCTGCTGCCAAAAGGCAATAAGCTGCTGCTGTGTAGCAATGCAGTACCACATCTGCCAGCACCCAGGAGACATACGGTGACGGTGAGCTGAGCGGGCTCCATGCTTGCCGGGGTATGGTGGCTGCACAGGTAACCCAGGAAAAAAGGCATGAAACGATTGTCTGCCATTGCTTTCACAGAGGGAGGGAGGAAGGGGGGCCTGACGATATGTACCCAGAACCACCCGCGACAATGTTTTAGTCCCATCAGGCATTGGGATTTCTACCCAGAATTCCAATGGGCAGCGGAGACTGCGGGAAGTGTGGGATAGCTACCCACAGTGCAACGCTCCAGAAGTCGACGGTTGCCTCGGTACTGTGGACACACTCTGCTGACTACATGCACTTAGACCATTTGTGTGGGGACACACACAATCAACTGTATAAAAATGCTTTCTACAAAACCAACTTCTATAAATTCAACCTGATTTCGTAGTGTAGACAAGGCCTCAGGTGTGTCTACACTACAGAGACTATGCCAGCATAGCTATGTCAGCGTAGCTGTGCTAGTATAACCCCATTGTATAGACACAGCCTGCACCAATGGACAGGGTTTTTCTATCTCTGTAGGGATGTCATCTGTAGCTAAGTTGACAGAAGCATTCTCCCATTGCCATAGAAGCGTCTACACTGGTAGTTAGGTTGACATGGCTCCAGCATTCAGGGCTGTGTTTTTTCATACCCCTGACTGTCGTAGCTATGTAGATCTAACTTTTAAGTGTAGATCAAGTCTCAGTTTACTCATCTGTAATAAACTGGTATAATATTTCACAGTAGATCTGGACTGCTGAGCAATTGGGTGGTTACTATGGTAGAGATTGTGTCCCTGCCTAGACTTGCAAAAAAGGTGTATTTTTCAATTGTGTTAGCTCAACTCCATGAAAAGAAACAACCCTTACCACTTGTTAAGATGCAGGTTAACATATCTGAAACCTTGTTAGCTGACTGTGGCTATGTCTTCTCTGAAAAAAAGCTATGTTTTATACATCAGCTGTCTCAAAGTAAAATCTTAGTGGAGGCAAGCCACAGGTAGTTTTTACCTCAATGTAACTAGATCAACAGGAGGTATAGGGCTACAATGAGGCAATGACTACAGTACCTTGTCTCTAGTAGGATTTTACATGAGTTAGGGCTTGTCTACACTTAAAATGCTGCGGCTGAGCTGTTGTAGCACTTCAGTATAGACACTATCTATCTAGGTAATCCACATCCACAAGAGGCAATAGCTAGGTTGATGAAAAAATTCTTCCATTGACCTAGCACTGTCTACACAGGGACTTGGGTCAGCTTAACTATGCTACTCAGGGGGGTGGATTTTTCACACCCTGACCAACATAGTTATGCCCACCTAGTTTTCTAGTGTAGATGAAAAAAACACAGCTTTTTTGCAGTGATGACATTACTTGTGCTGTCACGTAGGGAGGAGCAAAAAGAAAAG